ATATCCTGAATTTGAACTTTTTGTCTAAATTATTTTCTGGATAATATTAGGTTAGAGATGCATGTAGTATTAAATAAGACTAAATGTAATGTTTAACTTTTTTCCTATTGTTTCGTGAGATCGACTGCGTTTTTTTAGTACATATTTTAATTGTGTAAAAAGATTTTGCAATCTGTACAATCAAATCGTAGAATGATGAATAATTTGTAACAGGTAATGCTTATCAGTTTTTAAAATTCCTTTAATTTTCCGAAAAAGGTAACAAAATACAAGTGTATAGAATGAGACGAACAAATCTATTTTATCGTTTTTCCATGTAATGCTGTAGGATCTTTATAAAATTTATTTTTAGGTTCATAAGTAGATATATGCCAAAAAATGTACATTTTTAAAAATTAACAGATTTATTGTATAACTATAGTTAGGTAATATGTAATTTATGTTGTGTGCAGAACTGAAATTATTTCATCGCTGCAAAGACATTAGAATGTGCCATTGAAATACCGTTTTATATAGTACAACTGCGCACAATTTCAAACGCAAACGTGAAACGCATGTTCGTGTAAAAAGTATATATTTATGCTCTTACAATAATTTTCCAGTCTGAGCATAAACAGAAATACCGATATTTTTCACGATTCTTTAGAATCATTCATTGTAAAGCTATTGTTATACATAGTTCCCGCATGTGCTTTTTTATATGCGAGCGTTCATCAAAAGTCCAGTCAAATCAACAGTGATATCGATTGATTCGAAATCATTCAACATTCATCCTTATTGCCTTTGTTATCTTTTTCGTTATTTTTTAATAAATAGCACAATCACGATTGCATTTGAATTTCGATTTGCACTTGGAATTTCATATACTATAATATCTCTATAATATAAGAAGACTTCATATATGTATATCGCGCATGTTGTGAACTGCCTTTTCGAGATTTCGACGAGTACTTCTTCCATGTAGCCTCCAGTCTTCGCAATTATTTTTTTATAGTATCTTATAACGAAGGTATAACAACTTCGTACGCTTTCCGACGGAGGGTTTAAAGGATTAAATATACAAGATTGTCGCAAACTTGAAAACGTCGTCCTATGTATATTTTAGAACATTTTAGAACAGATAAAACCATTCTATACATTCACACATAGGTATGTATTACAATCGACTGAGTGATTAGATAATTAATCTTTATACGAAGCAATTTTATCTCATCTTTTTTATTCTACAATATTCGCGATATCAAGGAGCGTACTTTCGAAAATCAATAAAAAGCGAAAATACACGTTTACTTCATTTTGATAATGTAAACTGTGTGATTCAATTTGTTAAATTGTGAATGACAAATCTGCGTTAATCTCGAGCGTATTTAATGAAGAAATCTCGCGTTTCTCGAATATGATCTCATGTCTTCATATTTTAGTTAATTTTGTCTTGCATTCCTTTTGTTCGATTTACAGGATTTGTACAAGCGACAAATAGTCATATAAAAACAGTTGGATTTTTGAAAAAACGGACGGAAAAGTTGATTTATCGCAGACAAACTGTGTTATTGTAGTTATTGGTAGTTTTTATATAACATTAGATAACTCTGGAGTGTTATGATTTTATAAGATGCAGTCGACTTATATAATTTTACCATCTAATTACAGTCTTGAGGTTGCCTTTATTCACAAGGAAAATAATTATACTTTATCAAGGTATTACTTGATTTGCAAGAATTTTTGTCTTCGATTTAGATAAGGAAATTGCTCGTGATATTTTAATGTTAGCGGCAAATCGTTTTGTACTTTAAGTTCTATCTACAATTGTGTAAACGTAAACGTAAGTGATTGTGAAACATTGTAAAGTGCAAGTTTACTGCCTGTTACTGCCGATTGTAAAGCGTGTTTTGTAAAAAGATGTAATTCAACTATATCTTTTACGACAATGGCTGCGTAAAACGTAAGATTGAATCATTGTTCACTCTTACAATGAATCGAAGTGCTATCACGTGTCCATGTCATTGTGTTAATTTCATATAAGTATATAGTAAATTTATAAATTTAATTTTATAATACAATAACAGTAATAATAGTAAAATCACTTTCTGTCTATCTATCGTAGTAAACAATCAACACTGCTGTTGTCGAAATTGCATTCTGATTAATTGTTGTAATCTTGTAGTTATGATACATCTTTATATATACTCGATTATAGATTAATTTAATAATATATATACATTTATTACTATTACTACTACTACTCTCATAATCTAGTTACATTTACGTTTACGTAATTGTAGTTTGGATACATTTCTACGTGAGGAAAAAAAATCAATCTACTTTCATGCTTTCTTATTTCTATATTCTCGCTTCGTATAGGTTTTTAAAAGTGACCCTAATGGTCAATAATAACGGCATTAACAAATACTGACAATATTGTCGTATTTGTTTAATGTTGATGAATAGAATTAATATTGACGGTGATTTGGATTTTGATTCTCAAGCATCAGTATTACTTTACTAGAATCTATGTTACAGTACATCACAGTGCGATCAAAACTGAAGTAAAGTATATCGTCAACAATACTGATTGTGTAAGGTTGTAAAAGTACTAAAAATATACTAAAAATATTGATGCATACTGTCATAGTATTATTGATTCAATATTACTAATTAGTATTATTGATCATGTGGGATCACTTTAAAGTAAGTTTTTATTTGTATACTTCTCTTTCACAGCGATTTTTGAGGTTCGACGAATATTTGATTTTTATCCCTCTAATTATTGATAAGACCGCTTCCATTGATTCTTCGTAAATCCGTAGAAATTTTTTGCTATGCATAGATTTTCTTACTCATTTCAGATCAGCTGGTGTGTGTCATCAACGCACGTGATACACACGAGAAATATAAAAGTGTAGGGAGTAGAAATGTGCGAATCAAAACTTTGATACCGAATTGAATCAAATCGAATTTCTTTAATTTCAAATCCGAATAAAGATTTCAACTGAATCGATTTGAATTAGAACATAACTTCTAATCTTTCATTTACAATCAAGTTTTTTGACACAAAGTTTCAGTTTCAAAATTTTCCGAAAAAAGAGGATAGAATCTGCGATTTCTACTCCTAAAATATCCTTTTAAGAACCTATTTATAATGTAATAGAGATGAAAAGTAATTCAGAATGTTTTTTACATTTTTTTGAAAATTTAGAACAGAATAAAAATAACAGAGATTACAGATAGAGGGTAATAAATAACGTAATTATTATTGAGTTGAGTTTTATATAATATATAGATAATAAAAGAAAAAATTTTTGAATGTGAAGAACAATAATATTTATTAAATTATATAAATTTATTTAAGGTAAATATACATTTAAATATATTTAAATATTAAATATGAAACTGATAAAATATCTTACTTTTTTATTGTTACTGTTATACTAACTGAAATAAGCGAAAAATCATAAATCAATTATTAAGAGCTCTTGTGTGCGTGCGTGCGCGCATGCCTGTCCGTCTGTCTCCTAATTTGGATTTGTAAATCAAAGATTGAAATCTGAATCGAATCTTATTCGATTTAATTCAATTCGTATTTGAATTATTTGCCCATTTCTAGTAAGAAATAAAAAATATATGAGTAATGAGTAAGAGAGTTGAATGAAACCGATATACGCGTATGCTAGTCCGACGAAATAATACATTATGTAAAATTAAAATCTTCGTTATGATTGTCTTAAATTGAATAAACGGCGTGTGATGTTTCGTGAGAGGACGAGCATGAAATCATTACGGTGGATTGCGTGAACAATATAGAGTTCCACAATGTAGTAACACGTCGATCTTGTGAGACAGTACGGAGTAGATATTTTGTAAGTACGATAGAAAGAAAGAATGAGAGAAAGATCACGCTATGTATGTTCACGCTGCTTATAGCGAATAAAAAATTCTGTGTCGATAGTGTATTATGTATAAGTACTTTCATAGTAGAGATGCAAACGAGAAAAAAAAAAGATCAAAACAATAAGTGCACTCGTAATTGTACACTTAATTATTGGAATAAAGAGTTTTGCCTGTAGTCGCGGATTTTTTATCGCAAACCAGGATCTGTATTAACGAGATCCTATAAATATGTGAATGATTAATGCCCTCGACGTTTCTTCTATCTAACGAAATTTGCGCGATTTTTGTACTTCTGTGTAAATATTTTTGCAGTCGTCAGTGCGAACTGATTTACAATGTATATTAATTAATTAAATATAGTTACAGACGCTTCGGTTTTACTTTAAGCAATCTTCATTATATGCAAAGTAAAATATTAATATTCCCACATAGCAAAACGGATAGAAGAGCAGCAAACCAATCGAAGAAGCGTTACAAGAATCGTAATCAACATATAATTTAATTTTTAATATGAAATTACATTTATCGAAATTAACAATATTGTTAGAATGGATTGATCGAAATTAACGCAATTGAACACTGAATATAACAAAGAAAATAAGTAGATTTTTTATTTTATGAATACAAGGCTCGATTGATAAAAAAAACAAAAATAAATGATGTCATTTGCATTGAAACAGAAGAAATTTCATTTAATATTTAAACATCAGAGCTACGAGAAGGCTAGGCTAAACTTAACAATTATGTTAATAGTCGACTGGTGAGCAAAAATTCATTAAATACATAGGTAGATTTGGCAAACTTTGATTTAAATGAAGATGAACTTAATGTAGATTATTTAATGATTAGACGCGTTCAAATTGACAAAGCGACTAGCTTGCTCGCTGAGCAAATGAACATAATTGGTTCTTATAGATCTAATCAATTATATTCAAACACTCGGTAAGCGTATCTACCCAAATTTTGCCGTGTTAAACTCACCCGTCAATATGAAATATTTTGTCTCTTTTAAACATATGGAATAAGATACAGGAAATATTAACACACGGTATGAAAATATATATTCTAATATATAAGATATAATATAAAAGTTTACAAAATTATTTGCTTTGATTGGTAAAATATAACAGAAATATATTGTCTCATTTCAAGATATCTATTATTACTTCTTCTTCAAATATTCAACGTAAAGTTTAAGGCCATCTTGTACTTTTGGTGATTGCACATAGTTCACGAAATTGTCGGTATCAGCCTTCTTATTTTCCTTCAACCACTGAATCAAGTCGTTTCGTAAGTCTACCTTGGTGATGGTCCTTCCCAAACCTTTATTTAAATAATATGCGATTATATAATAATACAAACACAAAAGAAATTTTTAATCTGGAGATTAAACTATGGTATTTTTATGTATGTTGATATTTTAAAATGACTTTGATGTCCAAATTGCTCTATTATATGTCACAATTTTTTTATTGAAGGAAAATAACTTGATTTTCCAATATTATTTACTTATCTCTCTCAGCTTGTATATTAAAAACCATAAATAGATCCAATAAAAATACTGGAAGCTCAAGCTATTTTCCGTATGAAACAAATTGACGTGATGGAGAAACTTCAACATCGAATTAAATTTCAGAGCCTTAATTACCTAAGAAAAATTATCATTAATCACCGGATCATACATTAAATTTTGTTTTATGTACCTATATATTTATCAGGGAATGGAAAGTTACTTTTTAAAAATAACTAGTTACAGTTACTCGTTACCGAGTAAAAAATGTAACTAGTTACAGTTACAGTTATCGCTTTTTAAAAGTAACTCGTTACAGTTACCGTTACTTGAAAAATAACTTTTCGTTACTTTTCCGTTACTTTTTTAAAATCAATTTAAAAATGTATTTTTGCATTTTTTTTTTTTATATGTAATACTGACAAATATATAGTTTTATTAAAAAAAAAAAAAAACAATGTAGAATGGCTCAAATAATAAATTAAATAATAGTAAAATGAGAAGGGTTACGAGCCAAAAATGAAACAGTTTATTTCCGATAAGAACGACGATGACAATGTAATTAAATGTATAAATATATATTAGAACAATACATAGATAAAACAAGATAAAAACAAACGACGTTTCGACACTTATTGTCATCGTCTTTTAAACTGTTTCGCTTTTGGGTTCATAGCCCTACTCATTTTACTATTATTTAATTTATTTTTTAATTTTTTTTAAACACAATTTTGTAATTCTAAAACCTGTAAAATATGCAGCAAATTGAAATATTTGTATGTCCTATGTATTACATAGAAGATAGAAGTGTAAAATAATTACTGAATCATAACGGCCGAATGTCTAAGGGCTTTCAAGTCTTATTGATAAGCGCTATAAATAGCATGTATCCAATCGAACCGTGTTCAATCGTGTGCAAAGTAACGACAAAAGTAACTGTAAATTTCGTTACCGTTACCCAAAAAATGTAACTCGTTACCGTTACAGTTACCAAAAAAAGAAAGTAACGCAGTTACCAGTAAAGTTACCAAAAAAGTAACTTGTAACTGTAACTTCGTTACAAGTAACGAGTTACTTCCATTCCCTGATATTTATGATATATCAATACCTATAAAATGCTATAATACTTTTACAGTATTTTTACCTGGTATATTATCAAAAGATAATATGTAATTTTTGCACTTTTCAATTGCGTCCGCTTTATCTTTAGCGAGTTCATCTATAAGTCCAAGCTGCAGTGCCTTCTCAGGCTTAAACATGGCTCCTCTGAAATATAACAATTATATCATGTAAAATCTTATCACGTGATAATAAATTTGTGCGTGTGTACACACACAAATTTATTCAATATCTTACCTACTTTAAAAGCGCCAGTTCAGCTTGTCGATAGCCAAGCAATGAGATATAAACATCCTTGAACCATTTTGGAGCAACCATACCTAATTGTGTTTCATTTAAGCCTATAACATGCTTGCCTTCAACCATGACTCTATATTCTGTAGACATTGCGAATAGACAGCCACCCGCAGGACTAGAGCCCTACATGAAAAAAAAAGTCCTATTAAACGTTGTAAAGATATAGAAGTAAAGTAATACTTGAAAGACTGTACATTGATAGCAGCAGCAATCGGTATAGCCGAACTGTAAACAGTCAACCAAGTGTCTTGTAATGTTCGCCAGAAGTCAATAAGTTTCCCTTTATCAGTTGTAAAGAGTTCCATAATGTCTAATCCTGCTGAGAATACAGTTGGTAGGGACGACGTTAATATAATGCCTTTACTACGATTATTTTGAGCTTCTGATATTAAAAGCTTCAGTTCATTTAGCAACTCTGTATTTAAACAGTTAACAGGTTTTCTTGCCATAGATATAATTTCGATACCTAGTCAATGAAATAAAGTTTGAAAGGAAAAGTTATATATTAAACATCGATGGAAACAGCAGTATGTATTACCATTGTCTTGTGTAACTTCAATAAATTTTGGACTTGTAGCATAAAATCTTTTGAGACATATTTGTCCTCCGGCAATTAGAGTCTTTAAAATAGTCATTGTAACTAAATAATATGGTCAGTTTTTGCAGTAATCGGTGGCGAGTACAGTTGATGAATTCTGTAATGAATATAAGTTAATTATTTAGTTTATTTAAAGTAATTATTTAGTTTATTTAAGTAACTTCGACATTGATAGAGTATGATATGTACGATGTCAAAAAAAAATTATGCTCATTCGACACATTTTTGCATAAAATAACCGAATTTATTGGCAGAAAAAGGTCACTCTGTCCCGTTGGTAAATCAAAATATTGTTAAAATTGGTCGTGTTCAGCAAAACATTTATTTTGCAACTATTGGAGATTTTCTTCGCTGATTGGATTATACTTATAGGCTATATTTTAAAACGTCCTCTTCGAGGAGGATTTTATTCTGTATACTATATGTTACGTGTACTATACATTTTCCTCGGAGAGGATGTTTGGAATCTAGTAACTTTCTATTGAATTATCTAAAGGGAGCTTTCCAACAAGCGACACTGTGTAACATGATGTAACACAGTGATCATTTTATCTTTGTTTAACATTGGCGAACAACAAGGATGTAATGATTCGCTGTCGCTTGTGTCCTTTGCTGGAAAGCTCACAGTAATATTGAATGCACAATGTAAACTAAACCAATGATGCATTTAAACTATTTAAAGAATATAGTATATTAAGATGATACAATATGCATCAAGATAATTAATTAAGTACACGTATCATGTATATGCTTACATACACACACATCGCCAAAATTAAAATAATTTAATAGATTAAGTTACTACTTGATTAAATCATCGATATAAACCAGAATATAATATGCTACTTAAACAATAGCTTTTACTCTCTCCTATGCGCTCATTGGAGTTGAGAGCTATGGCAAAAAGAAGCCTGAGTTATAGTGTTGCTCCGGGATTCAGCTGGTATCTTATTTTGAAGCACTTCTAGAGTTCACAAAACGTGGACTTAGGTTGCGTTATACATATGCAGCGCGTAGATTGCATATAGAATAAGGCCGTTCCGCTTTAATCAATGTATATTGGAAGCACTTTGATAACGCTGAGAATTTCTCAGATTGTACTATCCGTACTGAATTCTTAGCACTTTTTCCAGTGCATTGACATTGACTGCTTCTATTTTTCGGAACAAATATTTATAGCAAGAACGAATATTCGTAGTACTCTGACTTTTAAACGCACCTCCGTATCTTACAATTAGACACACTTTTGAATCACAATGATTACTCCATGTATATACATATGCTCTAAATGTAAAGTATGACACAATATGCTGCTACAAGAGAAAACTTATACATCTCCGTCTTTTTTGTACACCAAATCTCGAGTAATGTCTACGTTTTTGTCTACGTTCTTTTCTATTCATCCTTGTTTAACACACATAATAGTAATGAAAACCATAAAACGTAGACGTTACTCTATGTTTCCTAAGCTAAGGATTACTTTAATACTAAATACATACGTGCAAATTTTGTGGATATAGGAAAGAAAATTAAAACGCGAAGCGGGTATACATAATTACACTTCCAATGAATTTCTTGTGACAATTGCTTAACCAGCGTGCGCACTACAAGTATATAAGAGAGGTGTAACACAGGTCAAAGTCCTAACGTAAGAAGAATATATTTCTTTTCCATTGATTTCTATATCGTACTTTTTTTTATATGTTATAAGGCTTAAACGATTAGTTTTATTAAAAACCAAATAAACTGATGTTAAGAATTTTAGAAAAGTCTAAAAATTAAAAAACTGCTAATTCAACTGACATATAGATATTACAAATTATAACGAAGTAATGCCACATTTTATTGCGCTGAGAGAGAAATGGAAGTTTTTTTTAAATAAAATCGTCGTTTAGAATAGATTGTGTCTTGGAGTAAGTTTACAAAGTTATTTAGAAAGTTATTCCTTAAAATTTTTTAATCGCCCTTATTTTGACGAGGAATAGCAAAAGTTGAAATGTACACATTTTTCGAAATCTTCAAATCTTTCGAAATCGTCGGAAGTTATTAGAACACGTTTCAATAAAAAATTTATTCGAGCCGAGATAACGAAAGTCAAAGTTTCGGTCCACTCTTTCGAATCAAAATTAATCTTTGTAGAGCGGGAAAGGAGGCGAAACAACGAGTATCAAAATAGAAAATAGAAACGTTTATTGCAATTTTACTAATTTTCGGTATAAAGATCTAGAGTACAAGGTTGTCGCCCGTAGGATATATTGTAGGCGTGTGTAGCCAAGAATTTTCAATTAAAAGGTACTCTAATGCATCACAGTTTTTCGCGACTTATGCAGTCTGCAGTCACGTCATCTCCGTTGTCACACACGCGCGTACACTCATGTATACATGACGTGTGTATATATATATATGTATACATGACATATATATGCATACGTGACCCCTAATTCTAATTATTGACACAGTGCTTGAGTTCAGATAGAGCGGACCAACCTGACTCGAAAAGTCTTGTATCAGTTTGCAATTTTTACAATAGTTAACAAGAAATTAATTACTATAATAATTGCTGAAAATGTCTGGTTTACTCTGTTAAATCTAAAATGACCTACTTACACGGTTAATAATACCGTCAGTAATGTCAGTATTAATAAATACTGATAATATTATTGATTATGTGTCGTTAACCCACGTCAATTGATGGATTGACGTCGTAGAATACGACGGTAATGTGAATTACAAGCGGCAATGGCTTATGGTTCCATCATTAATAGTGCCATTTATGTCTTGTCATTAATATTTTATTGTTCACAATACCTTATGTATGAATGCTGTTTAATAATCATTGACCAATAATTTTTATATTTCAGCTTAGCAATTTGCTCCAAAAAATATTATTGTCGCTATCACGATTTAATATTAATCATAGGATAATCACAGTCTTTCATAACATTTTTACTTGATATTTATGTTCAAGTTTTAATCATCTAAGACAGCTGTCGTTCGAAACCTTTAATTACATCTTTAATATTTGCCATCGAAATTATACAAAGTAACACTTTTCATCGTTTCAAGTTACATCTTAAACTTTATGTTTAATAGGCATTTTCTTACATTTATATCTTATGCATCAGTTTTAATGATAATTATGGATATTTAAATTTGTTGAACATTGAGAATGACTAATAAATTGAAAACTTTTGTTAGTAATAACACCTAACTTTGGATCATAGCTTCTCATTTTATATAATAGTTTTTGTCATTCTAATTCAGTCTTATATATTATTTTAATTTTTTAAATATATTTTTCCTGTACTGTGTTAAAAGATTTCGTTTTAAAAAAAAAAAAAAAAAAAAACAACGGAGGACAATTATAGTTTAGAGTGGGAGTCTAGGACCACGCTCCACTCGTAGTCATTGCGGCTTGTAATAAACTCCTCGCGCACGTAGCCTGATTGACTACTAGGTGGCCGTTTTTCGCTGCGTGCTTATATTTGACAGTAAATAAAGATCGGTGAATAAACCGAGCTTATTATAGGAATATTTTTGACTTAGTAATCAGTTCTATCTGCATACGAGCAATGTGTCAATAATTAGGGGATACCCTGTATATTCATTCGAATTAATCGTATATGATCATTAATAACACATGTACGAGTACTTTAAAGATATCGCGTATAGCAAAGTGCGTAGGCCAGCCGACGGTGTGTAAAGAATCCGAGGAGCGTAATTCGTTCACCACCCTGGCAATGTTGATACTGGCGCGACGAAGTTTGACGGCAGTGTAAAAAAACGGCTTAAAGATCGAATGGTATGACATCTCAGAGATATGACATACCAGTCGAGTATTCTCCCTTTTACATCATTGCACACACTGCAACTACAGTAACGTCATTTTATTACTCTTTTTTTTTCTAGATGTACAGAGATAGCTGCTGCCTAGAGCTTAAATTTTTTTTAATCCTGATGAGATAAACAATGAGATCTGAAAAAGTCTCTTAGACACTATGAAATGTCTGAGGCTCCTTCTGCGAAGTTACTTGGATGTTTTTTAGTTTTGCGCTATGCGGGAAATACTGCTTTAAAAAGGCTTAATTTTAGTTAAAATTGACTTTCAAGTGCGCTTTTGCGCTACGAAATTTAAGTACTATTCTATAAGAAAATATTAATACATAAAATATATCAATTTTGGCCAAGTTCTAGGCAGCCCCATCGAGTCTTTTCAATTCAAAGAAAGTTAATGTACAACTGCCTCAAAAGCATTAAAACAGAATCTAATAATGAATTATGTGCTATGTATCAGTGCATTTGCTTCACTTCTAACAACTGCGGATAATTTTCTACGATGTTCAATAATATTCCATCGATGTATGTTCTTAACTGCGTGTTCACTTCTTGCTGTTCCTTTATAGCTTGTTTTAACTGTAACATAAATATAAGAATTAATCTCATGCCGTAAATCTCAAAGTAAAATTTTGAATTAAATTTTAATACATACTTCAGCCATCGTGCACGGTTCACTGAGCTCTCCTTGGCCATCTATCTGTAAGGCAATAAGAAAAAAAAGTCGATGTTAATATAAATCGTTAATATCAATTCGTTTACGTTCGCTTAATAGATTCGATCTTAAGAAAATACCTGATCCGGATTCATGCCAGCTAACAATTCCACAGCAAGACTAGTAGGACCCTTTTCAGCGTTATTATTACAAGGATTCAGCATTATAAGTTCACGGCCTGCCTGCAACGCCGCAGCAGCTTGCAGTTCGTCTCGAGATTCTTCCAAGCCTGCAAACCGATGAATGTAATATTATCATGTAGAACAAAATTTATTCGAAATGCAGATATTTTTATGATAGAAACGCAAATATTCAAGGAACGAACTTCCGTAAACTCGCGATGTTCAATTAATAATTTCGTAGTGCAACAACGAGCATACTTTTATTGCGAGCTTGAAGTTGAGCCACCTGCTGCACTAATTCTTCGAGCCTCTGCTGATCCTCGCCTCGTAACGAAAGTTCTTCTCTCATAACATCGAGCATATGATGAGCCTCGTTAGCTCGACTTATCGCATGACGTTCACTTTCGCGCGCGGCGTCCGCTTCTCTCCTAGCCTCCCGGAGATCATTTTCGAGCCGCGTTTTATCCGTCCTCGCTCTCTCGAGTTGTTCGCGTACTCGCGCAATCTCTTCTCGCAAACTGGCACTATCCAGCTCCGCTGCCTGTAGCTTGATGGCACAGTTCTCTAGTTGCAACTGACGTTCACGTTCCAGGCGACACGCCCATTCCCGATGTCTTCGTTGTTCGGCCTGTGAAATGCGAGGAATTTTTAAAAATAAAGTATTAATAATTTTTATAATGATTGAAAAAGACCTATAACTTTATCTTATCATATGGAGAATCCTTGAAGCTTGAAGAGTATAGAAACAAAAATTATGCTTACTTTAATCGTTTTTTATATCAAATTCAAAATATCTCATAAAAATTAAAGAAATATATTTTTATTGTATAAAGTTATATGTGTATATATATGATATATATATATATAAATATATAATTTACGTATTTAAAAAAAAAAATACATTTGTAATGAACTTCACGAGAATTATAAAAATTTTTCTTTTTTATATTAGATTGTTTAATTACGAATGTTTTGGCTCGTAGCCTTTCTTATTGTCATTATTAATTTAATTATGAATAATTTTAGTCAATCTATGTCGAGCCACTTACTTGAAGTCTCTCTTCAGCCCTCGTTTCTGCATCTTTGGCCGCTTCCTCGAGCATTAATATGCGCGCCTGTAATGTTGCATTTTCTTGTTTCGCTCGAGCGTATCTTTCCTCGCCGACCGACTTAGTATCCGCTAAAGCATCCATTTGCTCTTGGATCATTTGAACCTGTGACATTTAAAAAGAGTTTGATGTTTTACACGAAACACACTGCATTCACGTTTTATTTCACAAAATGATACTTTCTAGAGTGAGTCGTTCCTAATTCATTGTGATATAAAATAATCTCAACGATGTTAAGACAAGAAAATAATGTAATATACAAAACCTTAGGAATCAACCGCTTGTTTATATTGCGAAAATTTAACAGACAATATGCTAAATAAATTTGTATGTTTTGACTTCAGAGTTGCGGAATTCTCTAAACGTTTTTTCGATAATTGTTGCTATCGTTAACTAGCGACAGCCAATGAGAGCCGCGATTTCTTTTAGTCCTGCTATCGGATGTCGCTAGTTAACGATAGCAACAATCATCGATAAGACATTTAGAGAATTCCGCTACAGTTTGAGTCATCAGAGTTATTTACCAACACTAATTGATTTGACAATTGAAGAATTATCAAAAAAATGGAATTTTATTAGAAATAATTGCAATTGGATTATATCGAAAAATCGTATATACTTTCGTATAAAATTGTGATTGGAGTTTCCAATTGCAACTACCTGACTTTTGCTGCTCGGACATAGCTCGCCGAGGAAATCAAATCGGGGCAAAAGAGGTTCGAACGGGAAAAGAAAATACGTCAACAGATTTAATTATAATTAAACACAATTTTAAAATGATTATCAAAAAATTAGAAGGACGTGGTATTTGTTGTGTACCGTCTTTATACAAATGTATATGTATAGACCGATAATGTAACAATACGGATATTTCGGTGAAAACCTGGGCCTTTACACAATGCGCGAGGCAACAGCAATAAAAATAAAAATAACGATAGTGATAGAAACAGAGAAATCTAATATTCCGCATTTATGTCACTGCACATAGGAAAACAAAATATTAAGACAATAGCGATTTTCCGACGAGTTGAAATTCTGCGTCTATCACCTTATAGCCTACCAATCGTCATTGAGATTTTTTATTGTATTTATATGGTATATGCTCTATAATCTTGAAGTAGATGGAAGAGTATATCGCAGTCCATACGTGATCAGATTAGTTGACCTTTTTATTTTTTTTCGAGGCATTGTGCGACGGGAGACAATTATTGAAATGCTAGTAATATCGCTACGGTTCTATAGCATCAAAAGCCTTTTGGAAATTAATGAAGGTCAGCACAACTTGTCTGTTACATTTATATGCAACATTTTGTAACTTTTTATATATTTCAAAAATATCTACTATACGTTGTAAATGTTTCAAAGAATGATTGGAAGTAGCTATTTTGAGCAACACGATTTACTTGAGATACAGCGTATATTTTTAGTTTGTAGAAATCCTGGCGACTGCTGAGTAAACATGTTAAGACATTGAATGCGTTAAGAATCGTTCAGCAGGCAATCATGAAACGATTGCGAAACTGTTATGTTTTGCTGAACGCACTCAACGTCTATGCTTTGAGCGCGCAAATTTCAAACGCTACAATTGGCGAACTTTAATCGTTTATTATTTAAAAGATAGATATTATCCTCGACATTTTCGTATATGATTTTTCATCGTAGAATATTTCATAAAATCTGTCAGTAAATGAACATACGCATTTTCTGAAACACTTCGTATATAAATTGCTAAATTCATATGATATATATGAGATGTGAGTTAATAATGATTATTATCTTATTTTTATTTAAGAGGAGAAACTACTTTAAGGTTAAAAAATTGTTTTGTTTCATAAATCGATAGTACAACTATTCGAGAATATGTTTTTGAAAATTTTAGAGCAAAATTCAAAGTTCTTCGGTAGATTCAACACTTTTGTAACGGAAGCGCGGTATATATGCGTGCAGCGATGGTTACTCGAGATATCGAGAAACATTTCATAATTTCTAATTACATCAATCTATCAATTATACGATCTATTAACGCAATGTGTGGGTGAATATACCCAGTACGCAAACGAAAGTTTAACTCGACCATCTGGAGACTAGCCGAAGCACCTCAATTGCAACGCAGCAATATTAAAAATTGCCATCTTTATTGCCACTGGCATTTTCAACAAAGGATATTTTGCTGTTTTAAAAATCGTTACTGAATTGGAAAAATTAATATACATATAAGTAGTATGTATGACTAAGTTTCCACCGAGTTAAAGTTGGGTCAGAGTTCAAAAACCAACCAACCACAGTCGAGCATTCCTCTCTCATTTGACTGTAAGATGAGAATACTCGACTGTGGTTGGTCGGTTCTTGTACTCTAATCCAATTCTAATCCTCGGTGAAAACATAGTCTATGACGTACAGCTTCACCAGGCCGACGATTGAATAGCACAAGAGAAACCCGAACAGCTCATAGAAGGGTCCAAATTGCTCAAAATGAATTTAATGAAAAAACTAACTACTGTATGCCTCTAGAACAGATTAGCTCCCGAGCATTGTAAATATTCAAGAACTGTTATTTTTTTCGTTTTTTTTTTTTTTAAGCAAGAATTAAAGTTTCGAGAATGTACAATGATAAAATTCTGTGACGAGGCACAAAATTAAATGTTTATGTATTTATCATTAATAATAGTTCTTCTTTACACAAAAAATTGAATAGTTATAGTTAAAACGTGCAAAAGTTTTAAAACAATAGATACTATAGTCTTTCTCCTAAAAAAAAAAATCATGTTTTCGATCTCCTAAAGTAGGTTCCCCTTTAACAAAGCAATAAAGAATAACTTTAATTAACCAAGTATGAAGAAATAGTACTGAAAATTAAAAAATTCAGTGATGTCATTCACTGAGAAGATTGCAAAGAGCTACCGATCGACTGATGAACGGATCGATTAATTAATTGGCACTAAGAATCCACGAATAATATCTTCGTAAGTACAGAATTACTCGGACAAAGTATATGGAAGGAAAGCGAGAAACTCCCTTTAGGAGCGTGCCCGCACGCTGCGGCGATTATCAATGATGCGGCTCTATCAATAGAGACGGACTACTTACAGTCTCCTTGTCTCTTTTTATCGAGACAGCCTGTCACAGAAAAGTCGAAGAAAGTATATGATAAAACCCTCGCCTTCACGCCTCGTATCCTGATTATACATTTCGCAGCGCTAAGTTGCGCGCGTGTATAACAAAACGACCATGCACGATTAGAAATACTTGTCGCTATCTTATTGTTAGATCATCAGAAAATATCGCAAGCGATAACGAATAATCAGCTGATAAACCTTTAAGATGAACTTTATATAATCGAACGATATGTATAATATCCCATAAAAATCTCGTTAAGTACACTATTGTTATAGTTTCTATATGCAACGCGGAGTGAAATAAATATATCTATGGCCGAAATGCAAATATTTCCGATCTGAAACGTGCCAGGGACAAGGACGCACGAGAATAGCCTCAACATTGTCGGCGAGATCGCATATACGCAATGACGGTTTATAACACGCAATAAAACGTGGTGCGCTCTCGCTCCTGTAATACATATATATCTGCGGTATATAGGTCCAGCCGAGAATTCGAAGAAGCGAAATTTCGCGGTGAATTCAAAATCTCGACAATCTGCGACTCGTCGCAGGTGCTTCCCGCCGGACACGCGGACCAGAGATTATCACTCTCCTCTTACTTGCTCGTCGAGCCGGTACCCACGGCGACGAGGTGGCTGTCGATCGCTGCGTAGCGACGACGGCGACGATGGCGGCGGCGGCGGTTGCTGTCCTACGAATTGGAACTGGCCTTCCCACAGGTCATACTCGAGACCGGCGCCAGGGCCGCCGGAGGACGGCCCCTCCCCGGTAAAAGACACGTGGTCATCGCGGTCGGCCGTTTTCTCGCAAAAGTTCAGCTCCATCGCGGCGCGCAACGCGTCGCGCGTTCTTGTATAGGCCCGGTCGTTCGTGTTTATCGCGTCACGTCATCGCCTGTATTGCGAGCGCACCTCGTCATTCCCGCGCGTGCTCCTCCTTCGTCTTCGTCGTCGTCGCCCTCATCGGCGTCACCATCACCGTCGCCCGCGTCGTCACGACGTGCGACCGCGCCGCACTAACAACCATCGAGAATCTACTCCAGACTTCCTTTTCCGTGCGAAGTTACACGCACTTCCACCGCGACTTGGGCAACTTTATATGTGCCAGGAATATATTCCGAGTCCCCTATTCACTCGCATGTTTCTCTTTCATTCTCTCATTCTCTCTCTCTCTCCCTCCCTCTTTTTCTCCCTCCCTCCCTCCCTCCCACCCTCTCTCTCTCTCTCTCTCTCTCTTTCTGTTTTTCTCTCTGTTTCTCGTTCGCTGCCTCTATCTACTGAACGCCTACTTCGAGCCAGGAGTCTAGAAGTAATCACCGTCGAGACCATATGCCGATTAACTCTACATCGGCAATAGCATTACGCCGAACGCACTCTAATTTTCGTTCTCGCGTTTCTTCTCCATCAGAATTGTTAGCGAAAAAGAAAAAAAATTTCCTAGTTTTTATCTCGATTATTTTGCAAAAATTCTCTGACTAAAACCTGAAAAATTTTTTGAATAAAACAATTTTTTACATTAAAAGCATTATTTTGCACATCGCTTATTGAGATTTAATCATTTCATTAAAACACTACACACACACACACACATACATTCTATATGCGTGTGCGCATACACATATATTCTAATTATCAATTTAATTTTAATTATAAATGATTTACGAAATGTTCATCATTAATATATACATATTTTGACTTTGCAAAGTTAAGTTTTTTCTTTTTAACAATAGTCTGTTAATGGTTTTCTCATTTCAAATTGCTCTTCACATTGCAAAATTAAAAACCATAATAAATATTTACATTGCTTCTCTTCAAAAAATTTTTTTAATTATATTTCATTATCATTTTTAAAAAAAGTAAAGTTTAAACTTAGAATTTTATAGTAATTTAATTTTATCTTAAGTTAATAAATTCCTTGATAATATATAATTTCCCTGACTTTTTCTATAATAATTTTCTCGATTCTCCTTGACCACGTTTTAATATCACTGACTTTTACTAATTTTTCTTCATTTCCTTGGTCGTTAACAATCATCCATGCTCGCGACACCCATCGAGAAAATATTACCGAGTCTCTATCGAAATAGAAATCAATATGATTCTTATCATATCGTTCCAATGTCGCAGAGGCGTAAAATATCCATTCATACCGTCGATAATTATCAGATAGTTCACTCTTATACAGATATAAATCATATTCTCTGACACACTGTCAGTATTGAAAAGTGGAAAATCCGTAGTGTACACACATACGCACACATTACGTATACATGTTATAAAATTCCAGTATTTGCAATAGATATACCGGTTGTTCGAAATAAAGCGTTACAAATTTTTATCTCAGAAACACGACATTATTGAGAAAAATTGTTTAGACAAAAGTTATCTGATTTCAAGGGGGAAATATTATGACGTTTGTTTTTTATTTGGTGGAAAGCTTCAAGGTCATTTCAGGGTTAACTTGGTTTTTTTTTTAAATAAGAATCTATACGTCTTTTATAATGGCATCATATTCTACGTAAAGAAACAGGTAACTTTTCTCTGAAACATTTTTTCATCCGCCTTCAATTTTTCGAGATGTTTTGAAATTACAAAAATGTCGATAATAACCAGCAACTTGAGGTAAATAGATAAAAAGCTGTCGCTCCAGCATTCTCTTAAAACTGTACGCATTTATTACTTATATACCTTCATTAGGCTTTCTACAATAAGCTTATTTAAGTTTTAAGTCTTAAATTATAAGAAATTAACCAATCACAATCGAATGTGAGAAAAATAATCGATTATAATAGGTCAATTTCTTATAGCTTAAGAGTTAAAGCTTAGGTAATAACTTATTGTGGAAAATCTATAAGACATGAGTCAGTTCTTGTGCGTTAGCTCAGATCTACAACAGGTATTTAAGCTTAAGTTTCAGCCATAAAAAATGGATGAATCATAGTCAATTACTCACATTCGACTGTAATTAGTCAATTTCTTACGGCTTAAGGTTTAAAATACCTATTGTATAGATTTGGACTTCGTTGTAAGAAGAAGATCGTAAGAAATTGATCAATCATATAAGTTGAATGCGAGAAAAATAATCGACTGTGATTGGTCAGTTTCTTACAGCTTTCTGGCTTAGGGCCTCTTAAAGCGAGATTGTGGACCCAGTCTTACTGCATATAAAGACATAAGATTTAAGTCATAAGATATTAATTCAAATTCGGACATTCAATAATATTACAAAAGATTAATACCACACACTTATAATTAAAATCTGTCATAACTTACTATTCGATCGTGTTCGAGCCATGAATTATTTCTTTCTGCGAATCGGGGATCCGCATAATCGGTTGTTGTTCACGAGATATTATCTTGTTTCTGATGTCGTCCATCTTTTATACGACTTGTATACTAGATAAGCGATCCATCCCGCGATCAGCAGAAAGCTCAGGAAGGACCATCCTACCCACGTGAATAAACCCGCGGCTTGCGCCGAATGGGCCATGCGCATACCTCCTTCTGATCAAGCCCGATCTATAATAGGTACGATAAACCTTTAAGCCTCTTGCTCTAGTCTAAGCTCTAAACTGTAATGATTTTTTTTTTTTACAAAAAGCGTTTCCAGCTGTAATCCTTAGCCCTATAGATCTATAATAGATTTTTAAGCCTCAAGCCTCAATAAGAAATGGATTACAGTCATAATCAATTATTCTCCTCGTATTCGACTGTAATTGGTCAATTTCTTACGGCTTAAGGTTTAAAACACCTATTACAGATTCGGACTTAAGCTTTAAAGGGCCTTTTATATTTAGAAGTTGAAAGTCTAATAAGACTATTTTTTTCAGAATTTATTTTAAAGAACCTATGCTTTGGGGATATTTATAAGCTTTTATACATTTATTGCACATTGAACTATCTGCAGTAAAAATTTGATATTATAATAGATATTAATTTGAAATAGATTATTTTAATGTCAAAATTATTAACTTATTAACTAAAACATTATAAAAAAGCATTACAAAAGACATTATGGTGTGTGATATTAGTTGCTTTCCACACACTAATTCTCAGATAATTCTCACTTGTAGCATCATAACTCAGTTGAATGCGTGTCTTTTGCATTCTGATAAGTGAGATTCAACTGAATTTTTATCTACAATCTGCATAAGTTCGAAGCTAATCAAGACTGTGTGTCTTGTAAATTTAGTTGAAAAGATTATGAATCTGTGTCGTGATAATTTTTTCTACTAAAGTGAGCAAGTAATGTGACGTCATTAATCTGACAATTATAAGTATAAATACTTAGCTCACTTTAGACTTACATCAGTTTCACTTATGTGTAAATGGAAAGCAACTTATTTATTATTTGGTACCAGATCTGAAACAAAAATTCTAAAAAGTTTTTATTAAATGAGCACATGATGTGTCAATAAGCTTCTATACTTTATAACTCGTTACGCAATTATTATGTGTTCATAACGACAATTGTGCGCAGTTTTTTTTACTATATAAATATAAAGTGTCTACGCAACTATCGTTATGAACACACAATAATTGCGTAACGAATTACAGAATTCCGCTACAGATCTTAACTGTAAAGTTTAGAGCTTACATTAGAGCAAATTAACGTCACAACTCAAAGCTTAGAGCAAAAGAAGGCGTACTGCACCTATTCCAGGGATAGTTTTAGGGAAAAAAAAATAACTGAAAGTTTTTTCTTTTTTAATAACACTCTGTAACGAGTTATTTTTTAGAATCAATAATTTATAATAACTAATTTACAATAACTAATAACTTTTATAATACAAAGTAATTTTCCTATCCCTGATCTATTCTAAACCGGAGCGAAGCTATTTGTTGCGATGCAACTGATTGTGAGACGGACTTGTTCGTGAGGATAACTCGCGATTTCATGTTGAACGCCATTAAATGCGAATGGTTTGCGGTTCACGTTTTCATGCACTGACATTTTATCAAGGCTTGCGACAAAGCCACTACTTCCATCAACCTAGATTGAGCCCCGTTATGTCACAACGTTGTACATACGTACATACATGGATATGTAAATTACTCAGACGAACACGTATTTTTCGCTACGATCCGTTTCACGTGGGCACACGCAAACTTGTCAATTTAATTGACGATCCACCGTGACAACGTCACCATTGTATAATATGTATGTACGTTCAACATCATTATATATATATATATATATATTCTGTTCGCACGAAATTATCTGCGACGTGTATAAAGCTTCGCGTGTAACGGAGTTATGCATCATGCCTTAGAATTGAGTCAAGAATTGGCATATCGTATCGGTATAATTTCATCGAGATTGGATTAAATGCGGGAATGGTTGCTATGTTTATTCGCGATAATGCAAACTCAACGATTAACACGAGCCCCCGATTTGCTTCCATTTAATGATATACATTTTTCACTAACTTTCTATAACTTTCTCTAAATTAACTTTTGATGTTGAAATTTATTTGTTTCAATTCATCTCTACTGCGTTAGTTGTATATTATTATGATATAAAAAGTTTATTATTATTATATTATAAATATTAATCATTTATCAAATTAATATAAAGAATTTATTAACATTATATCTATGTGTTACAATTCCCTAGCAAAACATTTTTTTTTTAATTCTTCATATCATTTTTTAAAAATTCCATAATATAAATTTTAGATTGTTTCATGATTTTTGGATAATTTTATAACTTTAAAAAATGTTAGATTTTTTTATAAATTGAAATTGTAGAAATTCTAAAACAGTTTACGTCTTTTTTTTAGGTTTGTATCATTCTTTATATAGATTTGTAAATTTTGAGTCAGTCTAACAATAAGTTTCTCATTTTATAATTTCCAAAGAAAACTTATAAAAACTTGAAGAAGTTTAACATATTTTTTTATTTTCATTAAAAATGTGAAAAATTCTTAAAAATATCATGATATTGCTCTTTTATTTCAAAAGTAATAACTCAAAAAAACGTGATTTTTTTATGAACATCAAAAATTAACTAACTTAACTACATAAAAAATCATCAAAACCTTAACTCAAAAAGAGTAATTTTTTAGGATTGTAAAACAAAAATAATAAACACATTGAAGCACATTAAGAATACCCTCTTTCTGTCGATATTATTTGATTGTCAATAATTTTCTGTCAAGTTGAAAAAAATAGTTTTTCCTCTTTCCTAAAAAATTTAATTTTCTGAGTTGTGTCACTTTTAATGTAAAGAAGCAATAGAAGAATTTTTCATTTTTTTCGTGGAACTATAGGATTTCATGCTTTTTATTATTTAATTTTATTAATATCTAATCATTCATTTTAACATAGTTTCAAGTTTTTGTGAGTTTTAAGATCTATTTATAAATTTATCTCATCAAAATTACATCAATTTCGTAATTTTGCCTGAATAAAATAGACATTTTCCTTATCAAAAACAATTATTACTTGCCCTCGTTGATGACTCGGTATTTGCTCTATCAGGCGTTTCTACTCGTTTCTACTAATTGTATTGGAGTCCTTTGTATACTTCAGATGTTACTTTGCTTTTTATGTTTCCTCGTTATTGGCAATCACTTTTCGAAATGGAAATATCGATGGATTGACCGAACTCTTTCAGTATCTGTCACGAACTCGTTTTGCACAGTTTCGCTGTCTTCGATCTCACTTTCGTCTTGATTGTTGTTCTCGTAGACGGGATTTACAAATGTCTTTGTTATTGCATCTGTTAATGAGGAGGATTCGCTGGGATCCACGTAGGAAGGACCGTGATCTTCGTTCCGCTCGGTACACCGGAGAAATTCCGCGGGATAATTCTGAACCGCGTCTTGTGTCCTCGCTGTCTGCACGAGTTGAGAAAGATGGACAAAATCAAGGCAGGTTCCTCATGCAGGGAAATCGATCTCTTTTACGGGACTCAGTCCCCGCGACTATAACTCTGTGCAATAAGGGCGAAAAGGATACATACGATATTACGTGTTAAGCCTGAAACACAATGAAAGCACAAGGTAATAGAAAGAGGGAATAATGTTCTGATCGTATACACGATCAGGATTGCCACAGAAAATGAATTTTAAAATTTCTTGATTTTTCCAGATTTTCCAGATGGAAATGGGAAATTTTCCATGACTAATATAAAATATGTAAATTTTAACATTTAAAATCAAGGACTGTAGGAAAGTTAGCTAAAATTAGTATTGGAAAAAAGAATGAAGTTATAACCAAAAAAGGCTGTTAAATAAAAATACAGAACAAAATTTAAATTTTAATCATTTCATTAAAATTTTTTAAAGTGCGAGTTTTGAACGTATTTGACTATAAACGTCAGATATATAATATTATAAAAATTATAACAATTATTTGAAATAGGAACAGTTTAAGGGAATTGTGAGCAAATCCATACATTTTTATATTTTCCCCTGATTTTTTCTCTGTTTTTTGACTAATTTTAATTTCCCTAACTTTTCCTGGTTTTTCAAATCTGTGGCAACGATTTCTGATAGATTGAAATCCCTTATTCTCTGTTTCTTATTGTCTGTACTTTTCAATTGTGCTTATCTAACGACGTCTGGCATTCTCTGCGAAGTGGTCTCATGAATATCGGTAAAAGCGTTAAAAAGATCGTTTCATTCTTTTCTTTGTTTGCAGGGGCGGATTCGTGTTGTTATGGAAATTATCAGTGAAACTTGAAATTCCTGGATTCGTCACTGCAGTTGTTGGATAATGATGTCAGGAAAAAATGACTCATTCTCACAGTATTGAAATAAATCAGGTCTGTTCAAGCGTCATAGAGTGAAAGAGCCAAGGAAGCCCGTCTTTTAATCTGTAATTATAGTAGTTTTTATTTTGCCTCTGTGACACCCATAATGATGCTATGATTTCCTTCAGGCATCCTTATTTCTTATTACAGAAAATACGAACGTTTCCATACAAAAATTTGTAGCAATATTGCTGCAACGTGTTTACATTTTATCTCTCTTTATCAAGACACCGGAGAGTGTTTCGGCTTACGAGCCGAGTTTTGGACAGTCCCGATTTATTTATTATAATAAATCGACTTTTTCATATGTCACCAGCGAAGTTATTCGGAAGTAATTGGCTATCTCTTAAATATATTGTACAGGATCTGTATGATTTCTCCTCTCTCTCTTTTTCTCTGTAACTAAATCCTATATATTAAAAAGTCAGCATCCGCCCCTGTTCACAGTTGTATATAGGTATAACAATTATACAGAATAATTAAACTGACTATGAACAGTCTAAAATTCAGTGAATATCTTTCGAGCCGATTGAATTAATTCCGTGAGACAGCTGCAAAATAAAATTGGAGGAAGTGAAATTTACCTGTGAGGTGAGCCTGGGCGAGCGCAGCCAAGCAGCAATCTTTCGACGAGACTCGCGGGAAAAGCTACGATAAACAATCACGAGCAAACCGATCGCAAGAAGGAAGAGGAGAGCAACGGTAGACCAAGACCAACCCGCGGGCTCTTCCTTGGTAACGTCGTGCTGAGCACAATAGGACGTCGGATAAAATGAGCTCGGACAATGATATGCTGTGTAGGGATCGTACGAGAAGCAACGTGGATATGCGGAAGGTGGGTAGAACGGATAAGGAACAGGATGAGGAGTCTGTGGTACCGCAGGATGTGGATGGTCTCTCTCAGAATTACGATGTACGCCGCCGTAAAGTTGACGAGAACGTGTAGCGCACATTGGCAACAGATCCTAAAATTTCTCAGGACCTGGGAGGGACACTTCGCATCCTCAATACGTAGGAACAAAGTGACTTTCACCGGGGTAATTTTGACCGAACGACTTTCCAAATCAGGTTAAACGAGGAACTGACTATTCCGTACAAAAGTTGACGAACGAATTTTCGCATTCTGCTGCAACTTCGTTCGCGTTGCATCGCGCTTTTTCGCTTTTTCATAAAATGGGAATTAATAATTCATGGCTCGAAGCGATGAAAAATAGAAAGGTGGGAATTCATTCACATTCGAGTAAACTTCTGAATAAAGAAAACTACGTTAAAATTGTAAGACTTACTTTATGGCTAAGATCCATGACGTCCTCCAAGGATACATCGCTATACACGTCGTCCGTAGCGTCGTAATTCGAACCCATTCCAGAACTGTTGAAGCTGCCACTGCGATAAAGTTGGCTACAAATATTATAGTAGAAAGATCTCGTTTAATATTCACATATAAAAGAATCATTGAAGTTGGAACGAAATTTCGAAATTGTTATTTGGAAGTATTTACACACGACAATTCGGAAAGCTATTTCTAAAAAATTATACGTATATAATAAAAGTGTAGAAAAAAACATAAAATTCTGTTAATTAAAAAATATAGATAGATATTTTAGTTTGTAAAAATGACAAAAAAAATTATTTTTTAAATGCCGTCAAATCAACAATACGTATAATTGTATTCCTCTAAAGAACTCTAGTCGTACGTGAGAATCCAATGTTTCCCTGCCCGTTTTGGCAGACGGATAAGACCACAAACTTTATATAAGTCTATGGATAAGACACGTATGTATAATTGAACGTAACGACGATAGCATGGAAGAAAACGCTAATATCGAGGCAAATCGCGGGTATGGAACGTAACGTAACAGAAGCACGCCCACGTTTTAGAAAGTTCGTCGATTCGAGTTCCGTGAAAGGAGCGACTTCGGGAATGATTAACCTTGATGTGGAGGCATCATCCTACGGCCAGCGAACTCTTTTGTCCGAGATATTCATTTCCTTTTGCACGCGTGGGTAAATTGAGAAAAAACGCGAGAGATAGCAAAAAAAAGTTTGGAACAGGCGGTAAAATTGCTAGTTAATTAAAAGACAGATAATCTATACATCGATAAAATATTGTATTTTCTTACCTTGCTAAAGCGTTAGAACTGAGTCTCTTTCTGCTCGAACTGCAAGCATAAAAATATTTTCTTTAACATTCGTACATGTCATTTACGTTTTATTATTATATAAGATGCTTTTATATTTATAGATTACTCGTCCGAGCGAGTTATATTGCGTTTTTATTCCCTGCGATGCCAAATGCGACGAAACTTACGTTTTGATTATAAGCCAAGTCGTAGTTTCTATAAAGGGAGCCGCGAGTGCAATTACGATAAGTATATATTATTGATGTTATATCGTCAGCCTTACTAAGTAGCAATTTGTTTGTCGTGTGCTATCAAATTTAAGAAGATTATGTAACACATAAATTTTAGATATGTATATTACAGATTTTTACATTCATTATACCAGAAAAGTAATCCCTCTAATAAATAATGTTTCTCATTGGGTCACCTTTGATTTGATTCATATAGTATTTTTGATTTAATGTTTGCAAGAGAATAATATAAAAAAAGTATAATAACGTAAAAAAGGAATTTTGTATGAAAAGATTTCAAGTTATGGTGAATCGTTTTTTTTTTAGTAATATGTAATTGGAAAATCTGTAAATCCTCATATATGTAAGTCTCATAAGTTTTGTGAACACTTACTAATTTTGGTCTTTTTTCATCCTTCTTGTCTCATGAATCATTTAGAGAAAAATTTCATTTTTTTATTGATTATAAGTATTTCATAAAATTTTGTATCAAATAAAGGATAAGTAAAATACAGTTCGATTCACAATAACTTGGAATTTATTCAGCACAAAATTCCTTTTTTACGTGATTCTACACATTGTAAATATTAAATAAAAAATCGTAAAAAAATACAGTATGAGCCAAATTGAAGGCGACTAAATGTGTTAAGTATGGCTCAACGTCTCATACGTTCCAGTGCTTCGGTAGATTAAAATTATAAAAACAAAATCAATATATTTTTTTGCTGTTAATAGTGTATGTCAAAAATAAGAATTGAATAATTATCTCTGCTTCAGTATTTCAAGCGACGAGAGAACAGGAAGCGATTGTTTAGGTAACGATGTTCTATAGTATATGAACTCACTTCCGTTATTTCGTAGATACAGATAGAAGGCCAAAGATACGCAGGCGCTTTTCAAGAAATTTAACAGGTTTCTTATCTTAGTTATTGCATTAATGATGTTATTTAACATGTCGTTAAGTCAGTCGCTTTCCCACGAGAATCTTTTTCACACGCCAAGACGGTGCAGCGGAATCATCATTGTCTCGTCGCGACGACGCGTTGTCGTGTTTCTTACGGCACGGTGAAGGAATGACGGAAAATTTCTCAGACACAAAATTACGCACGCGTATGTATGTACTTACATGCATACAAAAGCAAGCAACTTGTTACAAAGACGATTAGTGTCCGTTTCTTACCAAGGAGGCGTTCTCCGCAGCGACGTGCGCAACCAGGAATGTTTTCCAATGGTGGAATTCGGACTTCTCGGATTTCTACAAAGTCAGAAAACAGTGATGATTGCGCGAGCCCTTTCTGCAAAGTTGGCAAAAATGTTCTCATTGTATAAATAAGCTCGCGATTCAAAGAGAATATCATTTCATTATGAATGATTGATAATAATCAGCATATGAGATACTAACAATAGATTTGTTAAATATTTTATCTATGTTTAAGATTTATTAAGTCTTTGTTGAAATTGTTTAATTTGGAACGAAAATTTTTTTGAAAACATATTAAAAATAGCTGATTTATTCGTAACTTTGATTTTCAATATTAATATGTTAATTGAGTTATAAATAATAATGTTTTAATCCTGACGAAAATTTTTCTTAGAATTCTTCATATAATACAAATTAGTTAAAAATAAGAGAAAAGAGCCGAATAGTTTTCATAAAAATTATAAATATAATTAATTCAAATCGCAATACATTAAAATCAAACAGAGTAGAAATTCGCAAGTAAAATTCGCAAACAGAGTAAAATTAGTAAGTAAAATTCGCAGACGTTTCTTCATATAATAAATATTTAGTTAGCACTATTCAAATAAATGATTTATTAAAATTCATTACTTTTTCGTAGTATATTAATAAAAAATTAAAAATTTTTTTTAGAATCTATATAATTTTATAATTATATTATTTTATTTTAGAAAATTTGTTGAAAGATTTTTTTATACAATTTAGAATATTTTTCAGAAATGCTGTAATTTTTTCTAAAAAATCTAATTTTTATATATTAAATTCTGAAATACTTATATCAAAATTTCTCATTTTATAACCCCTACGTAGAATAAAATTTAAAAAAGTCAAGGTGTTTTTCAAAAATTTGCATAAATATAAAATATGAAAAATTCTTAAAAATATTATGAAATATAATAATTTTTCTAATTAGAATTTCCATATTGTGATTGCACTAACATTCTGAGGACAAAACCAATTGTCTATAAATGAATACATTTTTATCTCGTATTAACTTTGCATAATAAGCGGCTTTTTTCCTTATGTGGTATATTTTAAAATGGCAGACAAAACGCACATGTCAATCAAAAGAAGTTCTGCATTGTATGTTAGATCATGTGTATTGACTTTCACACAAAAACATTAACAGGAAATCACTATCTTGAATACGCAACACGCGAGAATTGTAAAGTGACTATTGAAAATACATTTCCATTATTATGTAATTCGTGTGCAACTTGCGACTACAGATGGCAAGTCAGTCGGTATTGTTCCAAGATGATAGAGCACATTGTATGCAGTATCTTGCTCTCGTGTAAACTCATTCCAGCGTAAAAATATACAGGTATGCTTCGAGTTATATTGCATTTTATAACGTTTTTAGTATCAGCTTCGGAAATAATGCCATATTCCGCAATTGATGTTACGTATCGAACGAATAACGGTATGAGACAATTGACATAATAGAAGGTCCAGTTTGCTTTTGCTCTACTCTTGTCTAGATCAGAATAGTAAAGTGATTCTGAATATTCTGATGCTCAAATATGCGTTATCGCAACTCGATTTCCGATTATTCAAGTTAATTATACGATATAAATCACAGAATACGAATAATTTGAGACAAGAAAACATTTTTACAAAAAAGTTAGTTTCAGAAATGGGAGAGGGGGGGTCCATATAAAGTGCTATAAGAAGCTATTATCTCTGAAAGTATGCGTCAAGTGAAAAATGTTCCGATAAAAGTTTTGTGACTTCGAAAAGAACATAAGATGGAATCATTGGTTTGATCTGAAAGATGGCGTTGTCAAGATCACTTTAAATTTTTGTAATAAAACTTCCATTTTTCCTTGCATATTTTTGTAGCACGTATACACACATCTCGAAATCTTTTTAAAACACTAGAGAATAAAATATTTTTTCGTGAAGAACTTTTTGAGTTATAAAGTTTGAAAATCACAGTATTAACATTATATATCCAAGGTGCCCAAACGATGGCTAAAACTTCTTGAATGTTGTTTGAGAATATGTGTACACACACATACACGCGCGCGCACACATACACATACACTCATATATGTATATACATATATTACATATATGTAAATAGAAGTAAATTAAACTTAAATGAATTTTAATTCATAAACTAGATTGTTTTGTATACCATTTATCCTTTTTTCCCCTAAATTTCCTAAATTTCATTGTTAAGTCGATTCACCTTATTAGGTCTGTCGATCTTATCTTGGCCGATTACCTTCAATAGCCATAAAATTATTTGACGATGAAATATCAAACATATTGCATCCTATTAAATACTGTCATATGCAAAAAAAAAATGAATGTAAAAGAGAGTTTTTGCGATATATTCCACAGAGTAATGTTTCTCAAACGAAAATAACATCGGATTTACCTGTGCAAATTGGTACCAATCGGCGAGGGCGTGGAACTGCTACCGCCCGGCGACTCTGGTCCATCATCCACCGAATCGCCCTCAACGGAACCGAAACCTTCGTAGCTCTCCTCTTCGTCGTGACAGTCGATTTTGATTGTGGTAGCATTGGCCGATGCGGCCTGGTGATCGTCCGGGCTCGCGGAATACCGTCCCGAGTCTGTGAGAGTCGAACTGTCGAAATTATGCAAATCAACCGACATCGAGAGCGAGGGCGGCCCGCTCTGATTCCACTCCTGAGGGACGCCGACGCCGTTCGTCGCGCGTCTCTCGTCCTCGCGCGACGTGTTCACCGCGCCGTCGGTTACACCGCTACCGTTAATGGTGGACGTGACGTTAACGGTGCGGGAGCTCACCATCCTTGGACCCCGCGACGGGCCCCGTCGGAGTATCCGCGCGTCGCAACGTGGTGCATGCGCCGCCAAAGGATACTCTCATCCACCACCACCGTCGCCGTCGTTGTCGCCTGTCCCGTTGTTGCTGAAACACCACGTTCATGAGTCAGATCTAAGGTATGCCAGGAGCGCGTCCGCTTTGAAAGTAACAAGCGGCGTGGTAGACGGGAAAGAAAGAGAAAGAGAGATGCAAGTCGAGTCAAGTCGTTGCCCGCGAGAACTTCTCTTCTCTCATCCTTCAACCGAGAGAAGTCGGGGTCGAGGTAAACTTGTATATGTATGTGTGCGCAATGTTTTTCACACAATTTAAATCGATCTTGAGAAAAAGAACGTTCCTACGTTGCTATTTTTTTATTCAAGATAATGGCAGAAGTGCGCGCACGACTGAATTTAAAGTGCGTCTTATTCTACATTTTGTATTACATTAATCAGTTCACTTTCTGGCAAAATTGTGCAATAAAGCAATATGTATAATATTTTATAACTTCCAATATATTATTGATTATATGTTAATGAGATAATACAACCATATAAAAACCGCTCAAATAAGATAGACATTAAAAAACACCTCCAAAGAAACTAATCGATTTTTTTTCACGGATGTTTCATTCCTATGAAAAATTATATGAAGAATTTTAAGAAACATTTTTATTAGAAAAACTAATCATCTGAAAATTGAAACATGATCTGCGTGGATTGCAGAAAATGTATACCATCACAGTTCAATTTATATAAAGGAATTTTGCTCCTCCTTTGCGAATCTTCTTGCATATTTCTTGCATATTGCTTAGTAAAGCTGATTCTATACATTAATCGCATTACAACATCGCAAGCGTTGTGGACCAATTTCTACAATAACTACATCGCAGCATCGCAAACCGGTGTCGCAAACGTTGCAGTCTAATCAAAGTCTGATGTTGATTAGACTGCATCGCTTGCGACACGCTTGCAACGCTGCGATTTGATTATTGTAGAACCAGTTTGAAAGAGGGACTCGCGGTCATTATTTTAATGAAGTAAACACAGACATTGCATACCTATATAGGTATATAGAACAACGGCGAGATCTCGTGATATTTCTAGTTTTATTAAATACATGTATCCGAGGGACACACATATACAGAGTAGAGGAAAAGCGTGAGAAACCTGGTAGGAAGGTCACGATAGTATAATAGATGCGTTCGGAGAGATGCTATCAGCGCTATGATTGCAAACGTTACCAATGCAACGCTATTCGTAGAGCCAATAACACGATATATGTATAGTATTTGCATTCTATGAACAACAAATGTAATGTCAGTAGCATTCATCGAGTTAGATTAAAATGAAACATAACATTTTACAAAAGAATTTATATAGAATTATATATTTTATAATATAAATATATAATATATTAAAATTTTTTCAAGAATTATAAAAGATTATTTTATATATTACACAATTTAAATATCATATTTTCTTTACAATATAAATAATTTATTTATATGCATTGTTTTTAGAATTTAATTTATAAAGTTATGATGCTGAAATACAATAAATTTATTTCTTATAGAATAACTAAGAATAAGTAACAACAGTTACAACTAGTTACTTCTATTTCCTGGAAAATAACAAAAAGCTCAACTTATAACAAGGCTTCACAACCACAATTGCAAACAACAACAACAACAATTGCAAACAAAATTCTGAAGAATAAACCGCAAACGAATTTAAAATATGAATATCTTAAAAATGATTAAATTACATATTCTGTGTGTTGTTCTGAGAAAAATTCATTGTAACATTTTTATCTGATAGTCAGATGACAGTCATTTTTTCAAAATTTAATATTTTTTAACGTATAAAACTACAAATAAATATACTACAATCAAACAAAGTACATACGACTACAATCATTCTCGTTTTAGTTCTTAGGTGCCTATTGATGAACGTGGCAAATGTCACGCATGGTAGCGCAGCATTTTTTAGAAGGAACTGAGAGTTTCTGAATTATTTCTGCGTTGCCACATTAGATAAATCCAATTTCACTTGCGCATCGCAAAAGTAAAGTTATTTGAACAAAAGTTGAATTTACTGAATGGACCTCTTGCCCCGTGAACTATCAAGTCCTCTTCTTTTGAGTGCCTGCTGGACTGGGCCTCGTCTGAGGCTGAAATCCTCTGAGTCGAAGAATATTTGAACGAAATTTGAAAATATCAAGTTGTAATGATGGCCGGAGTGAATGTGGAGATTTATTATGTGTCACACTTATGGCTAAATTTGAGACTACGAGAATAAAGGAATTTTAGCTCCTATTATTTTAATTGGTTAAATTTGAATCTTTCATCAATCTCTTCAACCTCCATCTTCAGTGCGTAATCTGATTCCGGTCTTACCCGCGCAGTGGAAATTGGCGCGAGATCCAATCAATTTATCGCTTTTCCATAAAAGCGAAAGAATAGTTAACTACTGCGCTAACTTCCGCCGCGAGCAGCAAACGTTATACCGAACGTTACCGCGTTCTGTATGCGATAACGCAGCACAGCCATTAGGCTGCTTACTAAGCGCGCCGGGACAGGACCAACGGTCCCCAGGCACTTGTCACTCGGAACGGAATGCGTAGATGCGTTTCGAATCACGGCGAGCTGAGAATGCTGAGATTCCAGTTCGCCTATTTAGAGCGGGCTCGAAAGTGCGAGCGGAGAGCGGAGGATATATTTAACGTGCACGAGTCTCCAATATGTAATCTTCGTTCTCTAACGGCACATAGATATCGCCGGTATCCCGTCGCTTAATCCGTATTTTGTTGCCGTTCTGTTCTCATCCGATGCAAAACGTTCGTTCACGAATCTAATTGACCCTCTATCGGTTTGCATCTTCTTTAGATCGATCGTTCCTGAAAAGTTCTCTCGTATTATACTTCCAAGTTATATATGTATTACGACTCGTTTTTATTTTTACATCGATCACAGATTCAGTTTTCTATATTATACTTACATACGTTACAGGATGAAATGTTTTGTTTGCTATACACACTTTTTTAACAAGAGTTGTGTGTAAGAATAAAGAATACACGATCGAAAAGCATAGGCAACAGGGAATACGAGATTTCAACTTGTCATACATACATGGCAGAAACCACTGGTCTGTTTTCTATTCCTGCACTAAACCAGCACCAGAACTCTCTTTCGATAAACGTATACCTATCTCACTTGAAAAGCGTATACTCTAGTTTAGCCACATAGAAAACAGACCTCCAGTATATCAGAATACACGCTTTCTGATAAGTCGAAATCTATTATCTCCTGTTTCTATTACTTGTGCGCTTATTATTTTCACTGTGGCCGATTAGAGACAATAAGTTTTGCGAGGCCTCTCTGATTTCACACACTCGTAGATGATTAATTACTCTCCTTATAGTGGCGAAATGGCGCAATGAAATAAGTGACGTGATAAAAAAGTCCGTTTTATTTTTAATAAAATAATGTGTGTTTTCACAACATTCGGTTTTCTTTTCACAAGCAATTTCACAATCAAGAAATGAGCACGGTTAAAGGATTAGACGCGAGACTAGAGCCGAGCAAATACATATACGTTCTATTTTTAAACTGGACACGCTCGCATTGCACATACGTCGAAATTAACAACTACATATGTATACATATGTTACAAAAAGTGATTAGTTACGAGGACGATCGAAGGTCTGTACAATGGAATTTACAGTAACGGGACGAGAGCGGTGCGCTGAATTCGCATACAATCCACGCATTTTACCTTCGTTCCTTTTAGACGTGTATAATGGCTATTTCTACCAATGCGGATCAATTTTAATCTTGGTCCTTAACTTACTCTCGATCTTTTCCTAATTCTAGAGAAGAAAGGTAGAGTGAGTTAAACCGAAATTAAAGTTATTCTATATTAGTAGAGATAGATGTAAAGATGTACAGATAGCGCTTTTCGATCAATTCGGAGTTCAGTTTTCAACTTCTTCATCGATATAAAAACAATATAATATTCACACATCAATGAAGGACGATGCTCCTCTCGACTGAAAGTGGAATGTGTCTTTCAATGAATTTAAGTTCTCTCCCCGAGAGAACTGTCAACTAATTGAGAGGCAAATTTTTTTTAATGAAATAAAGTTCTTGTGCCAAAGACCGGCGCGGCGGTCGACATTTTCTCGCCGCGCGATAGAAATGTCAACTCCGAATTGACCGAGGAATTCCTCGGAAACTCTGTAACAGAGTTTAACACGCGGTGGTACCACTTTTCACGCTATCCTCAAGAGAGCAGACTTCCCGACGCGGAAAAGCGCGCGCCGCGGAAGTCAGATAGATTTTTCCTGAAACTCGACGGACTCACCTCGCGCGTTGATTGCAGTCCGATCACAGGCAGGTACGAGACCGTATACATCCACCGTTCGTGAAGCGGCAACGTGTATATATTCCCCGTTTGTCCGCCGAATCAACACACCTGTGTTCCACGCGCGACGAAATGTGTCGCGAACACAAAAAAGACGCGCGACGTCTATACCCGGGAATAAGGAAAGGACCGATCAATCGAGGAGCGCGCGGACCACGCACGACCGAAATAACGGTCTGCGATCGGCGAACTGCGGCCGAACTGAAAGCATATAGAGAGACGCGGGACACGGAGCTGCGCGAAGTCGCGAGTCACGACGCGAAAGCTTACGGAGACGTGGAGCTCCGAGGAAGTGGAACGTATACGATTGTGGAGCCACACCGGACTGATCGACGGCAACGAGGGGTGCGCATGCGCACTCCGCCGCGAAATTACCGTGTACTAGCACCGATCGGTATGGTATATATATATGAAACGCCGTGCCGCAAGGACGCTGCACCGACTGCGACAGGCGCACAGTGGTACACAGGTGTGCGTCACCGTTGTATCTGCTGTCATGGCCAGATATAAGAGAGAGAAAGAGAGAGAGAGAGAGTACAGTGTCGCTCAACCGTGTCGCCGCGTGACGGTAGCTCAGCGTGCGAGTGCGTGCTTCAGCCTGTTCTACGATCGAACCTGATAGAATCGCAAGCCGTAAGTCATGAGAAATTAATCGATCGTAAGTCAATTGTTTTGTTCATATTCAACTGTGATTGGCCAATTTCTTACGGCTTACGACTTGATTTGTAGAACAGGCTTTAGCATCCGGTTGATGACCTACCCTAGAACTGTATAGTCTGTACATTGAATTATACGGCGTAGTTCGAATTCCTATTTTTTTTATCCTATTAAAATGCCAATTTTTTTTTGCGAATAGGTGGAGTGGATGGAACTAAATAGAAAATCGTGCGGATAAACCGCGCGGACGTACGCTTTTGTATTCGTAAAACTTTATATTAGTTGATTTCTTATTAATTATTGAGAAACTCACAAAAGAATTTTTCTATTTATTTAAATCCGCTCTACCTGCCAACGAGAGATGATGATTTCTGAACATCCTATATACATATTGTATAATTTATGCACGCACACACCCGCAAACAAAACGGGTCATACTAAATTTTAGCGCAAACTTTTAATATTTTTTAATAACGATAGCTCAGCAAAAAATTTTTATATAATATTTAAAATAAACCAAAGTTCGATTTAAAGCTTCAATCTCTTAATAACCAGGAAGATCAAATTTGAGTTACAAAAAATGTACTACAAAATAGCGAACGATAAAGATGAACACATTGAAAGATAAGAAAAAAGTTTCTTCTTCAAACTATTGCATTGCTCAGGGAATTGGCTACCAAGCAAAAAGTACATCGAGTCTTTTAAACTCATTTATTTCCAAAGAAATTCATGTTTGAAACGTTTTTCTCTACGATATTTTTGATAAAGTTATACACACACAAATTCACATATATCAACCATTTTTGTGGCTGTATTCTATATTATTATAGGGACTCTAGAGGGATGACGTCTCTATAGTTACGGGCTTCGTGGGCCTGTCTAAATCCATTACTGCTTATAGCAGCGAATTCTCCTGAACAATACAATATTTTGAAAAATTCTTTTGTCCGTCTTTAACGTCCGGCATTTTGTAATACATTTTGTGTAACTCATATTTAACTTTGATGGTTGTCAAAGAGAATATTCAAGTCTTAATTTGAGCTTTGGTTCATCTCATTATGATTTTTCGTTGAGTTACCGCTACTAAAAAATATTAAAAATTTATGCTAAAATTTAGTGATCTGTTTTTTTTTTTACGAGTGAATTTTTTAACAGGTTTTTTTTCATGCGAGTATTCTCAATGGTTTCCGTAGCTCGTGCCGATCGGTGTTATGTGAAAAATAAAATAAATTGGAAAATGTTCCGTTTTCTAAAGATTTTGTGGTCATTCTTTAAAGAATAAAAATTGTTCATTTTGACTGAATGTTATCAAAAGACGTGGCCACATTTTGGGGGCGTATTCTATTCAATAAGAATGGAAACAATAAATCATATGAACATGATTCGGAAATGTTTCTTGTTTGCGACATAAGTTTTTAGTAATAATATTTAGTAATCGTTTTCCATATAACTTTTTAGGTGAATGCGATTTTGTTTACTAAATTACACTATCAAATCAATTTTGTGATTTTAATGAAAATTTTCTCAAAATTCTGACATGATAAAGTATAAATTTAGTAATAAACAAGTATTCAATGCTTAAAAAAACTATCTTCATTCCTGTGTTAAAAAAAAATCATTATCTTGTTGAACAGTATAATTAAATCGATCGATGGATTGACATAAAAACCATATTGCATAGTTTGATCTAAATTCTTTAAATTTTTATTTATGGAGATATCTCAAAACTTTTATTTATGGTACACCTACTACATTCCGAAATCTATTATCGCTTTGTGTGAAAATCTAAAACATCTCAAAAATTTCTTAGCATCTTCAATAGTCCATGAGTATTACTGCGAAGCATGCATTGCTGCGGAAGTTTGTAACAATTTCTTTAGCAAAATGTTTTTGTCTATTTCTATTATAAGGAAACCATTAGAAGCAAATGGGAGCAAGTGAAAAAAAAAATGAGACCACGTAGAAAAAGAAATAGCTAGAATAAGAAGATATATGTAAAAGGATATAGATAGGGAGATTAGAAAATTGAAAGAGGAAGGGAAAAAAAGAGAGAGAAAGAATTAGAAGAGATTAAGAATAAACTCTTGAGGAAATAAAAAAAATAGCAGAAAATAATAATAAGTGAAGAGTTGAAAGTATGGAGGAAGTAGAGTTGCAGGAAGGTAGGAAGTGAAAAGGACAGCGAGAATAGGAATGTAGTCTGAAGTTTTAGAAGGAAGGGAGGTAGTTCCATTAGAGCAGAGTCAATGATTAGCGAAAGAGAGTTAAGTTATAAAGAGTTGAACGTGTTAAAGAGATGGGTTACAGAAATGAGCGATAAACATGCTTAGAGAGATTAAAAAAGATAGAAGTGAAAAAAGAAAATAGGTGAGAGAATTATTAAAAGAATAATATTAGGCCTATTTCTGTTAATAAATAAAAAATATATTTATAACTTGGATAAAAAATGTTTCCGGACTCATGTTCATAATATTTTTTGTTTCACCATTCGTATTGTAACTATACACTCTAAAATTTAGCCTATCGTGTTTCCAAAACATCCTGTATTATTTATATTAATAAAATAAGCACTCTTTATATTCGTTGAAAAAGAATTATGAAATACTTTGAGGCTCCCGCTTCTTCCGTGCAATCACACGGGATACGTTCAGGAATTTAGAGTATATTATTTTATCCTTGTTGATCACCGAACGTTAAAGTAGGATAAAATAATATCTATATATTTAAGCGAAGTTTTCGAATGCTACCTTAAATTATGGCACTAAATAATGGCGTGTAAAAAAGAGTCGATTTAATTTTGATATTGGCATATACATTAGCGTTAAAAAAATCTACACGACTTCCCGTTTTTAACGCGACGCGATATAATTACAGCGAGAAAAAGGAGGTCTTAAGAGTTTAACTTAGCACAACAACATCAATTAAGTCTTTGCCATTGGTTCGTCATCGGCTGCCTTATTGTAGACCTCCTTGTAAACGAGCTCCTGCATCTGCATCCTGAGCAGCATCCTGCGGTCGGCCGGCAGGGTACGGATATGCGGTAGTAGGCTCATCAGGAAGTAGTAATTGTCGTCAAAACGACAGCTGCCCTCGAGTGGATCAACGCCTGCGAGACCGGTGTCACTGTCACTCATCAGGACTTGCTCAGGCGAGATGTTCTGCAACATCATCTCGTTTTCCGCCAAGTTGTCGGTGACGTTTTGGAACTCCAAGTTGTCGAAGCTTTCTTCGGGTTCGCGCTTTACGTCCACTGTGCCACGTCGACCGTCACCGCTGCCGTCCAACTTATGCTGATGGTGGTGTCGGTGATGATGGTGATGGTGATGGCCGATGTTACCATCGCCAGCCATCGACAACAGATGATCGGCGATCGCATCTCGATCGTCGAGGCCGCCGTCCATGCTTGAAGTCAGCATACCGTTCTCGCCTTCGCCCTCACTTGGCTGCAGCTCGTCTTCTGTTTTCGGAATGCTACGTTCCCAGATCGGCGGCCGCGGCAGCATCTGCTCCTTGAGGAATTGCAAACTTTTGAAGTGTATCCATACCGGCCGATTCCGGTGAAACTTGCTCTTGCGGTACACCTGATCCTTCTTTAATTCAGCACGGAACGTATCGCGCAGGCCCTTCCACTTTGCCTTCAGCATCGGTTCTGTAAATAGACAAGCTTATTCAGTGATGTTGCAGACAACATACCAGCTCGCTTTGCAAATGGAGATTCGATTATTCGTCGGTACTTTAAAAGGATACTCTGGTTTTGTATTAATAAAATTTTTAACTCCAAATTCATCTAGAGAATAATATATGCAAAATGCAGACGTCCTGAAGAGGTCCATCAAGATATCTTTCAGACATTATGTTATAAAGATATCCTCAAGGCGTTTGCAAGGCATCTTGTTTCCCCTTTTTAGATATTCATGTTGTCTGCTGGGTTATCTTATGTCCCATTTTTTGGTTCGACACCTACACAGCATATGTGTGACTATTTGTTGACTCTTTTTAGTCAACCTAAAGTCGGCTTTTAAAATCGACGTTTAATCAACTATTTCTATGGTCGTATTGCTTTGTATTGATTAATGAATCATTTTACTGTTTATACATCACTGAAGATGGCTTGAAGTCGATTTTATTTTAGTTTGTTGTAAGGAATCTTGAAATATAATTTTTTAAATAATAATGCATGAATTATAGTGCAGTTATTACTCTCAATTGCCTTAATTTGAATATTATTTTATTGTTATTTCTAGGATGGCTTTTGTTGACTGCATGTAAGTCAACTTAAAGTTAAAACCATTTCTGAAGAATTAAAAGCCGTCCTTTTCATGTCCGACTTTTTAGTCGATTTATATTATCAACTTTCTTTCTATTCTCAGTGAACGAGAACGAATTGAATCGGATTTTCACAAATACATATTCGCGAATGTTGAAATGAATCTTTTCAATCTTAATATATATTTTTATTCATTTACAGGAATTGCATGAAGCACATTCTATGCCTTTCAATTTCAAAAAATTCAGTTCTTTAAGTGCATCGTGAATACTGTTCAATTTAAAATTCTGAATAGAAAGTGCGGTATTTCAATTCAATTGAATCTTAAAAAAAGTGAAAATGGACTATAAATGCTCTAAAGTTAGATTATGCATTTTGGGGAATTTAAATAAAATTTCATCCATTTTAATTCATTTTAAATTTTAATCCATTCTCGTTTACTGGAAAGTAAACTACTCAGCTAATGCTTGATATAAAAAGTTCGATTTATATCCCCAATATGCCGAATATTCCAGAATAGTAAAAAAATCGTCAAAATGTGCAAATTTCAATGAAATATTCCTCCCCAAATATTGTATGAATACTTCTTGTATCACGAAATTAACGAGCAAATAAACAGTACATATCGATAGAGGGTCGCAACGGAGAAGTTTTTACAGTGTCGAGCAGTGTAACACTGCGTGTCACAGTTGGAACACTTTGTATAAGACGCAGTGTGTGACACTATTATGTCATTTATGCATCGTTGATCCACTATCGCGTTATTGGCTTTATAAACAGCGTTGGTATACCATTTGCGTTCATAGCGCTGATAGCGTTTCGCCGAACGCATCCCTATAGTGTTAAATGAGATTAAAACGCGTGAACGCTGCGCTATATTAGTGCTGTTATAGTTGATAATGCTATCTTAGCTCCTCGAACGGAGTTCGCAGCATTTGTATTTACCGCGTGACGGTATAAGCTTCTCGAACGCGCATCTTTAAAAAGCTCCAAGTAATTCTCACATATCATCAATACGTTATCTCTCTCTCTCTCTCTCTCTCTCTCTGTCTTTCTCTCTCGTTTACGTTCCCATTTTTATTCCAACTTCTTGCCCCTCGGTAAATTGGTTAAAGGATTTACATAGCGATTGTAGTATCAAAATAATAATGGACCAATCCCCCCCTCCCCAAATATGTATCGTGTAGAGAGCGTAGCGTTTTAAAGCATTTAAAGAAGAAGCAAGTGGACCGCAACCTTATTGATAACACAACAGTATGTATAATATTCATGGACTAAAAGGTTGCAGCACTTTCTTTTCGATGGGTTTCGGAATGCGGCCTACTAATCGAGCGATTGATTTCTTACTTATGGATCCATAAATAAAAAGTACAATGATAAAATCTATATGATAGACAAAATGAGGCCGCGGTATCGATTGCACTTGCGCGCGCGCACGACGCATCTCTGCGTTTATTCTGCGCATGCGATCTCGACCGAATGATTTGTGCGTGTGCAACGTGTGCGTGTGTTCACGTTGATTCACCGTTTACGGTTCAATTAATATTACGATCGTAATACGACAAGAGATCTCCTTTCGGTAGTGCACTAAAGGATATCTCAGGTAAAATGTCCCGAGCGGGCGTCACGCGGCATTGACGTAATCGTATCGGTGGCGTACTTCGCGCCGGTTCACACGCGGAATGGAGGTTAGGATGATGCGCGTCATGTCAATACAAGTAAACGCGTGCGACTCGCGAATCTCGAGAGCTATACATTTCAAAACAGCAGAAATTTTAGAATAACGTAAAATAATATCAGCATCTAAAATAAAAAGTAATTCGCCAAGTGTCAAATATGAAATTTAAAATTTTCCATCTACGACGAACTTCACAAAGTGCAGAAATTTGTTTTTGAAATCTCTTTCATGCGTTGAAATGCTGTGTTTCCCGATAAGGAAATCCGCTCTGTCTCTTCGAATTTGGATGCTGACGCGAGATAGATGCGACGAGGCGGAGGGAATAATGATGGAATGTAATTCATTACAGCCTGATATAAATGCTTTGATGTCGGAATAGAGATACTGCGATCTTCTTCTGTATTTGCTTTTTCGATTGAGTGAAGCTTTTGAAACGTCGAGATCGCATTGAAAGACTCTTCAAATATTAAAACAACTATATAATGAGAAATTGTAGTATCGAGATACTTTTCAAAGACTCCGCCAAAACCGCTGAAGATGGATTCAGACATCCAAATGAATCCGTATAGTTTGTCTTTTTTTTTTTTGTAGATTTTTGCGGCATAGAAAAGACAAAAGATTATTCTAGCTATTTATTTAGAACGCGTTGATATTTTTGCGTAAAATGCAAATAAGAATTTTAACGTCGCGTTTCTCCAAAACGATCGAGTCGGATAGGGAAAATTTTAAGGATTCATAAGTCAGATCAGTGTTGCTGTATCCTTCTCGACCTGACGACTCGCTCGATGTCCACGATCATCGCGGTCGCGACGTACTCATCCTTGGCCAGAGGAGAGAGAAACGATCACACGAACGAGCGACGCATTTTCTAGGCGAAAGACAACTGACAAAAGCTTCTGCGAGCCATAGAGAGCGTATAAGGTAGCGCGTTGTGTCGCTATAGCGAGAGCGATTGCATATCGCGGCTCGATCCCGTTGCACCAATCGGGGATGGATGGGGGTGTTGTGTTTACATGACACGTACTGGGCAAATTGAATATCGCTGCGATCTCCATCCAGACGCGGTTGGTCACCTCGCGATTATGGTAGGAGATGTGCCTCTGATTCCAGAGCGCCGGCCGCTTGTAGACCTCGGCGATCAGCCGGTTCGCGTCCATCTTCACTTCGTCCCTCATGCTTTCTTCGCCTCGGCGTCGTCTTCTTCTTCTTTTCGCCAACTCGCACCCTGCCCCCGCGGATGGGGAAGCCCGTTACGGTGGCGAGTCAGGCGAGTGGCGGACCGATGAGAACAAAGTACGGGCGAATACTAGCGCTGGGATAGCGATTAGCGCGCAGGTCGCTGGCGGATAACGATCGATTTGCGTTTCGCCCTCGTCTCGCCTCGCTAGCGCTAGCGGCCGCGCTCTTCCGAAGTACCTTACCTCCTCGCCGCCCTCGCCCTCGCCCTCGTCTTCGCCCTCGCCCTCGCCCTCGCTCGCGACGCGGCCTCGCCCTTAACATTTCGCCTCGCGCAAGTGAATAGAATAACAACCGAAGGACCGATATCTCTTATTCGCCTCGTCCTTCTATATATGTTTATGTATGTACGATCGTCGGGAATAAAGCGCGCTATAGCCTTTATCGAATCAGCGAAGAAATGTCTTGGATACATTTAATTTCTTAGAGATATGTACCTTAAAACTTTTAAAATAAATTGTCACTCTAAAAAGTTAAATCTTATACTTTTGTCTCCGTTTTTATACTAATGTAAATTAATATTAAAACTCCTGAGTTTCGCCAAAGTGTCGTCACGGCCATACTGAATTGTGACGTTAGAAGCGAGAATAACGGATTAATTTTCATTACTTGTTATTTGTATAATTAAAGACAATTTTAATTAGAACGAAATAATATAGGATTGCGTTAAAATACTTGTAAAAATGGGGCGAAGCTGTTTTTATATCCCCTGACAGTCAGTAAATAGTCGTAAAAGATGATAAAAGATATTTGAAGTGCGTTTACTCAATGCGCATGCGTAGTCTATTTTCACGTGCTTTTTATCACCTTTTACGATTATTTATTGACTGTCAAAAGGGATAAAGGATTTACCTTATTTTTACAAGAGTTTTAACGCGATCTCTCATCACTTTCTTTTATCTAAATTGTTTTCATTTACAAATGGTATACGTAATAAAAATTAACGTGTTATTTTTCGCTTCTGACGTGACAATTCAGTATGACCATGACGACATTGACGACTACTACTTGCGATTACTAGGAGCCTTAATCTCGGTTCAACTTACTCTTCATCTTTCTAATTCTTAGAACTAGAAAAAGATGAAGGGTTAGTTAAACTGAGATTATAAAGTTAAACTACATTAATAGAAAAGAGCATTAAAGATTGAAAATTAAGCTTCTCTTTTTCAAGACTGGCTTAATTTTCGCTCTTTAGAGTGAGATTCTACTCCAAAGCACTTAAGAGAAAATAGAGAATATTATAATAGTGTATGCGTCATGCAGCCTTGTTGAAGACTTCGATAGATTTATTCAGGGATGATTTCATCATAAAGACTCATTAGTTCGTTACATAGATTGTAATAAGTAATATAATAATTCTGTTTTCGCGAATACAATGCGCGAATGTAATATTTGCGCATCTAATGTGCGTTCACATCGCCTACAACCTTCGTAATAATGAAAAATTTTACTCCCAATGAATAAGGGCCCTCCTCCTTCAAATTCCTATAGTCATTTTATTTTCTAGGGTTTGTTACAACGACGCAAATATTCACGCAATATGGACGCAATAGTCACGTATTTCGAATGACATGGTGCATCCTCAGTAATGATGAAAGTCTCAGAGTTGATAGTGCAAGGAGCAGAGGCACGTCTCTACAAAGGGTTTTATTTAGGAAAGGCATGCCTGGTAAAGGACAGATTCATAAAGAATTATCGACATCCGGAGCTAGATGCACGTCTCACCAAAGACCGCATCAAAGCCGAGGCTCGCGCCATTATCCGAGCGAAATCCGCAGGTAAAAATGCATAACGCATCGAAGTACGTGATCGATGGAAAAATATGGACTCGCATTCATCCTTTTCATTTATTCTCGTTTAATGTATTGATTTGACTCGTTCTGTTTTTAAGGAATAGCGACGCCGGCTTTATACCTAGTAGATTTGGAGCGACGCAGTATTTATATGGAATACGTAGAGAATGCCACAGTGCTGAAACACTTCATAGATGAGAACATTTCGAGAAAAACCGACGTGGATCATTTGCTGGATTTCATAGGACGCGGACTGGGCACACTGATAGCTAGGTTGCACTCGAGGCATATTATTCATGGCGATTTGACTACATCAAATGTACTACTCAAGAACAACTCAATAGAGTCATTCTACAACAATCAATCAGGAGGTAAATTTTTCGTGATGGTATTTCTCTTCGTGCATAATAAACTCTTTAATGTCGCTTTAAATTGCAAATATGATCAACGATAAATAAACTTAATTATAATTTTCATGTTTAATTATAAATCGAATTATTGCTGACAAAGTTACTTGCATCAAAAAGGAGTTTCAACAATTTATTATATTCGACAAAATTTAGTATCCTTTGTATCTAACACGGAATCTACAATAGAAGTTGTAACGGTCGTAAAATCTTAAGTCGTAGAAAATTAACCAATCACAGTCGAATATGAGAAGAATGATCGATTATGATTGGTCCATTTTCTATGAACATACAACCCTACTGAAAAAAAAAATACGTCACAAAGTTACATAACGAAATCATGTAATATAAAATAGGTAAATCGCGGATTGTTCCAAATCAGTATGTGATTTTTTAATGTCACGTAATTTGAAGTCATACGATGTTTTTTTTCTTTTATTTCTATCATTTAATTATTTAAAATTCGATAACTTTATAAAATCATATGATGGATGAAATTATTTCTAATGTGATTTTAAAATTACACACACATTACACAGAGTGATATTCCTTTACAGCCAAGGCACAGTTCGTGATGATTGACTTCGGATTGGCCCGAGTGGATTCCACTCTAGAGGATAAAGCCGTCGATCTATATGTTCTCGAACGAGCGCTACTTAATGCGCATTGCGAAGTGCCGACTCTGTTCTCCCGTATTTTTCATTACTATCAACAGCATTATCAAAATAAAAACCAATGCGAGCAAATATTCACTAAATACAAGCAGGTACAAGCGCGAGGACGTAAGCGCTTGATGATAGGATAAAGCGATGGAAACGCTCCTAAAATTTATATTGTAAAATTCTGAGAAAAATATGAATACAATGTATTCATACAAATGTATTTTTATAGCATTACAGAACGCCTTTTACCAAATTTTATATGTTGATCAATTGTAGACACTCAAACGAGAACGAAACAAGTTTTGCGAAAATTCGATTGTGATTAAAATGATTAAAATTATACAAGATACATAGTTTGAGAAGATAAGAAGTCTTTTCTTTTTATACAGATAAATCATATATATATATATATATACATATATATAATATGTAACAGTATACGAGAAATGTCAATATATAACAGTATCTATTATGAAGGAATGACTATTGCATATGTATAATGAATTTGGCAGCAGCGCGATGATTTATATGAAAAAGCTATTGCTCTTTATCTGTGTTCTTGTTGAATATATCAGTCATAATGTAATCCTGAGTATATAATAATCCAAGTCACCTATTAACAAATAACAGTAATAAAATACAGGATAAAAGAGCAAAAGAAAAAAGAAAAAAGATGATCGATTAAGAAAGATGATCCTGCTGTACTTACCAAAAATCCAGCAAATGAGGTCATAAATCCTTCTTTTGTTAATTCCCATACACCACCATACTCTTCTTCATCAATTTGTTGAAAATTGCTAAAGTATAAATATGTAATTCCTGCATTGACTAATACAAATCTGAAATACAAATACATGATAATATTGTGATTTCAGATACATATACAGGATATCCTATTTTAAAGGATCCGCTCAAATATCAGAAATACTGTGTTAAATTAAAAAATATTTCAGACAAAAATGTTTTGACCTTAAAAGGTTTATAAGATGGTATCATTAGTTTGACCATAGGTGATATTGTTAAGATTATAAAATGATTACTTTAAGGGGCCTATTCTGTAACTTTTAACAACTGCAATGATATCGTTACATTATCATTGCATAGGTTTTGTATATTGCAAAATAACTATGCAACGATAATTTAATAATATTGTTAGAGTCATTAAGAGTTACAGAATAGGTCCCTAAATTTTTTAAATAAGATCCTCCATTTTTCATTACATATTCTTGTTGTTTCCCTTAAGAGTTTTTCACAACACTATAATAAATTATTTTTTATTAAGTACTCTTCAAGTTATAAGGCTTGAAGATGACAGTACAGCCAGCATTATCAAAATTATAAATTATAATATTCTGAAAAGTTTTTGAGACAAGCTACAAGAATATGCAATGAAATATAGAAGTTTTAAAAATTCAGAGTACTCTTGCTTAGACCTTGACAAAGCCTCTCAAATTTAAATTAATAATACCTTCTTATGTTTCTCTCGAAAAGAATTTTTTTTAAAACTTTTTATTTAATACAGCGTTTCTGACATATTTGTATAGATCCTTTAAAATAGGACACCCTGTATATTGCAAGATTGATTAAAAGGTGAGCAAACAGTTTAGTTCCATGATGTCTCTTATGGAATGGTTACTTTGTATACTTACAACAATAAAGCTATAAAACCTTTTAGTGGTATAAGGCCCCATCCTATGCCAACAATAATACCGATTGCTTGTCTAGCCCAATATATTACATCAAGAAATTCCTCCTATAACAAAAAGGAAAGATATAGAGACGACAAGTTAGAAATAATTTCCATTTCGTGGATACCTTTTCTGGATAGGATAGAACTATACTAGTAATACTATAACACGACTAAAGAGTTATGTTTACCTTGTCCGGCCACTCGGAGTTCGCAGTGATCGCACGTGTCCATACGTTAACCTCATACTTGGCTCCGTTTCCGTTCTTCTCCGTCCTCATACGCGACATCTCGGAAAGCTCGTGATTATACGTCGACCGTCGAAATGATTACGCGAGCATCAGCGCGCGAGGAACTGAACGGACTACAATCTACAATACACATATATCAAATATATGTATCATAATGTAAAACAGATATGTCTAATTTTAGCTCTGAAGTTCAGCTTCTCGAAACGCAAGACCACCAACGCAAAGAAAATCAATACGATTGATTTTGGGAAGTAAATAACGTGTATCAACACTTTACAGTCCTCGAAATCAATTTTTTTACATTGATGATAATGATCGCTCTAGAGGTAGAGACCAGAGTATCAGACTAAAAAGTTTGTTCGTGTCATATACTCCAACATGTTCTACAGCTTCTAATGGCTCCAGCACACTGGACGCGGAAACGCTTGCCGCACGGCAAAATGTGACACGGTAGCCAATGAACATGTTAGGAGCTGTAAGCTCATTGGCTACCACGTCACATTTTGCCGCGCGGCAAGCGTTTGAGCGTCCAGTGTGTTGGAGCCATTAGCGTTAGAACACCTGAAGACAGAAATTGCGCGGCAGAAATTGGTGCGATAACCAATCAACGTCTTGCCGAGACGTTGATTGTGTCTTCAGTTGTCTTCAATAACATGGCAGAGCCAATCACGGAGTAGATTGATCAGCATTGTTTGATCTCTACCTACAATCCAAGTGTGGTGGTTCAGGTGGTTGAAACCATGGTGATAGTTGATAATGGTTGAAACTGAAACCTAAGGCATGAGAGAGGATGCATAAGGCGGATACGATCAGCACGTTGTGCGAGGCCACGGAGCCTGGCGTGATAACGCGAGACATGCTTGTTTCTCTAGCGATAGATCAGGGACCAAAGAAAGAAGGTGGCAGATTGTTTCGTCAAGATGGGATCGAGCTGGCCGAATTGGAGGAAATTCGAATCGAATTCCTGAGTAAGTAGAAACTGTACGTATACAATCATTATGGATGATTTTATTTAGTGATACAAGTATATCACTCTGTCTTTTATTACGTTTACACTGTCCGATTTACGACGAAGTTATACAACTTCGACGTTATGTGTAGTTTTACAATAGCAGTAGTGGATAAAGCTGTAAAAGTAAACAACTGTCCATTTTAAGCGGAATATTCTTGTTACACTCAGCTGTAATTGGATAGTTTATTACTTTTTTATATATTGTCTACAATATTCGGAGTAAGAGGTAAGAATAAGAAATTGACCAATTACAGTCGATTGTAAGAAAAATAATCGACTGTGATTAGTCAGTTTCTTACTTTCAGAGAATTAGCCAATCACAGGAGTCGAAAATTTTCAAAAACTTTATTTTGCTCTGATTGGTTGATTCTTTTGGTACGATTTAGGCCGAAATCACACTATGCATTATGAGATCGAAGATTAAAATTTAGCCAATAAAAATAAGAGAAGCTAAAATTTTTATTCTCATTAATCAAATTTTAATTTTCAATCTTCAATCTCAATCTTTAATGCCTAGCTTAATTCCAGCTTTATAGTTACTGTTAAGCTGGGGTCACACGGTCCGTAGCTCGGCAGAACTCTATGCGCTGTGGGACCGCAATTTTGGCTTTTTTTTTTAAATCAATTTTGATACTGATCCTATGACGAGCCTAGGTGAGCCAAAACGGATCACAAGCCATGTCGAGCCATGGACTATATGACCCCAGCTTAACAGAAGATGTGTCCCTAAACGCTATTTTACTCGTTATTTTACAACTAATTGTAAGACTAATGTTTTATATTATTGTTTTGCAGAGATTTTAAATATCGATCATCTCTGGCTATTGAAAAATATAGTTAAACTATCACTGTCTCATAATGTTATTCAACGAATCGAGAATCTGAACGAGCTTTGCCACTTGAAAGAATTAAATCTCTCGTTTAATAGTATCAAAATTATGGAAAACTTGAATAATCTGCATCAGCTAGAAATTTTGCTTCTATATAGTAACGAGATCTCGATCATACAGAATATAAACGATTTGAAGAAGTTGACCATTTTGAACATTGGTAAAAACAATATCGATGACTGGAATCATGTACATATGTTATACATATCTTGTATTTTCTCGCGCTTCTTTGATCGTCTGTGACCTTATGCATTGTCTTACAATACACAGAGTAAGAAGATAAGAAAATGATCAATCATAGTCGAATGTGAGAAGAATAATCGACTATGATTGATCAATTTCTTATTTTTTTTTCGTGTATTATAGACAACACATTATATATATATATTTTTTTAAATTGTTTTATACTATAAATCTTAGATAATCTTCTAAAAATCCTATTTTATATACAGAATATCTCAGAATAACCACCAAATATTTTATGTACTGATGAAGCTAACAAGCACTATAAATTTCACAGAAAAATAGCAAGTGACAAAAATTGTTTATTTTCTTCTCATAGGATTCTGATAATTTTTTCAAAATTTTTTAATACTGCATTTTCTCATGGTAAAAATAGTGGCCAATAAGAAAATGCAGTAAAAAAATTGATAAAAATTCTGAAAAAATTCTTAGAGTTCTATGAGAAGAAAATAAACAATTTTTGTCTCTTGCAGTTTTTCTGTAAATTTGGTAGTACTTGAGTAAAAAATTATTAAAAACCAATATTTAACAATTTTTAGTAATTAATATTTTGTTAACTATTGCGAAAATTGCAAAATGGTAGAGGATTTTTTGACTAAGTTTAATCCACTATCAGTACACGAAATATTTAACGGTCATTCTGGGACATTTGTATATATCAATAAAATAACTGTGGCTCATCCCAAGATTGTACTTAAGATGATCTTAAATGTGAGGTTGAATTATAAATATCGTCCTTTGTCATTCATGAAGTTTCATTAATGTATAGGTTGTATATCTACGCGATTTCAAATCGCTCAAAAGTTTAAATACATCCGACAATCCTTGCACGAAGATAGACGGATACCTGGACTATTTGTTAGCATTTATACCCCAATTGACTTATTGCCAATATAGAATGATATCTGAAAATGAGCGTCAATCCGCCATCGATAAGCATTAGTGATTATTAATTTTATTCTAAAAAAATCTGCCAAATACTTTTTGTAAATTAATATTTATTGTAAATAAATAATTACATTGTTTTATTTCTACAGTCGTATAATTAGTAATCTCAAAGAAAACGAGGCAAAAAAGCAAACAGAATTGGAGTTGCAACAAGAATTTGAAAATAAAACTGTATTACTATTTGCATCATATGTGGAGCATCTTGATGAAGATTATTTATTCCAACAAATATTTTCTTCTGATAAAGGTACATTTATATTTAATTTCTTATCTTACAAAATGTAATTTATTTAAATGTTTTGGTGCAAGTAGCAGGCAAAACGTTATCCACAATAAACGAAAATACACAAAATATATTCGAAGAGTACCAAAAGTCTTTCGTTGCAATATGCCATGAATTATACGAATTAGGTTTACGAGAGAATGATAGGAGAGTGGAGGAAATTAGATTATTTGAAGTTGTGGTTAATGAAGGCAAGAAAAATATGCAAATTGAAGCAAGAAGGTAAAGAAAAAACAATTATAAGAATTAAATGGTATAGTCCATTTATAAAACTGTGATTATTTATTTTAACTACTCTGTGATCTATTCTACTAATTAATATGATAATGACTATGTCACTTATGCAACATCTTTCTTTATTTCAAGAATTATAAATGAAATACTTGAAAAAAAGACAAGGATATTTGCAAATATAAAAGATGAGATGGAAACTTTAGTAGAAAAACCGGAGCAAGAAGTTGAGAGTACTATCGCAAACGCAAGAGAACTATTTAATGAATTCAATGATTTATTGTCTAAGACACAAAATCAGTTACTATCTAAAGAAATTATATTGCATGATCAAATGGAGGTACGTTCACATAATATAAATCTATAAAAAAAAAGCATAAAAGTAATCATATTCAGAAAGATGATTTGTTTTTTTGTCAAAAAAAAAGGATGTAAACGAAGTGTTCAGGATAAATATAACATCTATGGTCAACTCATTCCTAGAAATTGCACGAGAACACTTTTCACTATTACGAAACACAGAAAAAGAATATAATAACGCGATTGAATTAGTTTTACATTCTCTAAATAATTTTGAGGATGAGGCATTTCATCTTAAGGATCTGTGCTGTGATAAAGATACTTTGGCTGCTATTCTTACTGCCTCGCATGAAATACACTTACAAGTAAACATTTATTATTATTATTAATTTTATTTTTAAATCCCAAATAGAGTACAGGACTTTTTTAAGATAAGGAAAACAGCTCAAATCGAGATTTGATCTGCTAGTTTTTTGTAAAAATTTCATATTTTAATTAATTTTTCTGAGAATTGAATATTAGCCCACTATCCAACTCTTGACGGATAACAAGTAAATATTAAAAGTTTAAACATTATTAAAATAATTAGCAACTAGAATTAGCATATATAATATAATCCATAGGTGATAGATGATCGAGAAAAGATCATGATAAACCGTCTCAATAATTGGCTTAAGGAGTACATCAATCGATTATTTGCGTAAGTACATATTATTTCAATAAAATTTAATTCATTTCATTTTATATTAATTTTAATAAACAGGGATGAGAATAAAAGGAATCGTCAGCAAATACTGGAAATTTCACATTTCTTTGAATTTCAACGTCAACAACTTAATTCGTTAAGCTTACCACAACAGCTAGACTTGATAAACATTGATCTAGGCGATGACGATATGTTGAAAAATTAATGATTAATATGATGCAACGTTTTACTTTTTCTGTTAATACGGAAATAAAATTTGGAAAATATATGCGAATGTGATATTTGTCAATGCATAGTATATGAAAATATACAGGGTGTCTTAATAACTATTATCACCTAAATATCTTCTATTCTATAAGGTGTAGAGAAAAATTTATATAATCAAAATTACATGATGTAAAGAGAGCTATCATATGGTGATAATAATTTTTGTTCAGGTGTACACCTTATTCTGACATAATTTTTTCAGTAATAGGTGTTCGAAATGGCCACCACTATCAATGGGCGAGTTTAAGACGGCAAAGCGGCTAGGTACACTTGTCGAGCGATCGAATATGATTGGTTGGATCTATAAGTAATAACCAATTATGTTCTTTACTCAGCGAGCAGGCTAGCCACTTTGTCAACTTAAACGTGCCCAATGCAACATTGGATTCTTCTGATTATTGATTAGCTTGCTATTCTAATAACGTCGGGAGATATTGACGTGTACAGGCTGCAATAATTCGTTGTTGCATGTCGTGAGATGTAGTTGGTTGTTCTTTGTACACTTTAGGGTTTCTCATAAAAAAAATAATCCAGTGGTGTCAAGAGTCTGGTGAACGAGCTTGGTCATATTACAGGTCATATTACTCCTGCGTCCAATTCAACGAGATTTGAAAATTTTTCATTGAGTTTATGCAATCGCAACCAATGAAAAATGAGCCGAGCATCCATCGTTCTGATACACTCGTAAAAGTAAACGTGACAAGCGAATAACTCACGCAGAGAATGAAATTCAGGTTAATATTAAATATTATTAATTAAAAGAATGCTTGTTTTCATTGAAGCACGATGTATCAGTTTTATTTGACGTAAAAAGTTATGTCAGAATAAAATGTAAAATATCTCGTAAACTACTGATTTTTTGGTATCACGATCTCTTTTTTATGCAGCATAAATTAGAGGAATCATATTATGTAAAAAAAATTCATATAATTCCATTAAAAAAAATAAAGTTGACCTTAAAATCTCTAAAGCGCCTCCACCTGGACAAAAATTAATATTATCATATAATAGCCCCCTTTACATTGTGTTATTTTAGTTATATAAATTTTTTTCTACATCTTATGGATAAGAAGTATTTTAATAGTTATTGAAACACCTTGTATATCAAATATATGTTGGGATGACACCCAATTGGACATTTTCTTCTTCTTTACTTATTGGCTGCGTTCAGCAGAAAATGCAGCTTTGCAACTGTCGCAAAATTCTCGAATATAATTGGTTTGTTTATTCAGCTTCAGTAAGGAACTAAGGGCAAGCTCAATCATGTTAAAGAATTTTACACCAGTTGTAAAGCTGCTTTTTCTGCTGAACGTAGCCATTGGAAACCGCTCGATTGAACACGTTCAATTGGATACAGTATGATTGGACACCAAATATACTATACGCTTGGAATAAGCTATACATAAACATTATATAATTTAAATCTCAATTAATAATTATTTCGTTTTATGTAAAAACATGCAAAGTACTTTCTAATCCAGGTTGGAGCAAATCCGGTCGGGTCGAAAATGTCATCGAGGGTATCGATCATGAAACTTTTTCCTTAGAATAAAAAGTGACAAATTTCTCCATTAACTTCAATGATAAAATTTTTACTTTTCAAGTGGAAAAAGTTTCATGATCGATCGCAAATTTCGGAACGGTTGGTTACTCTACTTATAGGTACTTTAGTCACTAGGGGGCACAAGTTTGTATCACTGAAATCACCGCTTCTATCTTCCTCGAGGAATAGAGATAGAGACGAGTAGTTAAGGAGCTCCAATGTTGTGTCGCGTGTTCTATCTACTCTTGGTCAGCGAAGAACAGAACAGATCCATTTTACACTTTCTCAATCACCCAGTCGTACGTCAAGCTTAACCGCGACAGGTCCGCTAGCGGTGCAGATTCGCCGATGTGACGATTTAATGGCAAAATCTGTTACATTCCGGGCGCCACGGCCGAGGAGATACATGTAATCCTGCACACAAGCATTTTTGGTACTTTTTAGCAAGCAACACTATGTTACACAGTGATCATATCATCTTCGTTTAATATTAACAAACAACAAGGATGTAATGATTCATGTGTTACACTGTGTCTATTGCTAGATGCTGGAAAGCATCTTTTTACTTGCCCTACTTGGATCACTGATTCTTTTAACATTCTAATAGAGATACATAAACACATATTAAACTTGTCTATATATTGACGAAAGTCCAGGTGACGTTTTACTAGTGTGTTTTTATTACAAGTCTTCTTTCTAGCTAAACTTTTTTCGCTCGGTTTCTTCCAACATAAAAAGAAAAAGAAAAATAAACTATGTAAAAAATTCAGTTAAAAAGAACAAATCTTATGCGCTCTTATGCCAACATCCTTCTGACCTTTATGTCAGCTATACAGTCAAGTAAACTTGTCACATATGGCATATACAAGCAATACTTACCACACACTTACACACCATACACACACATACAAGTTTATTGCAATAACTACAGTTTTTGTTTATATATGTTTCAATAATCTTGTATATATCCAACTTGTATATACATATTTCATAAATCTGTTTGTTTTGAACGTGTATGGCTGGCTTTACAGATGAAGCTGCTCGGCTGGACGCTAGTAGAGAGGTTCATTAATGAAACGGCATGCTTGTAAGAGACTGGCTGCACATCGCCACGTGGGATGAATGAAGAGGAATTGTTGAAACGGTCTGCTGCAGAGCGTGATAGGATTTTCAGTTGCTATGATCGTGGTAGGGAGGGTGCTGAGATTGATCCTTGGGAGGATCCCGGCTATGAAGTTTATCATACCACAGATAGATATGGATTCATACAGTACTTACATACCTATATATTTAGAATTTTATGATTATACAAGGTACACTATAATCTCATTTTTAATCACCTAATATAACTGTTTCTCTTGTTATAGCGATAAGAGGTTACCACAGAAACGGGATGCATATGAGGTCAAGTTGCATCACGTAGAGATGGAAAGACTGAAAAAATGGGAGAAAATGACGAAACAATGGGATAGTGCCTCGACAAAGGAAAAACTACGCCGTAGAATATACAAAGGAATTCCTAATAGATTTCGTGGTCAAGTATGGACCTTACTTTTAGGAATAAAGACTCTAAAAAAGGAGCAGGCAGGCAAATATGAAGAGATGCTACAGTTGGCCCGCCAATGGTCTACGGAGATACGACAGATTGATGCCGACGTTGCCAGACAATACAGAGATCATATTAATTATAGGTGCGATATTATAGAAATGGCACGTTTGTGTTTTATTACATGAGCTATGTATCTGAATAGTTGAAAAAACATGATCATTTTTTCAGAGAGAGATATAGCATAAAACAAAAGTCTATGTTTTACGTACTGGCTGCCTACAGTATGTACAACATGGAAGTAGGATATTGCCAAGGAATGTCTGTACTAGCTGGTCTACTGCTGCTTTACATGGATGAGGAAGATGCTTTCTGGGGCCTTTCTGTGTTGCTTGCCGATCAAAAATATAGCATGCATGGTTGGATTTTTCTTCTATTTTAAAATAAAATTATTTAATTATACATTTTTAATAGTATATTATGTTTTCTTAATATATACGTATGTAAAAGAATTTAAATTTTATCATCTATAGGTTTCTAAATATGAAGTAATATGTAAGAATAGAAAATTATCGTTAAAAAAATTTATGAGTTTCTGTATAAATTTATCATATAAATAGGAAAAAAGATATATACACTGTAAACTTTAAATGTCACAAGTAGTCACAAGCTAATCATATTTACAAACCTTTGGATAAGATTGACATTTATTGATATATTTAAGTTTCTTTTTATATACAATGTGCGTTTTACAGGCTTTTACGTCGATGGATTTCCTAAATTAAATCGCTTCATAGAGCACCATGACAAGATAATGAACAAATTTTTGCCGAAACTGAAAAGAAAAATGGATAAGTGCGGCTGCGATTCTATACTCTATGCGTTGAAGTGGTTCTTCGTTGTTTTTCAAGAAAGAGTAGGTTTTCTTCTTTATTTCATTCTATATAAATTTACATCTGTTAAAATACAACCATATTATTACCATTATTTTTTTAATTTCTCTATAAGTTTTACTTATAGAGTTTTGTGATGTTTTCACATTTTATTTTTTATTGTGTAATTTGTACTGACTATTTTAACGATTACTTTAACATTAAATAGCCACGACAATCCAATTAAAATACAATATTCATACTGATATAGATATACTGATTATAGTTGTAGAAAATCTTTACATTTTATAGATATCTTTGTTATATGTACAATATTTGTGATGAACGATATGTGAATCATATAAATTATATAATATTATATAATATTAGATTAGTATATTTTATAATATTAGCAATGTTAATTTATATTTTGTAGACTCCTGTTAGTCTTGGTCTCCGTATCTGGGACATATTTCTGTTGGATGGTGATCGCATGTTGTCGGCAATGGCATATACCGTTATGAAGCTGCATAAGCGCTATTTGATCCCGATGGAGAGTCTTGATGAATTTTGCAATTATCTGCAAATCAAGCTGGAAAAGGATTTTTGTTTCGATGACGACACCGTGATAAGTACGATGGAGCGCAGCATGGAAGAGTTAAAGCGTGCCAAATTAGACTATTCAGGTGCCCCGTTGCCACATGAACTACCCCGTTATCCGTTTGGTACTTTCCAAGAACCAACTTTTACCAGCAAGGTATTGCTAAAACGCCCCACCCTTTGGTTCTTTATCTATTATATTTATTATGCCTATTATATATATATATAGTAATAGGTACAAATTTTTATTGAATATTGATAAAAATTCATACTTATGTATTTTTTTTACACCAATTGAGCTATCTCATTATATTGTCTATAAAAGTATTAAGATATTATTTTTTGATATATTATATTACATTGGAGTTATTATTTTACATGGTAAATGTTGTAACATGAAATCGTGAAGTAATCTTATAATAGAAAAAATATCCATTGAACTACTGATATTCTTTCATGATAATTTTATTATATTGTAATTGTATGTTTGTTACATTTATCAGGTTGGAAGGCGAAGCGAAGAATTTAGCGAAGCTCAGCATGTAATGCGAGAGTCAGTGGCGCAACGCAGGGATATGACATTGATCGACGACGGCAGGGAGAGCACCACGCCTGTCGAGCCGACTAGTGGTCTTGGCGGTGAGTTTAGAGATAGCCGCAATACATTACACAATAGCACAGACAATACCTCGCGCGTCGAACGCAGCGAGTTCGAAGACGAGGATGACATCGACTCAAATGTCCAGATAACAGTTATCTACAACACTAGACTGTGAAGACGGAAAAGTGCTTTGTCGCCATGAATATCGCGACGCGAACAATTTTGCTCAATAAAATTTTGTTAGAGATTGAATATAGTTTGTAGAGAGAGCCCAGAAGAAGCTTTTATCATGATATTAAAGCATAAGAAATATATCATTTGTAAGACAATATGTATAGTCATACGAAATGATTTGTACACAATAATTCTGTGCACACAGAAATGGTATTAATAGAATATTTTTTTATAATATTAAATGTCGCAGGCGGTATATGTTAATCTGTTGCTTCAGATGGCTAAAGAAGTAGTTTGGAAGAAAGTTTAAAAAAATATATATATTTATATATTAGATAAATTAAAAAACTATTATTATCGAGCCTTATTATTCTTATACTTTAAAAAACTATGTTCAACATATGCATTTTAAGCATATGCTATATTTAGAAGAGTGATCGATAAATCTGATCTGAACATTCTTTCTATCTTTTCGTATATATATGTTTATATCTAATAAATGTCTCAAACTTAATAAAGCCAAGCCTTATATGATGTAACACAACACACTTTATCCATACATATGAATATCCTACATTTTTAGGTACATTTTTAACGCAATTAATATTATTCATCCTGTCCGATTTAATTATTAATTTTTATATATTTTATGTTAAAATTTCCTAATATATGTTATATGGAATAAAAGATATACCTATTGTCCACAATCATTAAATTATTATAAAGCATCCTCGTAAATTGTCCATTTTCACCTTTTATTAATGCTTTGCATCATACTAGATAATTATACTTGCAATTTTGCTTTAAAAATACTTGTGTTCATTTTTATCATATAGATTAACTTTAATCTTGATTTTACTTTTCATATTTTTTTTAGTTCTAAGAATCAGAAAAAATAAAAAGCAAATTAAAGTGAGATTAAAGTTAATCTGTATTGATAAAAAATATGGACATTCAAAAATATTGATACCTACATATTTATATATTAACTATAATACGCATTAAACAAGATAATACTTAACAAAATTAATTTGATACAAAATTTAGGTGCTTACATGTTTCGGTTTTGTTAAGCTTTCTTCAAAGTATAGATGAAGAAAATTGAAAATTCATTAAACATAGATAAACGTTAAAACTTATGCATTGCGCTGCATACTCCGACGTAATAAAAAATAATTAGTCATGCGGAGTTACCTTCAAAACGCTTTATGAATATCATTCCCGATGTTAGAAGACCGAGTGAAATAGAACTCTGGATATGCTATTATGACTTAAAATTTACTGTATCAAAATCCCAGTATCGAAAATCTATAGTTTACGTTAAGTGTATTATAGATTTTCAGTACTGGAGCAAATTTTGGAACATAGCCTATGAATAATATAACTGAACAGGGGGAAAATAACGAGAAATTATAATTCGAAATGCGATGAAAGTAAAGTATATCAAATCTAAGAAAGCGCATCTTGAATGTGAGTCCAATCGATAAAGATTAATAGTAACATTAATTGTCATTATAAGAGAAATTGCGATCTGAATCAAGAGTATATATAATTTTTGTAGCCGTCTCGAGAGACTTTGTTATTATTATTACTATTTCTAGTCTTCTTCCAATTTTTTCCCCCACCTACTACGCAGTAGACAAAGGTGGGGGGAAAAATGGGAAGAAGACTATAAATAGACATAAGGAAGGAAGAAACAGAAAGGAACAGAAAGAGGAATACATCTATCCGTTTAATCATAATCGACTGATAACAGGATGTAGGAGAACCATGATTTTGATTGAGAAAATATTTTATATGAAGAACCTTATTATTACAAAAAGATTGATATCGAAAATGTTTATCAAAACATAAATAAACAGTCTTAACTTACAAACTGACATCGAAGATTTCTGCAAAATTTATTATTAAAAAATCGTAACTCTGCAGTATTGTCTCGTCTCGATCGTCAATGTTTGTTTTTTATCTATGAACTGCTATTTATTAAATTTGCACCGATATTTTTATTTTTACATCTTTACATATTATATTTCTAACGAAGTTTTTCTCTTTATAGGAAGTAAATTCTCCTTTGATCCGAGTCTCGACGAGGGCACATCTCCCAACGGCTCTCGTCGGTCGTTAGCCGAGACGTCGGTGACATCGACGGCTGATTTGTCGGTATTCAGCTCGGCGACGCGTTCCCAGGTCCTGGACAACAGTCTGGACACTCAGAGTAATATCTCGAACGCGAGCTCGGGCAGCGGCGGTCTGCCCACACCGCGAGCGACGCCGCATCAGCCCAGTCCAGACGTTGTGCGAATCTACGTGCCGTATACGTCGCCCACGTACACGTCGTCGGCAGTGGCTTCTTACAAGGATGACCTCCCGCGCACACTGCCCCGTTCCCTGGACACCAACAAGATTCGCATCCGCATTGATCCAGATCAGACTCCTATTGTCGAGAATCTAAAGCCGTTCACACTCGAGAGTCCAGAAGTCGAATTAGATTTGAAATAAAGTGAGTCAATTTAGCTATCACGCGAATATGAAATTATAAATATATTTTTATATATATTATTTATAATTTCATATTCGCGTGTAGCTTGATTGACTCATAGCTCATGGTTATAGCCATCATGTGCATACGATAGTTTGGTTCTGAAAGTCGCGCATTTTTAGTCAAAAGCGAGGACAATATGTAGTAACGTTAAAAATATTTGAAAGATTTTTTTTTCTTTTAAATCGGACATTGAATATTAATGTCACCAAATATAATTAATATCTAATTCTGAATATGTATTCAATGTCTTTTCTTTTGTCTCTCTTAGGAAATAAAATAGCTAACTCAAATTTCGTATCTCAAATATATTTCGAAGATTTGATATTGAATAAAAAATTATATAAATCTCAAAATAGATTTCTAAACATTTTCAAAAATAATGCGCGACTTCTGGACTTGTGTATGTTTATTCTGCGATAAATTGCGCATATATGACAGAAAAGAAGTAATGACAAATACGAAAGCTATTGCGTTAAATCTTAAGGAATCTCTTTATATAAATGTCAATTGATGAATTAAGATTTAGAAGTGAGAAAAATTACACAGCGTACCGTTTCTAGAATGTAATCTTAAATATTTATTAACTATGATATAATCTTTGATATCCGTTGTTCTTATAAATTAAATTTCAGTTTAAAAAAGTTGTAAGAATTAATTGTATCTCAATTTTAGAAAAGATCTATAAAAATCGACAATTAATTACGTACAACTTACGAAGCTTCGAAGAGATTGAAAAATTTCAATGTTTTAATTTAAAAAATGTTAAGCAAAATAGACTTTATAACACTTCAATTTATGAAAATTGAAATGAACAAAGTATTGTCGCTGCATTTTGGCCTAATTTAGTTTTATGACATACGCATTGTATGTACGTTACGTAGTATTTTTCCAGATACAACGGGAATAAACGAAGCAATGCATCCCTGATATTAATGCTTATGGGATTACAACAAAACAGAAAAAAGGACGCGATTCTATCTCTTCACATAATATTACCAATGTTGAGCCAAATAATAAGGACGAATGATAGATACTTATGTATATATCACAGTCTTTTCACACCAGATTATAAATCCATAACAAAAAAAATAAAATTAATAATTTTTAAAATTGTGAAACAGAGGTATATATTTCATTTCAATGTTGATGTATTTTGAATATTAACAAAAAATTTTTCATTAAAAATTAAAAATATACTCCAACTCTTTTTGATTTTTTTTTCTTAATTATTTTTAGTAAACTTAATAATTTGATGTACACAAGATTTGACTTAAATTCAGACATTACCACCACGGTATTTTGTACTTCACACTTAAATAATTTATATTTTGTATGTGCTACTATTTATATAAAAAAACACTCTAATAACTTGTGTCGACTCATATTGGTAATTTATTGATTCTTTTTGGATTTATTTCATCTAAGCCTATCGTTTTTTTTTACTCAAATACATCTTCGTGAAATGTCTCGTTATTATATTAATGATGGCTTGCTCTATCTTATTATCAAACAATTTGTACGAAAAGAAGAGCCTTATTTTCTGTTCTATCGCAGTCCCATTATTTGATGATATAGTTATTATTCTAGCTAGAGGAAGACAGACAATGCTATGTCTATTCATATTATGTCCGTGGATCTTATATATTTGTCACGCAGTTTTATTTATAGTTATTTCTCATTTTAATTTCTGAGATAAAAAGGAACACTTACAATATATCGAGTTGCTATTAAGAAAACAAATTCCGCTGTATATAAATAAAGATGTATCTAGAGGCAAATTCATTTTTTTACAACTACTGTAAAAAATTGAGTTCTTAGATATTATAGATAGGCATATATAATATATAATCAATAATATAAATTGCGATAAGTTCTAATATAACCGATTTTGTAACGTAGCTACATAAGAAAATAAATTTGTCTCTGGATGTATACTAAATATTTCTGTTCAGAGAGAGGATTACGCGCCACGTTTTGCTTACGTTAAATTTACTATAGTAAAACTTCGTTGACGATTGATCTTACGGGCGACTGTAAGTTGGTAAACGAATTAGTAGACTAATGGTAGAGAAATGTCTGATGTGTACTGTTTATTTATACGCTTACGAGCTAATTATATCTATCTTCCTTAAGAGGAAAAACTACTCATACTGTTAAGTATTATGCTGCCTTGGTAATATCGACATGTTTCTTTGTTAGTCTCTCTCATTTTTTTTAATTTTTTGTAATTTATATATTGTAAGAAAAATATTTCTGTATATATATATAGATCATATTTAACGAGTGAGATGGAAAAAAAGGAACGAGACTGTCAAAAAGTGAATGAAACTCCTTCGATGTTCGAACTCTTCGTCGTAGAATGTGAATACTGAACAGCTTCCGATTATTGTGCCGCACTGAAAGTATTTGTATCATTTGATTATGAGCCATCGCGTTTGGATGTGTGCACCTCGATTTCGATTTCGCCAACATTCCTGAAAACGCGCGCAATATTCCTTGATGTACATAACCTTGTGGATAAAGAGTCTGAATAAAAAAAAAGTTACTCCCATGCGTAAACATGGACATCAAACAAACAATTATTATACTTAATAATAGATAAGAAATGATGTAGATTAAAAATAATATTAAATGTTGATTGTCCGAATCTTTATCACGTTAACACAAGAACAGAAGATGATGGAATTCAAATCTTGTACCATAAGTTCTTTCATTATTTTCGACGTGATTTATGACAATTATGACAATAGTGATACTTTTGATTAGTTCAGCGGAAAAATATTTATAGATTTATTCAGATATCATTGTACGTCTTTTTAATTAGACCATCTAATAGAGACTAGCTTTTATTGACATTATAAAATAACGCAATATATCTTGCCAGGCTATGACATAAATAATATAATTAAAAAAAAAAAACAAGATTTGTATAATCAAATTGAAGATGAAATTTGCAAATTATTTCAAGAAAAAAATAAATGCACAATTTATTAAAAGGAAATAAAAAAATAACTTCTCCGTTTACTATTATATTTAATAAATACAATATTATTAGGCAACAAGACTTTGACTATGGTCTTCTTCATTTATTTATATTGTATTTGAGACGTAGAGAAAATATTAATTTGTAGAATAAAAACTTATTAGAAATATAGAAATTTTCTGTGCGTGTCATATTGATAGATTCGAAAATTTTAAGTACCTTATGTTTTATCATGATCCCCTGACTTCCAAAAAAAAAATAATCTACTTTTTGTTAGGCTAGTTTTTCCTCAGGACGCTTTGCTCTACAAGTTAAGCCTAAAATAAATAATTAGAAAAATGTTATAAAATGGTAACAATGTAAACACGTAAAACTTTTTACAACAAAAAATGATATTAATTATAATGTTATCATTTTCTAATAACATTTTTCTAATTCTGTTTCAAATTCAATCTGTAGAACAATGTTCTGGGAAAAACAGAAAATAATACATTACTTCTTTAAAAGTCATGGAATCATCAAATGATGGAAGAATCAAAACTTGATTTCCAAGTCTGTCTTCAATGGCACACACAGAAAACTTAATAAGTTTTTTAATCAATAAATCTTTTTTTTTTTTATTAAAAAAAATAATTTTCTTCTCTCTAAAAGATTTTATTCTACGTCCTGTTAATGATGAAATAAAAACGAGAAATAGGATAATTTTCAAAGGTTGATTTAACCCTTAAGGGTGAATCCGGGTAATAAAAAGGAATTGTTTGTTACATAGTATAGAGATACTTTCAGGATACTTTCTATGTGTATTGTCAAAATTTCATAATTTTCTGAATTTCCGAGTTGGGCCTTTCCTTGTCAATCCAATTCTAAGAACTTCATATTGTTTCTTCGTACGAACTACTAGTCTGTGGATTACTATTTCATAAGTATAGCTTTTATATAAAACAAATTGTCAAGACGTGACAATATTAGAACGCTACATTAGACTAAGAAATGGTAAACACGATCTTAATTTCGAAAGGAGGATGTTAAAAAGAAGTCAATTTTTGCTTACAAAGGTATAAATAAAAGGAATAACGTTTATATTTTGACCTCTTGAATATGATAATGTTAATAAAAAATTCGGGATCGATAGATAACACCTTGAAAATTGAGCATAAACATGACATACCTATTTAAACAAATTTCTTTTGGTCAAAAGTCGGACCTTTTTTAATATCTCCCGAAAATATTTTTGCCCAAAAAGATGTAAGTAAAAGAAATAGTATTTTCTATAGATTTTGACCTCTTGGATATGATAAAATTATTAAAAAATTCGTGGCAACCTTGAAAAATAAGCAAGAATATTGAAATTTGTTTAAATACATCATGTTTATGCTCAATTTTTAAGACGTTCTCTATTGATCTTGAACTTTTTATCAACATCATCGTATTCAAGAGGTCAAAATCTATTAAAAAAACGCCATTTATTTTATTTACAACTTTGTGGGCAAAAATCGGTCTCTTTTTAGCATCCTTTTTTTGATCGTTTTTAGTATAAACTCTACAGACATATATATTAATGTGTGTTAACTTTAATTCTCGAAAAGGATTTTCAAATCTGTAAGAAAAAAAATAATCGTTATATGTATAAATATTATATGGTTTAGTTGATAATATAGACGACTTTAGGATTTTTCAGAATCCCTTGAACTGTCTAAAAAATCGTACAGACCGTTACGCTGAACACCCTGTGCGTGTATGCGTTTGTGCATGCGTGCGTGTATATATACATGTAATGATTATAAAACGATGAAAGCAATACTCATCGAAATCTTACCAATTATCGACGAGAAGAGTAAAGAGAAGGCCACGTTGTAAATCAATAATTAATTGTTGAAACAAAGTCTAATTGTCAATATAGCTAAAATATACATCTCACTTTTTCTAGCATTATTTTTTTATTGCATAACTATTCGATGTTTGTTCCAATTTATTTATTTTTATTTACAAGTACTGTATCGCATATATCTTCAGATGTAAGATCAATTAAGGTAATTATGTAGGCGTAGATTTGTTATCTTGTTTAAAAATTAAATTAAAAATTGATTAGATGTGTGTGTGTATGTGCGCGCACGCGCGCGCGTGCTTGTGTTTTAAGAAACATTTATTAATCTCGCAGTTATTAAAATGCATATTGAAAATTTTGTTTATAATGATGAGGAATGTAGACTTTCTCATTACACACAAAATGTTGCAACGGTTCTTAATTACAATTGTCTTTCAATTACAATCATCTCAATTGATCCGAACTGAATTTGTCTTTTCTCTATTATTTTCTATTGAATAATGATTTGATCTTACAAGAATGTTCAGTGCACGCAAATTCTTATACGACCTTCTTATATAAATTCGTTGAAACTTTCTCTCTTTCCTTTTCCTTTACGGCTGTATTTATACACTATAAATAAATCGTCAAGTGAACACGATTGGTTGACACTTATTTGGTTTATAACAAACTCATTTGGCTTTCAAACAGATTGAGCTAGCTTACTTTAAGACACTTATTACGAACTAGGCTGGTAAAAGTTATTGCCCATAATTGGTATCAGTTTGCCATTCTGCAGCATTTGCGGTCCAGTATAATAACGCCATAACAGACTGCTGCCTCTTTTCAGCTGATTATGAGTCGATAGATGGGTCCAACAATGTAGCCAATTCTTGTAGATCGGCATGTGTGGTGGAAGACCAGCTACCAATCTTGAACAATTTTCGTAAATGTATTACCATATTATATAGAATTTATACTATTTTTTATAGTTTATTGATCCCCCTACACGCTCCTGAAGTTTTGACATTTAAATTTTAAATACCCTATATAATATACGTAACATGTATATTATATCAAGTAAATTTTCCTTGGAGAGGACATTTTAAAATGTAATCTTAAAGTACATAATACTTTTTATTCAACTTTTTAGTATAAAACTATTTTTAAAGCATAAAGTGTCTATAATATATAACTTTTAATATTCCTAAATTTCATAATTTACCTATTACTTTTAAGTAACAAAATATATTTATAATGAGGTATTATAAAAAATTATGTTAATCTTCAATAAAAGTATTGGACATAAGATGCTACTTACCCACAGTCGTTTATTGCCATACAATGCGATACCACTAAGAATGGATACATAACGGTCGTAGCTACAAACTGTAAAAATACTTTATTTTAAGTATGCTTAAATTTTACGTATAAAATATTTAATGCGTTGGTTTTGAGATATGTCGTGTCGATATATGTCAGAGCACGTTCTCTCTGAAAAATATTAAATTTTCTGCTTACTTTCATGGTTGATGCAGTGTATGGCTTCATCGCTGGCTCCTGTATAACGTAATTATTTATAGCATATGTGGAAATACCAGTTAGAATAATAACTGCAGCGCTTCCTATTACACGCGGTATCAATCCTGCGTAATATCCTAGGATCCCATTCTCCTTGTAAATCTCCAGGAACGAACCAAATAGACTACTAATGGTAAGAACATAATGATAAATATGTTTCATTGCGGCAACAAAAATTATTGATTCTCTTCGAAATTAATAAATACAAATGCAATTATATATATATATATGCTTCTTTATTCTTTTAATTTATTTTATAAGTGCATATATATATATATAGAATCCGATTTTAATATTAATTTTTCAAATTTTTTGTTAAATTTTAATATTATCTCTTAGTAATTGTTCCTCTTCTTATATCACATACATTTTGTAATAAAAAAAATCAAAAGATTCATATATATAATACATTCTTGTTAAAAATTCTAAAAATATATATTATTTGTTATATATATTTGTACCTATATTTTGTCTCTCCACCCACAAATTGTGCCATCATTCTTAATGAAATGACTTCCAAAGGATGACTAACTATGATCGCAACTGTTCTACTGATCACATCCCTAATGATCTCATTCATACACCTTTTACGTCTATAAATAGAAGAAATTATTCATTCGTATTTTTCTCCCTTCCTTTAACACATACCTCACTCTTTCATCCCCATCGTCTTCATCCTCATTTTGTTCCACTGAGTTCAACTGTAAATACTCTAAAGTTTTGTCGCACGCTATTGTACTGACTGTATAGGAACACACCTTAGGTACTAAGCCTCTGTAGCAGCCTGTAAAGCCATCTATGCTCTTTATGTGTTTAACTGCAAAAAATAACATTATATATATATATATATATATGTATATAAATTAAATAGAATATGTAATAAAACTCTATACAATTTAAAATGCACCAAATTTCTAGAAGAATTGCTGGATATTTGATTTTTAGCAATATATCTAGCCAAAACTTTATTTTGAAATGGTGTATATTTAATGGTATTTATACCTGAAAACTTTTATTATCACACATTGATACATTATATTTTTAAGAAATATATCAGTAATAATAAAGTATTCAGTTATAATTGATAAAAAGAACTAAGAGCCTAAGTTTTGTTTGCTAATATTTATTGACTTTTAAAATTCAAAGTATATAATTTTAACAAACATTTATCTTAAAACTAGGACCTCCTCAATATTAGTTGCATATATAAAAATCCTACCTTACGTTATTGTAAGTCAAGTTTCAATTATTTTTACCATTATATATATTATTTCAATATAAAGTTTTGGCCAGATATATTGTTAGAAATAAGATATCCAGTAATTCTTCCTGGATATCCAGTACATATCTAGTAGAAAAGGTAAAACAATCCTCTGAAAAATATTTCTTAGGTTTTAAATTAAAATTGGACTTACTATATGTAAAAGCATTAGGTAGTTTCAATGCTGGCTTTCCAAACATTGTTACAGTTGGTTTAGGAGGAATAGGCTCATATCCAATCTATATATGAGATACATAATAATAAGACAAATACATGATTATTTCCTTTCACATAACAATATTATATCATTGGCTGCATTCAACAGAAAAAAATCTAATCAGCACTTAGTGATTCTTTGATGTGATCAGTTCTTATATTTAGATCCAGCAAAGAATTAAAGACAAGAACCAATCATATTGCAGAATCACTAAGCACTTAACTGATTAGTTTTCTTTGTCCAATGTAGCCACTATTTATCCATTTGCATGGAAATTTTTTAACTAACAGATATATATTTTTACCTGAATCATAACCTTGGCATATTCGATAGGATAGGAGATTGCATTTACTAAAATACGACCGGCTATATCAGACCACAGGATCTCCGTGTCCTTCGATTTTGGAGGCATGCTTGGCAAATTTCTAGATTTTTTCTTTTCTGGAGGAAATGTATAGGTATACGTTACATAAAATCAATAAAAATTATTCAAGAATTCTTGTCTTATAAAAACATACCGATTTTCATTGTTTAAAGTCAAAATTGATATCACAATTTTTCTTCTACTTCCTCGCAAAACTTTGTGCGATAGTAGAAGAGGCAACTATTGACGGGACTTTCAAAGACAATCGGAATCAGCGTTGCCGCGATACTCTAGTCTATTTATCATTACATATCATCAAGTGTCTTTTTCACTGGCATTATGATGTTCGTTTCTAAAATTCTAAAAATATATATTATTTGTTATATATATTTGTACCTATATTTTGTCTCTCCACCCACAAATTGTGCCATCATTCTTAATGAAATGACTTCCAAAGGATGACTAACTATGATCGCAACTGTTCTACTGATCACATCCCTAATGATCTCATTCATACACCTTTTACGTCTATAAATAGAAGAAATTATTCATTCGTATTTTTCTCCCTTCCTTTAACACATACCTCACTCTTTCATCCCCATCGTCTTCATCCTCATTTTGTTCCACTGAGTTCAACTGTAAATACTCTAAAGTTTTGTCGCACGCTATTGTACTGACTGTATAGGAACACACCTTAGGTACTAAGCCTCTGTAGCAGCCTGTAAAGCCATCTATGCTCTTTATGTGTTTAACTGCAAAAAATAACATTATATATATATATATATATATGTATATAAATTAAATAGAATATGTAATAAAACTCTATACAATTTAAAATGCACCAAATTTCTAGAAGAATTGCTGGATATTTGATTTTTAGCAATATATCTAGCCAAAACTTTATTTTGAAATGGTGTATATTTAATGGTATTTATACCTGAAAACTTTTATTATCACACATTGATACATTATATTTTTAAGAAATATATCAGTAATAATAAAGTATTCAGTTATAATTGATAAAAAGAACTAAGAGCCTAAGTTTTGTTTGCTAATATTTATTGACTTTTAAAATTCAAAGTATATAATTTTAACAAACATTTATCTTAAAACTAGGACCTCCTCAATATTAGTTGCATATATAAAAATCCTACCTTACGTTATTGTAAGTCAAGTTTCAATTATTTTTACCATTATATATATTATTTCAATATAAAGTTTTGGCCAGATATATTGTTAGAAATAAGATATCCAGTAATTCTTCCTGGATATCCAGTACATATCTAGTAGAAAAGGTAAAACAATCCTCTGAAAAATATTTCTTAGGTTTTAAATTAAAATTGGACTTACTATATGTAAAAGCATTAGGTAGTTTCAATGCTGGCTTTCCAAACATTGTTACAGTTGGTTTAGGAGGAATAGGCTCATATCCAATCTATATATGAGATACATAATAATAAGACAAATACATGATTATTTCCTTTCACATAACAATATTATATCATTGGCTGCATTCAACAGAAAAAAATCTAATCAGCACTTAGTGATTCTTTGATGTGATCAGTTCTTATATTTAGATCCAGCAAAGAATTAAAGACAAGAACCAATCATATTGCAGAATCACTAAGCACTTAACTGATTAGTTTTCTTTGTCCAATGTAGCCACTATTTATCCATTTGCATGGAAATTTTTTAACTAACAGATATATATTTTTACCTGAATCATAACCTTGGCATATTCGATAGGATAGGAGATTGCATTTACTAAAATACGACCGGCTATATCAGACCACAGGATCTCCGTGTCCTTCGATTTTGGAGGCATGCTTGGCAAATTTCTAGATTTTTTCTTTTCTGGAGGAAATGTATAGGTATACGTTACATAAAATCAATAAAAATTATTCAAGAATTCTTGTCTTATAAAAACATACCGATTTTCATTGTTTAAAGTCAAAATTGATATCACAATTTTTCTTCTACTTCCTCGCAAAACTTTGTGCGATAGTAGAAGAGGCAACTATTGACGGGACTTTCAAAGACAATCGGAATCAGCGTTGCCGCGATACTCTAGTCTATTTATCATTACATATCATCAAGTGTCTTTTTCACTGGCATTATGATGTTCGTTTCCGCGTAAACACTTCTGTTCTTTGCACTCCGTATGAAAGATCAAGTTCAGCCGAAGAAGCGTTCCGGAGTAAATGTTAAGAATACACTGTTCACTTCAAATCTTGATAAAAATATACTAAATAGATGCGTTTTTGTGTAAAAATTAAGATTTGACAAGAAAAAAGGGTCGTTTTGTCTCGTGAACTGAAATATTAATCGTTAGAATAATTTATCGCGTTGGTTTTCACCGGACGGCGAATTAACAAGCCTTCAACCTATCCAGTTGAGGTTAAGGTATATGACACATAAGTCTTCAGAGTGAAAATATATTGCACTATACCAAATTCGAATTTCTTCTTTTTTCCAAGCGATTCGCAACGGACTTAAGCTTTCCTCCTACTTAATCAGTACTATTAACAGCTCGGAAAAACCGCGGCATGCGGGGGAAGGGGGAGCGAATTTGGAATTGAAACCGGCGCAGAAAATCACGAGTCGAACTCGAACGTGTTACGCACGTAGCTACACACCCCAATCGTTAAAATAAACGACTATTAACTTATTAAGGTTAAGGAATTTGTCACAGCCACAAAATATTATAGTATGAATCATGGTAATACCATGTTCGTTAAAATAAACGACTATTAACTTATTAAGGTTAAGGAATTTGTCACAGCCACAAAATATTACAGTATGAATATAAACCATAAATGATATAGAATAAGGCCGGTATTCATATGCCTGATTTATGCTTCGGTCTTTAGGTCATAATCCTAAAATTCAGCCAATAGAGTTCAAATTTCGATTAGAACTGGCAGCTTTATTGGTTGAATTTTAGGATCTTGGGATTAAGACCTGAAGCGTAAAGCGGGGAGCACACACTTTTGCATAACGCATAAAGCATGTGCATAAGGAATTTCATTGGTCCATTTTCTTATGCATGAGTCAATGGACCAATCAAATTCTTTATGTATATGGTTTATGCTTTATGCAAAAGTCTGTGCTCCACGATACATGGGAGCACTCGGGTGATATTCCTGAACACAGCCCTAAAGTATCCTAACCTCCAAGATCTAGCCGTCCGCCAGATCGACTGATGGAGTGAAGTGGCCAATCGATGTGGCCTTTAAATTGTAAGAAAATCTCGTTGAACTATTTTTTCGGTTTATCTTAATACATTCTGTCATATTACTTTCGTTTCTCACAATTTTATTGAGTTGAATTTGCGCAAGTTTATTGTGACGAAAAAATGTAATAACTTAGCTCGGATGGATTTCTCGTTCTTTCTTGATTAGAATTTTTTTTATGTCTATTTCTACCAATGTAAATTAATTTAATTCAAGAGTTACGAAAATATACATATATAGCCTATAAAGAGCCAACAGTTATTCTTACGTGAATTTATTGTATATTTGTAATAATAGGCATTTTCTAGCAAGGACACAGTGTAACACTGTCAATTATTTCCTTTTTATTTAACATTCTTAAACAACAAGAATGCAATGGCTGCGTTTAGAAAAAGTAGCTTTGCAACTGTTATGAAATTCTGTAATGATTTATTTATACACTTAGATCCAGTGAAAGAAGGTAAGATTAATCATATTAAAGAATTTTTAAACTTTTAAAGGTTACTTAATAAATATAAATATCAATAAGGAATATACAGTCATAATGCAAGGTGTTTTTAGCAAGTCATTTTTAAAATTAATATAATGTTAAAAAAATATTTAAAATAATAAATTCATTATTTAGTTAGAATCTGGAAATCTTGTTTTTGTCACATAATAATCAAAAATAGGAAAAATATATTCTTACAGAAATATATTTTTGTAAAGAAATTTCAATATGTGAACATTAACAATCAAGTCAAACAAGAATTTATCAACTATTTAACCATATCATTTTCTTTTTACATTTTTACTTTGACATCGCTAAAAGGAAAAACATCTCTAAGATTTTTTTTCAACAAAATTTTTTAGTCAATTCTTTTTATTATGTAACATTTTTATTTAACTGTATTAATGTACTGATGATCAAAATTCGACCAAAATGTTTACTATCTTATATGTTTAACATTATAATTTTAAATATATGATTTTCCTTAAAAATATCTTTTGTTGTGTAGCTATATGCTCCTTATTATTTATGTTTTAATTTTACAAAATTGCAAAACTGCTGAATATAGCCTTATTCTATAAGTCTATTTTTGTGGCTAAATTAGTATACACTTTTGGAACTTAAAATAAAATAGATATATGTTTGATATCTGGTAAAAATAAAAACCAATAATTTTAATACAGGAAAACCCAATGATCAACTTTCTTATAATGTTCTTGCTGGAAAATGCAAAATGTACATTATTCTAATATATTTTGGAATAATCATATGTTAGATGTTTCTAGATTTAAGTTTTAGGATAATTTTAATTTTGGCTAACTCTCTTGTTTTTTGTTTCTTTTTAGTTTTAAGAATTGAAAAAAAATAAACTATAGGTTAAAATGAGATTATAGTTAATCTACATTAGTGTTTGTTATTAGAATCCTGCAAATCTCACTCTCTATCTTGGATTTTTACCAAAACTTTCAAATTTTCCAGTTTGATGGACTCTATTTTCAAAACTATTTGGACCTCAGTTAGGCGAAACTTCATCAGTGTGATATTTCCTACATTTTCGGTGTTCACGATTTACACGGATCTACGCCATACAGCTCGCTGGAAGCGCCAACTTGCTGAACAGGAGAATAAGTGAGACTACACTGAAACATGAGTCCATCTCGGAGTCTATCACACAAGCACATCTGGAAGGTATACTGGACTCTCATCTTCCCCTTTGCGGGCTTCATGATTGGCCATAAGTTAGATAAGTTGGAAACAGAGAGGATGACAACATTCAGGGATAAATCAGCATTGTATGGTAGAGAGTTAAAACCCGGGGAACCACCTTCCTGGCCATATTAGCTATCTTCATTGTATATCGTTCAAATCAAATAAGAAGTAGCAGAATCAATTAGTGCTTGTTAAATTAAAAAATAAATATGTTTAAATAAAAAAAAAAACCACAGATGTGTTATACAGATATTTCACTAAATACACATATAATTTAGATTAAATGAATACAAGAAAAAAATATTATATATATAATATAGTATAATTAGATAATTATATACAGGATTGTAATGTATAATATGTATCTCTATTAGTCGATAATCACTACGAGTACTGCTTTCGTAGCGAACAGTACATATATAATTATCTTGTCAACATGGCAAATTCAATATGTACACAAACTTATTAAATTTACATTATATATGAGTGCAAAAATTCGTCCTTGATTTATTATTCAAAACATGAATTTTTACACTCACCAATATTAGAAGGAGATTATCACGAGAATATTCAGAGATCCTCGTAGATATGAATCAATATGAAAATGAATTTGGTCACTTGCATTACATTAGATTAGTATACAATGTATATTAAAAGTTGCTATATGTATATAAAATTAACAAAGTTAAGTGTAAGAACAAATATTTTGAACAATGAAATATCTAGTAATGTATTGTTACATTATTTAACAAAATGTGTATGTATTTTTTATTATTAAAATTTATAATACGCCATTGCATTTAGATATTTTATATAAAACAGTCTTCATTATGTACTAATCTAATGTAGTTTGAGTGATTATATTACAATGATTAATGTAATAACCCTGTATTATTATCGTTTTAAATAGTGTGCTATTTACATAGAAACGCTAATGAAATAGAAAAAATTTTTTCGATTTAGTTTTCGTTTTGGCGTTATAGCGTTTATTGCACACGACGTTCTCCTTATTTTCAGTCGATTGTTTTATCGCTGGATTATGCATATAATACTGTTGCAACCACTTATCCGTTTCGCTGGTCCAGGAGATCGGCCTATTCTTGGAAGCGCTGACCTGATCTCGATGACCATATCTCTCTCCAGTTTCCAAATTAAGATGTGAAGACAGCCTGTTTTCATTATTACGTTCTACCTTACCTAGAATACTATTCGGAATGCAATCTACGAGTCCGTAATCCTGAAACCTCGTCTCCTTCTCCTGCAAAGCGCATATGTTATTGCTGACCTTCCGAAAAATTTTCTTCTCTTCGATCATGTGTTCGGGTTTTTCCTCAGCTATTCTTTGCAGTTTTCCTGCGGTATCTTTGTTCTTGATACATCGTTCGCTCGCTGATCTCGAAAACGTACATGGTTTTTTATGAAGTACTGGATCAAACAGTACCGACGTCCGTACATTAAGTGTATCTACGCTGGCAGCTGACAACGTCGAGTTTAGATCGTCGTAATTTATTTTAGGTCGTTGTTTGTATCTTAAAGTAGCATAAGAATGAACCTTTGAAGAAGACTTCCTCGATAATGAATTTTGACGCATCGGATGTATTATTTTTTCTTCCATTTTTTCGCATGGATTGATAACAGGTTGAAGATTTTTTGGAATCTCCGTTTTTTTCAGAATCTCTAGTTTTTTCGGAATTTCTTCTTTTCTCGAAATTTCTTCTTTTCTTAATATATATTTTTTCGGAATCTCTTCTGCTTTTGGAATTTCTTTCTTTTTCGGAATATCTTCTTTCTTTGGAACATAGTCTTTCCTGGGTATTTTCTCTTCTACAAGATTATCAGATTTCTCGATATCACAGGATAATTTTTGTGCCACTTTCTCCAGCGTATTTTCCACTAGCATGTCTCTTTGGTATTTTATCTGCTGCTCTGCCTGCTTCATTTTTTCATTAAGAAGTCTCTCCGCGATCCTTAGTTTCTTCTCTCTTCTGAACAGCTCCCTCTCTCTTTCTTGCAAATTTATCTCCTTTTCCCGCAAGATAGTTTCACGATTCCTTAGAATCTCAATTTTGTGTAACCAAGCTTCTGTGAAAATCTCCTCGCTGACTTCTTCAGGCGACTGAACCGATGCGGTACAGCCATTCTTGTAACCATGACAGCAGAAGTTGTTCAGCTTGGTGTCTAATGAGTTCTCATTTCTCTCGTCGATCGACATCAAACTGTTTACCCTGCTGAATTGTTTTACAGGATACAATGACTCTTGCGGTCCAACTGATGCTTGAAACTCCATTTTTTGTACACGCTTGTTAGAATGATAAGAATTCGTGTTATTATAATATTTAATGATATCGTTATCCAAATGTTCGTTGCATGGAATCTCACTTTCATTCATTATGCCTTTCACGAGTTTTATACCAATCAATGTGCTATCTTCAGTGGAAAACTTTGCGAATTCTTCGTGTTTATTATGCAAAGTAAGCAACTTATCTTTTTCGTTTTGCATATTGTTTTCGAATATGTTTTCGCTCTTGTTCTTGAGATCATCGATCTCATTAATTATAGATAAGTTCTCCACTCCATCAGGTACGATGTACGTCTCAACTTTGTACAGGATAGGTTTCTTCATGATTGATATTGCAATATGTTAATATCTTTTAAAATTTTCCAGTATTAGATGATGTAAATTGTTACGATGATGGATCATTTCTGCAAATAAAAAAATATTTATTATTTATTTATTAAAAAAATATGTGTATACACACAAATACATATATGTCCCCCTATTAAGTGATCATTTTTTTAATCTCATAAATTAACACAGATAGACCTAATAAATATAATTTTAAATTCAAAGTTTTAACTAGACTTTATTATGAGCGTAATGATCACTGAGCAAAATTATGTGATTAGAGATAAAGAATACATTTTTTTTCATAATAAAGTAAATATTTCAATATAATAAAAGAAATTGTAACGTTCGAGTACGATCATATATGACATAATAAAATTATTGATAATTATGTATATTTATATAGTTTAGCCCTTCGTAATAAAAAATAAAAAATTGGTTAATTCAATGCGTTTGAAAAACGCGCATTAAACGAAAAAATCTAGCAGAAAAAAAGAACGTCGTTATGTCTCGCGAATCAAGATATTAATTGTTAAAATTGACTATTTAAGTTCTGGAAAAAATCTGTTACAAACATAAAAAATTTCTCCTTTTGTTATGTGTATAAATCTGTGTGAAATAATTTATAACGGGTTTTCAACTTAGCAATTGGTATGTAAAGCGAAATTTAATTTAAAAAAATTGACTTTAGTTTTACGAGGAGAGTGAGATAGGAATCCTTTACACATACATATGGTGACCATATTTTTTTTAAAGAAAATAAAGGACAAATCTAAAATAAAAACAACTCTAGTTTGAATAAATTTTATTTAAAAAATTAAGTAAAATGTAATTAATAAAAACTAATTATATTTATATACAAGAAACTGTAAAATATTTTTGGTAAAACTTTGCTTGTTAATAACATTAGACATTAGAACGCTAGTTAGAAAAGAATTTTCGTAATGTCAAAATAAAGGACAATAAAAGGCAATATTGGAAAATAAAGAACAAAACTGAGTTTTGAAGAAACAAATAAATCTAAAGGACAGCTATAATCTAAAGTAAAGAACTGTCCTTTACAATAAAGAACATATGGTCACCGTACACATACATCGTACAATGGCATGTTTTCGTTATTCAACTAGAAGCAACCATGACTAAAATGACTATCTTTGTCATCTTTGATCTCTGAAGACGAAGAAGTTGCTTCTGGTTGCATAACGGAAAAACGCCCCAAGTTTGGCAGTTTAGCTACGGTTCGTTTAATTCTATAAATGCTGCGAAGCATTTTTTGATTGGTCAATTATTAAAATTCTTTCTTCTAATTGGTTAATCGAAAGCTTGGAAACATTTGTAGCGTCAAGTAGACCGCACCCTTTATTACTTCGCGATTGCGGAGGGTTCCGACCCTTTTCCTCCCTCCCCCTCCTTTGCACCTGTACCACAATCTGATTTGCTACTCTACACCGCTCTCTTACTTATCGACGCACAATCTTAATCGTACAGCTGATGAATGTTCAATTTTAATTACAATTTTCTCACAAAAGCCTATTCATTCAACTCTTTTATATAGTGTTAGTAAACACGCAATCTCCTCTTTTGAATGAATTATGGCGCATTCCACACTTGCAGACATTTTACAATTCTTACTCAATACCGTTTATTCAAATAAGGCCGTTATTTTATTTGTGCGTTTTTATTGTACAACATTTTAAAACCTGTTGATTGGCTACACTGATAAAAATATCTACATTAAATTTCATAATTTTTACAGAAGCAAATTTCAAGCAGGTACATTAAAATCATTCAATTATGTTGTCACAATGAGCATAAAATTACAAATAACTTAGATTTAACGATTTCAATGTACCTGCTTGAAAGTTGCTTCCGTTACATATTTACATGAAATTTCATGTCTTTTTAAACAGTGTATAGGATAGAAAAATCCGAAGACTTCTCTGTCCTGCATTTGTCGTGTACAATAAAAACGCACAAATGAAATAGCATATCTTTATTCAAGGACCGTTAAATATTTATACTATTCATATATGAACTATAAATCTTTTATATTAATACACTGCAACTGCAAGCGATATGAGCCATAAATAAGCCAATTTTTAAATTTTTCTTTGATTTTGTTGTGAAATTAATATATCTCGATTTTTGTGCATTTTTTAATTCTGTAAAAAAATATTTTATAATGTATATCCGTAAAACCAGTTTGAAGATTTCAGTTGCACTGTAATTCGTGAGAATTAATGTCGCTTTAACATCTCCATAACTTTTAGAATTATTGGAAAACGCCTCGTTATATGAACATTACAAAAAAGAAAAACAAATTGAAAACAAACGATAAAAGAAAAGATTACATATTTATTTTTAAAGAAATTATGATTTTGGATTTTTAATATAAATGTGCACGATTTATTAAAATGCAATTGCGTTGTAACATACCAGAATTATCGTAATCCAAATGCAGCTTCTTAGAGTCTTAGAAGATACGTATAGCGTGGCGTCTGCATTTAAACTGAGCTTTCACTTAACGTTCGACCGAAATGCTGAGTTCACAGGTATGTATACGGACTCTGTCCGTCGGGTATCTGCAACGTGATTTGCTGAGACGGTTTTTAAATCCCAGCTACAACCAACGCTGGACCTTACACGTATATTCGTGGTATTCTACCTGCTTCTTCTATAACAATACACGAAATGTGAGAGTGTGTGTTTCTTTCTTGAAGGATATGAAAGACAAGTTTCTAACAAAAAAAATGCCAGTTAAACACTCAAATAGAAAGATTTATACGAGAGCGTATAAGTTACATTGTCAAAATATTGAAGAAAATCGTTGAAATTTTTAAAAAATCTAAAAATTTGAAAGAAACTATTTGTGTCACGTAGAAGGGTGAAAAAATTATAATTCGTTACTTTAAAACTTATATATATATATATATACTATATATATATACTATATATATATATATAGTAATATATATATGTTAACTATTTAATAGTATTTTTGGAAGTATACACTAAAATTATTTATTATATTGAGATTTGACTCCTTGAGTCCTTTCATGTAACGTATGTGTGTTGAAAAATGTTTCTATTGTTATACTATTCCTTGTTATACTATTTATTATTACTTACTTTTCATCGAATTGATGGCTGAAATGTAAATATGTTGATGTAGATACTTTTATTTTGTAGAGTATTTTTTCAAGATATCGAACTTGCGATATTTTAAAGTATGTACACACACATACACACACAGTGTGAGTTAGTTAAACTATTAAAAAAAGTGTTGCAAATTTATATCTCAGAAACAAAGTATTTTAGAGAAAAATTTTTTATATAAAAGTTGTATGGGTTGAAGAGGGAAATGAGATGGTGTAATTTTTTTTTTTTACTTTCGAGAGTTGTTTGAAGATCACGTAAAGGTCATTATTAAATAGTTCCCTATATATTTAATTACATGTTCTTATAGCTTACATTGAGAGTTTTCTAAAATAGTATAGTACTAATTTTACGATTTATTAGTTTCATAAACGTGTATACGCGTTAAAACTCAATAATACTCAATTTATATTTAAAATTAAGATTTTAATGTTATCGTTCAAATTTAATTATTAATATAGAGATAGATACATGTATATCTAGATATTCTAAATACTTTACACATTACTGACAATAACTTAGAAAATATTAGTACCCTATATAGACGCAAAATATTCCTATAGAATATTATATAAATATTATTAATAACAATTAAAATAAATTATAATATTTCGAGAATATTGTACAAATTTTTTAATATATATAATATATATTATGAGAGTATTCTATAGATGTTATATGTTCATTTATTCTTGGTATATTTCTTTTAATATCACTGAAATATTATTAAAATAATATTTATTAATATTAATTATTTTTATATTAGCGCAATTTGAATTTACAATCAAATAAGGAAAAGGTCTTATCATGCGTCTTGTGTTTGAATAATGATTCGGTGTGATTTTACGTGTTTGCATATCCAGATCAACAATAGCCCGCCAAAATCATTTTCAATCTTTAATCTGCTTATACTTAAACTAAACTGATGTGACAGTTTTACAAATTACAGTAAATGTTATTATAAATATTATAATACTTTTTAATCGTACAATATTACAATAACATTAAATAATATTACTTTTAATAATCATAAAATTAGGAGAGAATATATAATCAACTATTAATATATATATATTTTTTAAATATTAGATATATAATTTTAGTAAAAAATATTATTAAAACGTTATATTTAATATTCCGGGAAAATATACTTAAATATTACTTAATACTAAATAATATTATATGCACCTATAGGGTGGCTGCGTTTAGCAACCTTTGAGAAAGCAATTTTGCAACTTTCTGTTGTAAAAGTCTTCAATGTGATTAGTTTTTTAGATTCATAAAGAACTAGAAATAAGAGAATCGTATTGAAAAATTTTACAACAGTTGCTGCTTTATCTGCAAAACGCGAATATAATGACTGCGTTCAACAGAACATGCATGAGTTTAACAAAACTGTTTTATGATTGTCTGCTGAGACAGGATCATTCTTTTAGATCTAATCCAAGAAGAAAATTACCAACAATTACAAAATAATAAGTATTTTGCTAAACGCAGTCACTAATTTTTTAACCTAGAACTTTTGCGCGTGCATATCGACTAAATTATACACGCGCGTTATACATAGCGTTCCTGTAATAAGAGTTACAACAATATGGTCCTAACTTTAAATTGGCTGCCGAAATTCGTCATATGTAATAGCCAACCGCAAGTTTCAAGTAGCAGAAATTGTCACATTTTTAAGATAACCATTTTGAGGTAAGAATAAATAGAAGTTATAATGCCCGGATGTACAGCTCTAGAGGATACTTTGAGTCATTTCCAACAATTTCAAAATGTGTTATTTTTCTTTGAAAGACATTGAAAGATATGCCATTTGGATAATTAATATAAAGCGAAGAAATTGGACACCCACTAAATTTTCAGCGCTTTGTGAAGTAAATAAAATAAATTTAAAACACATAAATTTATAAAATAAAACATTTGTTTACAAAATAAAACATTTCGTGTTTTAGACTCATTTTGCACCAGAAGCGTGGGAACAGCAGAGAACTAACGGATTAAAAAAACTTAAATAAAATGCTGTACCAACTGTATTCAAAAGTGAGTAATAATAAATTACTCACTTTTGAATACAGTTGGTACGGCATTTTATTTAAGTTAATATTATTAAAATCTCAGTTATTATTATCTAATTTAAGTTAAATTAATAATAAATGAATTTTTAATAATTTTAACAATAATAATTTTTAATCTTATTTTTAATTTTTTTATCTTTTTTTCACGAGAAGATTTATTGACAAATGTTAGTACTAATAAAATCTTCTAACTCTACATATTTAACCATACACGCGTATTCTATTTTCTAACTCGCCTATATTCTCTACAGTAGTAACTATACTTACATGTAACAAAATCAGTGTTACCAACGTAAATTTGGCTATTAATGGCGGCGGTTTGGCCTAACTTTTATAATAAGAATACTAGTTATACACACATCCGCATTTTATATGAAGCTTTATATGAAATATTATTAAAATGTAGACTAAATATTTTATATTGTGTGCTGTCTAGGAGATGTGATATCGATTGAAGTGTTTCCTATAGTAGCGTATACATTTGATATTTATAATAATATGTATGAATATATAAATTTATATATATATATATATAATTTATCTTGAATGTGTTTTTGACGAAATACTATTTTTAAAGATTATGGATAAATTATCATATGATATTAATAGTGTTCCGCGGGGGGTCCAAGGATAATTGAAAAATGTCGGTATTAGTGACACTACATAAATTTTTAAATTATCAATATATAAATGTATTGTACAATAAATGTATTGTATATTTATTGCACGGTAATATTACGTATTGCCATAAACTATACTTTTTTTAATAATTTTATTATTAGTATATGCAATAAAAAATCCGATACGATCGATAATAAAACTGCAGTAGTTTGAAATTAAAATTGAATATTATTGAGTCTAAAATATATGTAATATATACATAATATGCATGTTTACAAAAAATCAGATAATATAAAATTAGGATTAATTATTTAGGTTTTAACATTCATGAGAAGTTTTACAAGATTGTCGATTTTTAATAGTATCTCGTCAATTATGCGAAAGATTGGTCGACGGGATAATAATGCCTGGTTTATATTTCGATCTTAACCTTAAAATCCGAAAATTCAGTCAATAGAATTCAAATTTCGATTAGAACTGGCAGCTTATTGGTTGAATTTTAGGATTAAAACCCGAAGTAAAAATTCAATCTAAATTCTACGAGTTAAATCTCGTCGCGAATCGAGAGACAGTCGCGTCTGTTCGAGACAAGGCACCTTCAGCTAGCGTTAACAAGTACGGCCCTGTGACGCCGGGTTCTGCGTTGCACTGCCATCTTAACGGTCAAGCCGAAGGAGAACTCGATAACTCGACATTTTATACACCAGCATCCGCCATTACGCTAGGGAGTTAGGAAAGTGAAGGAGATCAGAATACTAGGTGAGAGAGGCTAGAGATCATCGTTGTGTTCTTCGTAGTTCCCTGCTTACAAGATAACCACGGTTAACGGTAGCGGGAAGAAAAAACTATTTAGTGATTTCACTCCGCTATTTTGGGTACAAAGTGTGCGACTGGAACGCGTTAATTGGAGAATTCGGCACTGTTTGGCACGAATGGACAGTATTAATATCGCGCCAAAAACCGTCACGCTCGTCGCTGAGCGTGGCGTAATATGTAGAAACGTGCTGAGTCCTCCATCACCTTCGCATTCTCGTCCTTTACGTCTTACGCCGACCGGGAAAATCAGCCATGCCAAGACACGAGTTTATACGCAACGTTATAGGAAGGAGTGGGAACAGATGCCGGACTTTAAAGGTGCGTTTCTTTCTCTCGCGCATAGGGTTATTGGAGTAACCGCTCTTTTTTTAACTTTCTATATTCTAGCTATATATACACTGCTTAGTTCCTACAGTTTATAGGCCCGTATTCAGATCTTGTATTTAAGGCTTCCTTCAATTTATCTTTAGATATTCAGTAGCCAATAAAATAATTCGTCGAGCATCCGAAGATAAACTTAATGAAACCTTATAAGTATTAGCCTGACTATGAATTGGTATTAAATCTAGTTATCATACCTTTGTTAACCTGAACTCTCCACTATCACAAATCGAATTGGGACATGGTAAAAAATTTATTACTTTTTATTTGTTAATTATTCGTTTAAAAAGAAATTTTTTTGCTCCATCCGTTCAGCAAGCTAAAAGAAATAAAAGAGGGAGGAGGTTTAATGGTAAAGTAGACCCCCATATCGAAAAAAAATAGATACAGTAGCGCTACAATGAAATCAAGCATCAAAGTTTTTTGTTTTGCTTCAAGATAGCGACATTCAACAGAATGTCGAAATTTAATATTTTTAAAGAAATATCAATATACGTGTGATCGCGCCGTAAAAATTTACGATCCGCGTCGCGCTTCGAATTCTTTTTCTACCATCAAAAAATTATTTCGCTTGTTTTTGGTACCAAAATAATGCTCAGGAAACGTACTGTCGAAATGATGCAAAACCTGATTTATTTGCTAGCTTTCACATGTGAAAAATAATCAATTAATGAAGGACGTTACGATTTAAGTTTCTTTTCTATCTCCATACACAACAGAATTATTTGCTCGTACGATCTTGGTAAGTAATCGTTAGGACAAGCACTATCGAAATATGATAAAATCTGATCTTTTTGCTAACTGTAATACGTGAGAGCTCGATAAGACGTGAACGTTGCCTCCCAACCAATCAGCGTACCTCGTACTTATTTCGCTTGTATAATAGGTCTGTTCTTTTTGACTGAACTTCTGGGTATCAATCATGAAACTTTTTCCTGGAATGAAAAATGAAGAGTGAAAATTTTTACCATTGTAGTTAATGGAGAAATTTTTCACTTTTCATTTTCCATCCTAGGGAAAAAGTTTCATGATCGATACCCTGCACTAGTTCATTTTTTCCTTTTCTCTCTAGGAGAAGAGGAAAGGAAAAAAGATGAACTGGTGCAAAAGTTCAGCCAAAAAGAACAGGCATTGTCTCAAGAATTATCTGCTCGCCTGTTTTTGGTGTCAAAATAATGCGAGTAAATAATTTAGTGATAATAGAATTATAGAAAAAGAACTAAGCTCGCTGCCGAGCGTCCTCGATTTACTAATTATTTAATAAATTTGTTGTTTGTGTGGAAATAGAGAGAGAAAAGAAATCACAGCGCAGGTCGTCCTTCATTAACTGATTAATTTTCACATTTCTATTTCAATTTCTTAGGAATTGAAATAGATAGAAATGGATTCGTGTATACTCATTGCTGAATCCAAAATTCTGATTTTTCGGTTACTTACTATTAAAATTAGAAATATAACATAATTATATGTATATATTTTTTGGAATATAATATAATCTAAATTATTAATTAATAACAATTTTAAAAAATACCATTGCACCGAATTCTTGTGCTCAGATTCGTAATTTGGATTTCTGTAATTATATTACTTTATTGTAAGTATTATTTTACCAAAACAAAAAATTCTAGTACAGTTAACAGGAAAAAGTTATTCTATTAATAAGAAATTCTGGTAAATTTAACTAGGAGGAATAAATCAAATTCATCCGGTAATTTTTACAAGAATTCTGATTTATCTATTTTTGAATAGATATATTGGTTGAATCTACCAAATTTTTAAATAATTCAACCAAACTTTTTCAGTGCACATATCACCTACTCACTGTAACTAGCGTGTTAGAGTGAATAAGAGCTACGGTTGAAGTAGCATGTTAAAGTACGACGCGAATAAATCTTACGCTGTACATGGGCACATTCAGCGGATTCAATAGTTGAATGAGCACTCGCTATTATTGGTGCATTCTTCTAGATCTAAAATTTTGATTGGATGAACTAAAAGAATACACCAATTACAGCGAGCGCTTACTCAATTGTTGAGTCCGCTGAACGCGCCCCATGACTACATGACATTTATTTATGTCTGACCATGTTCCATTATGATCCATCGCGTCAATTCGCGTATGCTTGCAATTCCTTATGAAGTCTCACAATTAAAGTATTCAAAGTACTAAGTCTCAAAGTATTCATTATAATGAGTTTCTAAGGAAACTTCAAGATGAGCTAATTGTGGTTAATTTTTTTTTCAAGAATTCTTCAGATATTAATTTTTCTAATTCTGTATGTCTTTTTTTAAATGACTTCTCTATAAACTATTCACCTGTGTACTATCTAGGTTTGTTCTGGTTGGCTGAATTCTAAGCTTTAATTTACGATCTTCAATTTATAATAAAGTAATGGTAACAGTTTAAATAAATAGTTTGATATAGAGTTTATTTAAATAAAAAAATAATATTAGGTCAATCGGAAAGTTCCGTCCGGTTTTTTGCAAAAAGTATGATTTTAGTTAAGAAATAAAATGAAAAAGTACGTCAATCAAAATATTCCATCGTTAGCAATGACTTTTTCCCATCTTTCGGGCAGTAAGCGAATCCGTGGCGAAAGAATGACTCATCCTTGGAGACTATCCAGTCAGAAACCCATTTTTCAACGTCTTCATAAAAATTGAAGCGTTTCTCAGCAAATGCGTGTGCTTTCGATCGAAATACAAGTGGTAGTCGGAAGGAGTACAGTCTGATGATAAGCCTGTATGGGGTAGCACTTCCCAGCGAAGTGCTTCCAATGTTTCTTTAACAGCCTTAGTGACGTGAGGTTGAGCATCGTCATGAAGCAAAATTACTTTATGTTGTCTTGTCTCAGATTCTAGTCGTTTTTCGCGCAATGCTCGGCTCAAACGGATTATTTGTTCTCGATAGAGAACCTGTGACTGTTTGACCAGATTTCAACAGCTCATACAATATACCCTTCTGGTCCCACCAAATACAGAGCTTGGCCTTCTTCTCATGAATTGTGTTTTTGTGTAAATGTCAATGGTTGGTCTGGATCACAAATGGTTTTTCGGCGTTTGGGATTGTCGAAATAGATCCACTTTTCATCGCTTTCTTTGTTGCCTAGCAAACATAATTTCACAGATGGTTTTTCGCCTTTCAATATCTCTTGGCTTCAGTTCATATGACCCATTTTCCTTACTTGCAGATCTTTCCAAAGGCTTTTAAACGATCGGAAATAACAGAATGAGTACAATTTAATGCTTCTGCAAGTTGTTTTTGCGTTTGACATAGGTCTTCATCCACCAATGTCTACAATTCTTTATCTTTAAATGCTCTTGGCTGTTCAGAACGTTCTTTGTCCTCCACATAAAAATTACCACTTTGAAAGCGTCGAAACTATTCTCTGCATTTTATCGGAAGGAGCACTATCACCATAAACTTCTACAAGCATTCGATGAGCTTCAGCAGCAATTTTCTTCCATTTGAAGCAAAAGATTAACACTTTGTTCAAATGACGTTTATTTGACTCAAATTTCGATGCAGTAAGAAACAATGTTATTGATGCAAACGTATATACTGAATTTTATTGATAGATGATAAAACTAAAATATTAAGCCTGATTTAGACATTACAGTTATCGACAGTTCCAGGGATAGATACTCGCCGCTAGATGAACGGAACTTCCCGATTGATTCTAATAATTATAAAATATTTTTATGTACAGGATGGTTGACTTCGGTTTCCAATCAAGCGACCCGTGCTTACTGCCTGTATTGTAGAAAGAATTTACACGCACATCGTTTATCGCTACTGAAACATACGTGCACAATGAAGCACCAGCGTTCGGCCTTGACGTATCAACTGGAACAGAAACAGATGCCGGAACAGAAATCGGATATCGATGCGCCCGAGATAGGGCTTATGGAAGAAGTTGAGGTCAATATATATTTTCTATTAATTTTTATTGACAAGATATTCTATACATATATTCATTAAATTATTTTTATTCTATATATATTTATTATAACACAATTGAATTTATTCTTTTGTAGCTTTTTGCGGAATAAAAACTGTATATGTGTATAGAATATCTTTTACCTTTCATTCGAAGTTATTATGGCGTAGATATTTGTTATTTTTTAAAGGAATTCTATAATCTCGTTAAATTAAGTGACATCAGTTGCGGGATTCTCTAAACGTTTAATACCGTTGTAAAATGAATGATTCTAGATCGGATTTTGTTTTTGTTTCTTGTGAGGTATGTTACTTTAGATTGTTTTCAATTTTGGTATATATAAAAAAATGAAATAAATTTTATTTCTTTAGAACATCTCATCGAGCAATTTGATGTGACATGTCTTACAAGGATTATCTTAAGTTGAATTGATATTTAAATGAATAATTTGCATTAGCTAGAGGAAGGTTCAAAATGAACCGAAACGTTCTAATTAATTTTGAAGAAATCTATTTTTATTGGATTTGCGTAATAACAACGCCGTACTCTCATTTACCCTTTGAAAACTGATTTTTTGTCAATAATTGTTTTGTAGGTGGAGGTGTAAAGGATAGGCAAATCTGTTTTTTTTTTTTTTTTTAAATGGAATGATATGTTTTTTTTATTTATATTCTGATAGAGCATTTCAAGACAAATGCAGTAACCTATAATTGAAGATTACGCAAGGTCAATAATGGAAAATAATTGAATGGAAAATAAATTGTTTCAAAGCACTCTTCGAATAATTTCTTCTTTGCTTCTTGGTATACCGCTAATCGTTCACATGACGACGAACATGCGTCTCTCTAAACGGTCTTATCTCGCTGTACGTTTGCATTTGGCGGTAGGCCGGTCTATTTTCATAAAAAATAACTCCTTAACTAATATTAAAAATGCAAAATGATAGAGAGGACTTTTCTACTCAGTTTAGTCCAGTCTGCCTCTATGGGAGAGTTTTATAGTTAATTGTAAACACCCTATACACACACAAAATAATCCTTTTGATGCCCCAACAATCTCTGAAAATGTCGGTTGAATTTCTGAACATTCTGTATATGTGTGTGTTTATATTTTTATTTAGACACTAAATGAGCCTTCTCAAACGGAGGTAGATGATGACGACGATGACGATATCGAATATGTTGTTGAGAGACTAGATACAGATGAGGATGATGACTCCATAGAGTTTGAAGATGTAAAGGAAAACATTGAAGAAGTCAATATGGAACAGGAGGAAGAAAAGGAAATGGATGAAAGTAGTCAATTCAGTGAGGAGGATTCTCCATCTGTAATAAAAAAGATTAAATTATTACCCGAGGTAATTTATATATACAACAGATCATATGTACATGCAATAGAAGATATTGATTTTATAGTTTGATATCTACCAATTTTTTGAATGTTATATAATTTTTTGTGATGATAATTTTTCATGATTCAGCAAAAAGATCAAGATCCTTTGACAGAGGCGATGGCCCATGTTCATAATGAATATCTTGAGGAGGATGACGAGAACGTGCAGGTGGAAATGGTGATAGAATCGACTAATAATGATATATCTGTTTTACCTGAACCAGAGGATGATGACCAGGAGACATCAAAATCATATGAAAATAAAAAAACGGTAATAAAAACTACCAAGAATGGAAAAGTTCTTGTAAGTATCAATTTACCTTTCTGAACGATATAAAAATATAAACATTAAAAAACTGCTTTAATCAATCTTCAATTTAGTTAAATTTTACGTAAATTTCATATTGAAAATCATTAGCTAAGTATATGTATTATATTAGTATTTTTATACATATGAAATCATAATTAGCTATATATAGAAAAAATATCATTTCACAGCTGGAGGATCCTAAAGATAATTTGGTCGTAACTTCATCGTTACCGAATACGGTTTATCAGACAAATATTTCGACAAGCACAACACCGATTAAGAGTAATTATGTGCCGATTGCGCCAAATGTAAAGGCTCAAAAGATTACTCTGATGTGTGGTAATAAAGCTTTTACATTAACTGGCGGTTCATTCCAACCAGGCACACAGTATGTGCTGACCAAGCTCAAGAGTAAGCCAACGGCATTGATGCTGACCGATCAAAAGAAATTAACAATGAACGAATCAGAGAACCAAATCCTAGTAAAGCCAGACTCTATCGTCGATCAATCATTAATTATTCCTAGCACTAGCCAACAGTCGACTGTTGATCAGGAATCAATTGATACTAAATTATCTAAGAAGGTAAAAAAACATTGTGTACTTTTTTTATTCGTTCATTTTCTATATGGTCCAGAACACAGGTTGTCATTATTTATTCTAGATTATGGGAAAATCGTCCGGGAAACACATTGCACCGAAAAAATTGCGAATTTCTACATATGTTGTAGATAATATGAAGGGAGTTCCAATTAGTGGATTGCAAGTTAGCTTGTACAAATTAATGGACGGTAAATGGACCTTTTTGAACGAGAAGTATGTGTTTTTATATAACTTAGTCATTCTATTACTATTGTGTACTTTTTTTTTAAAAAAAACGTTAAAGACTATAAGTGTGATAACAAAAAAAAATTTTTTTCCAGTAATACAAATGTAGAGGGTTATTGTGACGATTTGATGGAAAAAATAAACGGTACGATCGGTCGTTATAAGATTCATTTTGATGTTGACAAATATTTTACACTGAAAAGAATAGATACCATGTTTCCATTCGTCGAGATTGTATTTGACGTAAAAAAACCAAAAACTCATTATCACATACCTCTTTTATTGAGTCCGTTTGGTTACACGATCTATCGTGGCACCTAAATAAATGTTATAGATACAATTACGAAGATATACTTCATAATTTAAGAAGATGAAACTGTGAGTGTATTTTATTATTTTTATATTGTAGAATTAAACAAGTTAGTGTATATATTGAAATACATAACGTGCATAATATGTATATACATATATCACATATAAGGTGTAACTAAAATAAAGTAACATACTTCAGAGCAGTTCCCCCCTCATCAGAATATAAAAAAAGTTCATATGTTTGCAAATTCACTATTATTCAGATATAGTTCAGTATATTTAAATATTATGCCCGCCGATCTATATCTTCTAGATTTTTATCCGTAGATATTTTATGAAATTCCAATTGCTAATGAAGATAAACTACATTAACTTATCTTTAATTCTTATAACACCATTCGCGATTGTTCCGGGATCTTTGAAAGAGTGCGATAATGTATGATTCAATGTATCCAAGTATATATATCGAATCAAATGAGAGACACTTCGAACATTTGTTATAATTAAAAAAATTGAAAATAAATAATTACTCGTTTTTAAATATCGACGGTCCAACACAAATCGTTAATACTAAATTAATTTATTAGAAGTGGTGACAATTTGGTTGCGGCTGTTGAGGACTTTGTAAAGTCGAAACTTTTCCGTATACCGGTGTTATTATTATAATATAATAGATTTATATATATGTATATATCTTACAACTAGTATGGCTCAATTTGTTCTTGACCTGAGAGGTTTATTAAGTTTAATTTGAATAATTTTTTTATTTTCTATATATATATTAATAAATATTTTGAATATTATATCTGTCTAACAGTAAGTTTGCGGACATATGGTCATATAAACTTTTTTTCGTGTTTTGCTATGAGGAGTTTTGTATCTTATTTGTTTATTTTATTGTACACTTTATATATAATTATGTTAGGTTATATTATAAACATCATTAATTATAAGCTACTTGGAAAGAAAAGGGCACTTGGAGTCAAGCGCAGATAACTTCACGCAATACCGATATATATCAAGCAAATCTATCTATTACAAAAAATTATAAAAAAATTAAGCTTACATGTTTCGACTCATTTTTTAGCCTTCTTCAGAGACAATAAAAATTACATAAATAAATTATAATATAAAAATAACAAAGGATAAAAAGATGTTTAATCATAGTGAGTTCCCTCACAACCGAGAAATAAATTTTAATGACAATTTCATCTTAAAGGGCACAATCAAATGAATAATAAAGGAAGAAAGGAAAAAAATAAAAGAAAGCTGAAATTCTGGGAAAATAATTTTCCAGAATATCTTAGAAAAATAATAATTTCCAAATTAAATTTATCATAATTGCAATTATTTTACCGGGAGTGAGGAGACTCACCATATTCACAACAATACTGCATCGCAAACGATCTTAAAACCGGTCTTCAGAATAATTTAGGCCAATCAGTCTGAGACACAGTAAGTCACAACAAATAGTTTGACAGTATTAAATTAAATTATCAAATTACAAAAATCAAATACTACGACTCACCACTATGCACAAACGAGACTGACTAGACAGACGTATATAACAGACAACAACGTTATTTATATCCTGTCTATGATCGGGAAGTAGACCTTGGGAAGTCCCTCCATGTCCGTTTATAAATTAAGTCCGTGTGCTTGTCTCCTGATGGATATCATTTCCGAAATTAGTCTTTTTCTATAGTGTGGTTCATCATCCAATATTCTGACGTTATCCCAATCAAATTCATGATCCTCATGCAGCCGATGCTCCGTTATGACGCTGCGGGTGGACGTGTTCCATCTGATATGATTCCTATGTTCTGCAATCTTGACTTTAGTTGTCTGCACGTTTGTCCCACATAACTTGCATCGCAATTCATACAAGAAATTTTATAAACAACTCCTGACTTCTTTTCACGCGGCAAAGGATCTTTATGCACTCTAATAAATTCACGCAATTTACTACTACTCTAATACGATACTCTCAAATGACTGTTGGTCAATCTGTTGAACTTCTCAGTAATACCTCTCACGCATTAATTATAGTTAAAATATAAATAAAATAATAAAATATTTTTAACGCTTTTGCAGATAAAATGTATTACATAATTGACAAAATGTATTTACATAACTGTTAAGAATTGTTGCATTATATGTGTAAATTATGTCATAAAGTATGATTTGGTGCATACAGTTAAAAATTATTTTTAGTATGAGCTGCATTTCAATGATGAATTCAATGAAATAAGTTTTTAAGAAAGCTCTGTAACTACGAATATAAATATATTAGTTTTAGAGAGTTTTATAAGAAAAAATATAATAAATTTATAAGTATATATGTAAATATTTTATTTTGCTTCCTGTTTTTGTATATCACATAGAATTTTTTTCTTATAATTATAATTATTATAATTGATACACTGTTTATGCTTGAACTGTATTATATCATATCATATGTAATGTCACGTATTGTATTTTTTTAAATAAACGACATTAAATTCTAATAAAAATGAACTAGAGATAAGTGTCAATCTTTCAATCACATTGCCGACATTCCTTGACCTCTTTGATCCAGTTTATCTATATATAAACAGTCTTGAAAGCTACATACAGTCGAGCACAATAAGTTATATTCGTGAATACTAAGTGTGGTGAAGTAGAGCAGACCATTTCCTAAAATTATTCAAAAAACGTAATTTATAATACGACGAAAAAGACATCAATATATTGTGTGTGTGTGCGTGCGTGCGTATGTGTGTGTGTGTGTGTGTGTATTTATTGGATAGTCTTTAAAAAATTTGATTTGGAAAATGCAGAATTTATAGCAATATATTTAACAAAAATTTGCATTGATCTAAATCTATATTTTATTAAATAAAAAAAAATTTATTTTCATTTGAAGTGAATCTTAAGTATTTAATAATATTTCTATGTAAATTTTTGCAAATATATTTATCAGTTTTATAAATTGTGCATTTGATTTATCTTGAAACAGAATCGCAAATTGAATTTGAAATAAAATATAAGATTGCAACGCAAGATAATAGAGGAAAAGGTGGCACCACATTTACATATTATATAACTTGGTTAATAATCAATATTTAAATTAAAACTTAACAATTATACAATTACATTCTTCAAAGTATTGTTCAATCGAGTTTCTGATTTTTGTTTTTCCGGTTTTTTTATCATACTAAATCGATCTTATTATATTTTTTACATCCAAGAACTTACAATTAGTGATAATTTCAAAACAATTTTTGTGTTATTTCAATTTTTGTTAAATTAAAAAAAATATTAAATTTCGAAAAATATAGTTCTTTGAAAAATATTCGTTTTGGTTAACTTATTATTTTATTCAGCAAATCAGATAATTTAATGTTCAAATTCGTTAGTCAATGCATCTCATGTTTGACCTAACTTAAAAACGATTCACTCATTGCGATTAAGACACGTCATAATTGTATAGACGTGTTATTCATATTTATTAGCGTTTGACTTATTTATAATGAAGAGGATCCAAACCAAGCATTGAAGCATTATATATATATATATATATACATATATGATATCTGTTTAAATAGACGAAGGCCGATATTCATAGTCAGTTCTTATTTGAAGACTGTCTTAAGTAATGTCTTAAGACGCGAATGCAGCCCTTTTAAGACTGTACTTAAGACGATCTTGAATATAAGAATTGACTATGAATACCGGCCGAAATTTACATTTTCCTGTACATCATGTGTTGGCTCAAATATAAGGCTTCATATTTATATTCGATATAAGCAATAAGAAACGTTTCGGAAATAGGATTATTTCTCTTTTGGTTTATTCTCGTCAATCTAATTTCTATCTATAATTGTCGATCTTTTATATCATTTTTTAAATAAATTATTAAAGTTATTATTAAAGCATAATATAAAAGATAAATCGCTAGTCTACAATATGATATAGAGAAATCCAAAAACGAAGATAAAATTATGAATTTCTATTGTGTGTGTTTTAATTTATTGCGTGATTTGCACTTATGTTTTTTGTATTTTATACGATAGATGAGTACTTCTGTAAATCAAGAGGAAGAAAAATTAAGTATTACTACGCATGTTTTGGATACTAGCAGAGGTCGACCTGCTGATGGCTTGTTTGTGGGTCTCTATAAGTTTGAAAATAACGAGTGGATTTTTCTGAAAGGAAGGTACCTTTTGTTTCGCTTTGTGTATATTTTTTATATTTCATTTGAATTTCAGTAAGAATTTCATTTTAAAAAGTAAAGCACGTTTCGCATGCCACACTTTTATCTCTCTCTCTCTTTCTCTCACACGCACACGCACATATTACGCACTTGAGGCTTTCACGGGTATTTTCTTCAATACCAGAAGGTTTGCGGGTAATCGCCGTGTCTTTCTTCATTATTGATGCCAACGTTTCGTGAATCACGCCGTTTATTTCATTATAGGGCGAGGGGTGAGCAAATACTAATACACACATATTGTTATATTTTTTAAGATGTTTTTAAGTTACAACAAAATTACAGTTACAACGTATCCGTTTAATTTAGCTATCGTCAAATGCAAGTACGCGGTATGCTGTGACCGTTTAGTTTGGGAAGATATTTTTTTCGCTGGCATGTACAAGATTAAACCAATGGCATCATCTTATATGTCCCCTTTCAAGTCAAAAGCTTTTCTGTGTGAAACATTTTTCGATAATTGACTTTCGAAAAAAATCAATGCATTATTTGAAATGCTTGTATATATATTTCTTTTCATTCGGTTTGAAATTTAAGTGGTCCAATAAGAATTGATATTGTACAGGGTGCGTCACCAAAATCCGGACAAATTTAAATTTAAATTTTACGCTATATTGTGCCTCCGCCAGAGGATGTTGTTGGCTTTCTGAGAAAGCCTGCAGATGCTCTCAAAATGGCCGCGATGTTGAAACCAAGTACGGAATATAATCGAAGAGCCGCGATCATCGAAGGCCTTCGCGCTGGGCACTCAGCAACGGAAATAATTCGATTTTTTGGATACCCGAGATCAACCGTTTATGACGTTGTGGCCAAATTTAAGGCTTTAGAACAGTCCAACGAAGGTTCCGGTACGCCAGCGAGGAAGAGTCACTCGAAAGAACGTACCACGAGGACCCCCGCAATCATTGAAAAGGCTCAAGCGCTGATTTCGGATGACCCAGGGCAATCGTTGCGAAAATTAGCATCGATTGTTGGTGTAAGCGAGTCAACAATGCGTCGAATTGCCGAGGAGGACCTACGATACAAATCGTATACATTAAAGAAACGACAGATGCTCTCTGAAGCTACCAGGACAATGCGAATTGCTCGCTGCAATCTGCTATTGTGTTCCTTGAAAAACGAAGCGTCGGAACAAATCAGATTCTTTTCTGATGAAAAAATGTTTACTGTTGATGCCAAAACCAACCGGAAGAATGGCCGATGGTTCGTTTACAACCCCGAGGATGTCCCTGTTGCTAGAACGAAATTTCCGGCCAATGTTCACGTGCTAGGTGTCGTGTCCAGTGAGGGTGATGTCATGCCACCATATTTCTTTGAAAAAGAGGAAACTGTTACAAAAGAAGTGTATTTGCGCGTTTTAATGGATGTAGTGAAGCCATGGATGGAAATTGTGGCGTCCGGAAGACCATATGTTTTTCAACAGAACAATGCACCGGCTCATACGAGTCATTTGATTCAAAATTGGCTCTCAGACAATGTCGATATGTTTTGGTCCAAGGAATTCTGGCCTCCCGACAGCCCAGATTTAAATCCTTTAGACTATTACGTATGGAGCGTAATTGAAAGGGTCACTAACAAGTCTCGGCATCCTGATGTGACATCATTAAGGACTGCTATTGAGGCAGCATTCGTCGGCATGGACAGCGCTACATTACAGCGTGCGTGCGAACGCTTCAGACCGAGAATAGAGGCCGTCATTCAAGCTAATGGGGAATATATCGAATAATTGTGCTCTATATGGATCTCCCAAGTGCCATATAAAAGGATTTTTAGTAATATTTAATTTTTTATTAAAAACATTTTAATTAAAGAAATTGTTTGATTTGTCCGGATTTTCGTGATGCACCCTGTATATTTCTTTTATTTTTACACATTCACATTGGCAATATCATTTGCATACGCTAGCATTTAACATTAAAAAAGATATTTTCTCCGCGCGTTTATTCATTATTAATTTTCAATTTTTTTTAATAGCACGACAGACTCGAATGGTCGTTGCGAGAATCTGTTGCAGGGCTTGCAAGAGAATTCAGGATCTAGCAGATTCAAGATTGAGTTTTGGGTAAACGATTATTTCAAACGAATCGCGACCGCCTCTATGTACCCGATGATCGACGTGATATTCGACGTGCAACATTCCAACGACCACTACCATATTCCTCTGCTGCTGAATCCTTTCGGATATACCACGTATCGTGGCTCATGATTGACATATCACGCTTAATCCAGGAATCATTTGGAGTGTTTTTATATTCGTCACTGACGAGAAAATGTGAACTGTTGTAAAATGTATTCTTTCTTATTATTGTATTCTTTCTTTTTGAACAAATTTAAAAAATTTGAATTTATTAAAAAAATTTTTGAAACTATGCTTGTTGATTGATTAAAACTTTATACACATAATAATAACATATTTTATTAAGATTCAGGAATTTTTTCAAGTTAAAATACTTAATGAAAATTATGGTAATTATAACAATAAATGCGGGACGTATCTGAGCGGGCATCGTTTCATGGCTTTCTTAAAATTTCAATACTCAGTTATCCGAAATAAAATATGGAATAAGGTTATTAATCTACAGATGTTCGGTTACCATTGAAAGCAGAATTAGAGAAAAAAATTATTTTCTAAATAATTATAATGTATATAAAATGTATATTAGAAATTAAATAAACAAATTAATATTTTTAATTTCGGTGCTTTTTCAACGATAGAGACAGATATTGGAAATATGTAATTACAGGGCAAAGACGATCAGTTTAGTTTATTTAAAGTCATGGGAGCTATAGTTTGAAAGACATATAGTTTCGAAAAAAATGCGTTTAAAATTTCGTGCGCGCATGTGTGTGCAATTTAATCGTATATTTTTAGTACTTACGTAAACTTCAGCCTAATAAGCTATTTCAGACCCATATAATACGCCTATGCCGCTTTGACGTTTCATGTGGCTTCCGTTGTTTATCCCGAAACTTGGAAAACTGCGTTGGGGATTATTAGTAAGGATATATTGTAATTTGTAGAAGTGATCATCAGAACATCTTTCATTAAACAAATATGTAGTTTAAAAAAGCAGATTCAAGTATCTTGAAGTCATAAAGATGCTTTCCGTATTCTTGTCGGATACCGGAAGGAAGAGATGGATAGGCGTTTGACTAGCAGACCGTTGATCTACGAGAACAGATCCGAAGACGAGCTTCTACATACTCCACAATTTTACGCCTGGAGTTAATTTATGAATTAATTTTCATTCAAATTATTCACTGGGCAAAACTTGCCGACTTACATTCTTTCATCTATAACGAAGTTTAGATTTAAATTTTAATCATATATGGTACTTGATATTCGCAATATTCTGGATCTATCTTCGCAGGTCACATATTAGACAGTAAATAGGTATCTCACATAATTTTTTTTTAACAAGACATTTAATATTCGTTTAATATCTGTAAGCTCAGCAGAGTCAACATTTTGCGTGGGAACAGACGTTAAGAGGTTCTCGTATGTAGGTATGCGCGTTACAGATCCTCTTGTTTGCATTGCGCTACGCAAACTGCGCTCGAGCGGCTCTTCGCGGCATGCGAAATATTGAATATTTTCGTATCCGGTCGAAGTTTTTGTGGACTCTTACGAGGATTAACGCAAGTTTTGCGAAAGGGTACATTTCAGAGTAGATAAAAGAAGAAGAAAAGTAAGATATACTCCGTTGCATTACGCTCACTATCTTCTAACGGGACTTAAAATCGAATTGTTGATACCCAGTGTTGTAACGTATCTAGGTATAAGCATAGTAGAATAAGAGAGATAAGCTGATAGCCAACTACATTCGATTTGTATCATGGAAATCTAATATGGCTAATGCTGTGCTTTTGCCATTTTTGTGAGCATACGAATTGATTCATAAAATTATTATATTTTCTAACGATAGTTTGTGTACGTGTATAAAGTTTTGGAGAAGAAAGGTTTTATTTTATTAGGGCATTTATATAAGTGGCTGCATAAACAACCGAGAAAGTCAAGTAAACAAGAAAAAATGGGCAACGTATATACTTACTTTTAATGATATTATGTTTTAAAAATTTTTATAATTGGTTTAATATATTGTTGCTATTTTCAATAGATACTGTGCTTTTATTTCCGATCAGTAAGATGCATTTGAAATTTAAGCGTTTTACATGAGCCCAATTTGATTGGTTGTCATTTCGTGTCCCCTATTCTAATTTTCCGTTATTATGTGCATAGCTCACCTTTCTTATTCCACTATGGATACAAGTACTTAAGTATAGTACCTAGGTACTTTAGCAGTACCTAAGTGCATTACCTAGGTCCTCATATAGATAGAGATATCTGTACCTATATCTGTACCTGCACCTAGGTACTCTTTTGTAGAATATTTTTTAAGTTTAAATATGTATATAAGTATAAGATATTCAATATATATACATAACATATATATACCAGTACATATATACATAAACCAAACTTTCTCATGTTTTTCCACGATGAGAGATGAAATTGGAAATTGACAGTTTAAGGCTCAGTTTCACAACTCACGGTTAACTCTTAACCGAGATTCAACTTATTTCTCATCTCTTTCTAATTCTATAATTAGAAAGAGATAAGGAATAAATTAAACCTCGGTTAAGAGTTAATCATAAATTGTGAAACTGGGCCTAAATAACTTGAGATTGACTTCAATGACCTTTAAGATTCCATGCTATTTCTGTTCTTTTTCTGAAGATAGAAAAATATCGGAATCACAAATTCTATCAAACTATCATCTTCCGGTTTCACGAACAGAAGTCTTGGTTTATGTACATACATCATTGATCTGTTCGATTATATCATTATATTATAAACATTTTAATCCCAAAAAGAAATTAACTTTCCAATGCATTATTGATTTAACAAAATATGACCAATAAAACAATTATTCAAATACTTTTATAAATATTATATAAGTAGTAGTTCGCAAAATAAAATTTGTTTATGTAGTTTGTTTTCTTTTTGTAAAAAATATCTAAAAAATAATTAAATCTTTCAGGTACTGCTACACTATACCTATATCTATACCTGTAACTAGGTACTTGTCCTACAGAGTATTTATATCTATACCTAGATACCCTTCACAAGATATTTGTTACAACACTGCCGATATTATTCGATATAAATTATTGATATTGTTTAGAAAAGGGCATATTTTATAATTTAAAATTCAAAAGGATTTCAAACAGATTTAGCGTCGTGCTTTGCATGCAACGATGCAATATTCACCTTCTTGTAATTATTTCTTATATATATACGTAGATATATACGCAACTAGGACTTTAAAACAATTATAATACAAAAAACACTTTATGTGATCGCCGCCACGAAGAGTTAATACCTCCCGATACCTTCGACTAGTTCGTACAATAAATTGTTTTCGTCCATTAAAAATCGCCACCGCAAAAGTGGGAAGATGCCGAGTTTCTTTCTTCGAGCGGCTTGTTAATTAAGAAAATAGTGTCTTCAATACCGTTCGAATAATAATGCTCCTTTTTCTCGGCACCTCGCGCACTTCCGCTTCGCCGCCGATTAGAGCAAGCTGGGCTGTTAAAAGGTTTTGATCAAATTATACATTTTAACGACAGATTCTGTAACTAATTTTGAACCAATTCTACGTATTTATATAATATAAATTATATAATTTAAGACTCATCGTGAGAGATCGTGAGTTTTTAATGATTTATTTTGCACCAGCTCGCTCCGATCGAACACAATTCATTAACGCAGGTACGTAAAAATCATGGGCGTCGTAAGAAAAATGCAGAGGCACGCTCTGTTTTCAAAAAAGGGCAAAGAAGAACTAAATACAATTTTTTAATAAGAATTTGTTGAAATTTTTTAATTAAAAATTTCAGATTCTCCTTTTACAAAAGACAATGGAAAAAACTATAATTTTTTCAGTTTAATAATAAAATGTACTTCTACGTATACAGAGTGTCTTATTTTAATTTTCTCAAGTAAATATCTTGAAAAATATGTAAGATACAAAAAAATGTTTCAGATAAAAGTTGAATGGTTTCGAGGAAGACGCATTTTGGTCACGTTGCTTTTTTCTAGGTGCCAAAAAGTATGAAGGTCACATCCATGTTTTTAAATGAGAAATTATGAAATTTTGTTTATAAAATATATATATATATATTTCTCTTTAATTATTTTGTATATAAAAGTATTAAGGTAAAAACAAAAAAATCAATGTTTATGAAATATTTTATACTTTCTTCTGACACATATTTACATGAAATATAAAATATTTCGTAAACTATTAATTTTTTAATAATTGTACCTTAATATCTTTATGAACAAAATAATGAGATAAAAAAATTAATGTAAAGAAAGCACGTAGTTGCTTACTTAAAAAATTATCTATTTTGCCTACATATTTTTTTTTAAACATCTATGTATTTTCTTTACACTAATTAATATAGCTCATTATTCTGTTTATATACGTGTTAAGTTAATTAAATTAATAATTACGAGATATTTAGTATTTTATGTCAATATATGCCAGAATAAAGTATAAAATATCTCGCAAACTATTGATTTTTTATATCTTTACCATGATACTTTTATATAATTAAAGGAATTATATTATGAAGAATAGAACTTTATTACCTTCAAGCATACATAGCCAAAGAAGGGGACTTGGTTTACAATTTATCAATCTATCCTCACATATCCATTCATAGCTTGCCCTCGCGTCTATTTCCTCTTTTCTTTATCCTAATTTACTCAACTAACCTTCACTTATCTATTAACATTATACTTTAAAACCTTTTCTTTCTTACCTGTTACCTTCTTAATCTATTATTTTTGACCCCATATATTTCATCCTATCGATGTGTTCCAATTTTCCTCCCATCGTCAAGTAATTAAAAATTTCCTCACTAGTCTTCTTGTATTTCCAACTCATAATCTTACACCTCGCTCAATAAATCAACTTATCCACGCATAACTTTTACTCACGCTTTCTTTATTAATTTACTTCGCCTAACTACTTGAACAGAATTTCCTCTCTAACCTTCCTGTATATTTCTGACTCATTAGCTTGCCTCACAATTCTATCCTTTTCAATTTTTATTTTATTCCTCGCAGTTTTTCGAGGAATTATATTATGTAAAAAAATTATAAAATTTCATAAAATAAAATGGGAGTAACCTCTAGATGATGATAAAAATTAATTTTTCCAAAAATCAATTTACTAATATTTGTATCCCTTGAGTACAACTTTCATCTGAAATATTTTTCCATATTTTTCATAATTTCCTAAATATACTTACTTATTCGACCTTCAACCTTTCCTAGATATACTTATTACATTTGGAATAAAACACCCTCTCTTTCTCTCTCTGTATACATGTTGTATAATTCTAACGAAGATTTTATATCATTTCAAGAAATATAGCTAACAATTCTGTGTGCCCTTATGGAAAATTCTGGCGGCGCTCATGATAATAATTAACGAAATGCACTTAGGTACTCGATCAAACATGACAAGGCTCAGGTAGGAATCCTTGACATGTTCAAAAAGGCGCAATTCTGTTCATCATGATTAACCGCAGAAGAAAAATTCTTCTCTTCTTTTATTCCCTGCCAATTTTTTGCTACAAAATTGCAATCAAATCGAATACTTTGCATGATTCGTTACAATAAAAAATCTCATATGTATATATTGTTGATCGTTATAAAAAAGGATTCGGGATTAATTTCGCATTGTGGCGGACAAAACTGAAGGCGGATTTACCAATTCGAGGGTAATATCAACTGATCCAACAGCTGTTCTAAAAGAGATACGCGTGAAGATTCTCAAGACTCGACCCTTGTAAGAGCAATACCGCATTTAAACGATATTTATACCTGCGCGAAAAGTAATCATCTTTCTTTAGAGTTCCGTAGATAAATTTAGGGACATTATCATCAATTAGGTGCCTTATCATTAGATACTAATTATGAGGCTAGCATTTCAGAAAATATGAATTAAAAAGAAGCTTATTATATACCATTATTCTTAATCTTGATGACACAAATAGAAAATAAATATATAAAAATATAATAAAATTTCTAATGAAATCTATAATCACTCGCGGTAAACAAATAAATTTAACAAATACATACATACACATAAGAAGAGACACTCCATTTACAACATTAATTGCAATTAGCATTATCGTATCTGTTAGTTTTACGAAAATCTTCATTGATGATTTATTATGATCAACGCCAAAATACAATACCGTAAATGTAGGTGACTCGAGACAGTGCAGGTAACTTGGCACAGCATGTACTTTTATTAAATTCAATCGTATCTATCTGTGAGTCATTAAAGAAAATTTAAACTTTCTCTAAAGAAAGTTTAATTTTCTTTAATAACTTGATGTTTCCAAGTTACATGTACTGTCCTAAGTCACCTATATTTACGGTAATTAATTAACAAACAATGATCTCAAATATTTTTATTTTTATCGATAAAATACGTTTTGGAAACATCGATCGTTCAAACGGCATTTTCGGAATGCATTCAATGTAAATTGCAGCCAGTTCCTTCTGCTAATCAACATTATTAGCTGCGTTGCTTTTCAGCATTTGAGACCATTTCCGGGTGGATCACGTTTATACTTTGTTATATACTTATTTTTATCATGGGAGAGAGATATTTCATTCTTACTCTATTATTATTCATAACCTTCATAAATATAAAGATTATTAATGTTTTACTGTACGTAAAATATGAATCTTTGAAAAGTAAAACAAAGATAAGCGAAGGAAAAAAGCAATAGAATAATGATTTTTAAAATAAAATTTTGCATAAGATGATAGATAAGGAAGAAGAGAGAAATTTTATCTACGGAACTCTTCAATGTGTTTAAGGTGGTTCTTTAGTAAATTGAGTTATCATAAAAACGTCTAATTTCTTTATATAACAAAGTCAAAATTCCGAACTTGATGTGTGCAAAATTCTAGGGCAGTTAATGATAAAATGAGAGAAAAAACGTTAACTTTTAACGTATATAACTTAGTAACACGTAAAGATTGGAGACACTTTTTTAAGTAAGTGCACATAAATATTATCATAGACTTCTCTCTAAAAAAAAAACGAATTATTTAAAAAATTACAATTGTAAAGGTTACAAAAAAGTAATAGGTCAATGACTATTTTGTTGAAGACAAATCTACGGCAAAGTTGTCGTATCATAGATTTGTCCGATTTTGTTAAGACAAGACACGCTTTACTATTCTGGCAAATTTTACAAAAAATGAAGTTCTTTTTATTTCATCAATTTAACATATTATATGTTTCATTAAAATATACACGTAGCTTTAATATTTTATCTAAATTTTATGCAGATATTTGTTATTTTTGGTGGGCACTGATAAAATGCCCCAAATTTTTTGGTATTTTACTAAAGAACCACTTTAATAGAATTAAATGCCTATCTATTGTACAGAGTGCCAAAAACTGCGTACTCTCTCTCTCTTGATCATGGACATATCGGTTAATTCCTAAATTAGAATTAGCAATTAAAAATAAAGCGCAAAATTGTTTACTCTTCAATTCCACTTCTGATATGGCATATCCGCAACTGTTATCAAAATTATTTTTTTCAAAACTTCTATTTGTTTTATATTACTCGTAACTTTTCTTACTAATAAAGAATAAAGATATATACATTTGTTTGATATTATTGTATCCCTTGTCTGGCACTTTAATTGAAAAAAAGTAGTTAATTACGTTCAATAAAATTTATTCAATGTATCTGTTTTTATAAAAGTTATATAAACCATTAAAATTGGATATGCCATACATAACGTGTTGCACCCGTGACAAAGTATAGCATGACAGTAAAGGAAAACTGATCCAAACTGATCAAGAAATTCATAGATGTGACTGAGCATGCGGTATATTTGGCACACTCCCTCTGTATACAGTGATGTTCGACGCGTTGAATATCCTTCGCAGTGCAAAGAAAGATTGATCAAAGCTGCCAAGTTAGCTTCCTCAGAAACGGCGATGTATCTGTTCGCGCCGAGATCTAACGGACGAATGTCGTCCCGCGGAACTTTATAACTGTGTTCGGGGAGACGTTATTAGCGCTATTTGTGTCATTCTATCTTCATCATCCATTAGAACGTGAAATAAGGATAGTATGACACAAATAACGCTGATAGCGCGCTCCCTAAACGCAGCCTACATGCCTCGTCGCGCACACTCTTCCCACCTATAGTCATATTATTCATCGTCATCCCTTTCTCTCTTGTTTACATTCACGCCGCTTTCTCTCGCACATTCTTTCTTTTCCGTTCTCGCTCTACGCGTACGATGCATTTTTTAAATCACGATAACTTTGATGATTATTAACCACGATAGTAAAAGCATATAAGCTATACAGCTACCATTCTGTATCTACAATATAGTTTTGTATGTATAATATATATATATATATATTTCTTTTTCTTTCTCTTTCTTTTTCCGTTTCTTTCCTAACTCTGGTCTCTCGTGACATCATTGAAATATCATTGTCTCTCGAAAAGCGGTTCAATGTTCGCGCACTGACGTTCCTTCTCATCCTCCACGTGGATCCCTCTTTTCCGTGCTTGAAAGCTAGAGATAGCCTGGCGAGAGTCCAATCTTCCACGGCAAGGGTTAACTTCATATTCCAGAGCATTTTAACAGAGATTCCAATCTCCTCAACATACAATCATCGATAGTCTCTTCCTCATTTTCTTCACATTCCGGTTAAACTTGCTCTTGTTTCCCATTTCTTCATGATTAAAAGGTACAAGAAGCTTCTTTGACATCTTGTTTGACTTACTGTTTGTTTAATTTTCTTCAGATTTTAAACAATCTGACGTTCTCGCATATCCAATCACATTTTCTTCGTTTCCAATATTTCGCTTCACTTTCTTCACTTTCTTTAAAGATGAAATTTTTTTCTCCCTCTGAGAAATTATCTTCTGGACTTGTTCTCGAGCGTGTTTGAAATGCCGGCGCTTTCCTGTTCCGGCAGCCTCTTCGAGTCGCTTCTTCATCGATGCGTCCTCGATACCCCGAGTTGCCCAGTCGTGATTTCCTCAATAGCCACGAAGCTGAAGTTACGCTCCCGATAATGGAGGAGGATCGTCTCTCGTGCGCGTCCCCGCTGGCTCCGTCGCACCATCATTACTGCAGTACGCAGCACTTGCACTTAGGCTTCTTCTTCAGGGTGACGTGTTCGACCTGTGACGCGTCGCCCGGGCCCTGCGCCGTCATCCTCGCAACTTCCACCGTTGCGGTCCGAGACGCGCCAACCTGACATCATTACGAATGGCTGATTAACTTATCTTCGTTTTTGTCCTGATTCTTCTATCTAATAATGTTCAAGTTTAATTCGGCAGACCTTCAAACTTTAAATACAAACAATTAGTGAAATCGTGTAAGATTTCAAAATGTGTAAGAAATAAATCAAAAATAAATAAAAAAACCTTTAAGAATCGACGCAAGATATTGTTGCGAATTATGATTTACTCTCTATAATAATATAACAAATGGTTTACGTTTCGATTCACGATTAGAGTCCTCTTCAACACAAGATTAAAATATATAATAGAGTAAGCTTTTCAACATTTACATAGTTATTGAATTATTATCTGAGTAAACAGTGGACGAGAGAGGCAAAGCAGCTAATAGGTCTACTGGTCTTTACATTTTACATTTCTATGTAAAATTTCATGTTCAATGGAATCCTAAAAATACATATTGCATGTAAAATTAATATAATCTTTAACTTTCCATGTAAGCTGCAATATTACATGCTGGATACAGCATTATGATCGATACAGCAAATTCCACACAAAAATGTTTTCCAGTGTAGGTCAAAACGTAAATCATTTGTTGTATTATTATAGAGAGTAGTAAATCATTATTTATAACAATATCTTGCGTCGGGGCTCTTAGAGGCTTTTTATTTATTTTTTATTTAAATACAAACACTATGCTATTAAATTAACAATTACCGTTAAAAGCAAAGATTAAGTGAGTTATTGTTTCGAAGTGATGCATCCTTGCGGTGACTATATGTTCTTCATTGTAAAAAACAGTCGTTTATTTTAGATATAATAGCTGTCCTTTAGATTTATTTGTTTCTTCAAAACTCAATTTCGACATTACGGTAAATTATTTTCTGTAATAACTACCGTTCCCCAATGTCTAATGTTATATATATTAATGAGCAGAGTTTTACGGAAAATATTTTATAGTTTTTTATACATATATAAATACAATTTGTTTTTCTTTTAATTATATTTTCTAATATTTTAAATTAAATTTATTCAAGCTAGAGTTGTTTTTATTTTGTATTATTTTGAATCTTTTATTATTTCAGACCAAGGGTTTGTTCCAGTACAATCTGATTCTAATCTAAATAGTTTCAAACTATTAAAAAACTGCACATTATCTCAATTTGATTATACTGTGCAATTTTATAATGCACAGATTCTTAACAGTGACAAATTGGTTTGAAAACATGTAGAAACAAACACATAAAATATTCAAATTTGTCATTATTCCCTTTAAGAAAATATGGTCACCATATGCACCTATACCTCACCTTTTCGTTAACAGGTTGGTTGCCGGCAGCTTTCGAAGGAGTACCACCTCGTGCACTACCATTCTCCTGACCGGGCCTCGGTGACGAGTTAGCGTGACAATTCGCGGACTTAAGAAGCGGGCTGGTACTCGAGTCGCCAGATTTGCCATCGCATCCCGGTAATGGTGGCGCGTTTTGACCCGGGGTAGGCGTGATCGGTTTTCCACCCTTTATTAACTCGACGATCTCATCGGCTTCCCGGGAGAGATCGCCATCCGGTCTGAACGGATTGTCCCAGCCGCTGTCCGTACTAAAATCAGAAAATATTGTCACATTTAATCTTAATTTCTCTCGTTTAAATAATTCGTGATTAATCGTGATGAGATGTTGAAATTTTTTGGTCACCATAAATGGTTATTGTTTCCATTGCAATTCAACGCAAATCGTTACTCTTCAATTGTACATTAAATATAATACATCGCATTATTTTTCTAAAGACGAACTTATTAAATACTGTTGTTATGCATCTTCTTTATTCTCTATATGCATTTGAATTTCATGTATTAAAGAATTTACTTCTATAAATACAAGAGAACTAAGTAATTTCAAACTTTATATCATTTCATAAAAATTTAATTATTAAATTTAAATAAGACATGTTATTACACACGCACGCACGCACACATATAATGTTTCTTATACACAGAAACACACACACACACACAATATTTATAAAATATTTATAAAATATCTTGTAAATATTTTTGTGGTTCTTATTTTTAAATTGCACAGATCATGAACATTTATCACGAATATCATGAAACATTTTACACAAAAACAGCGGTGTGGCTCGAGATGCGTAGTAGCGTCGTTTGATCGATCGCGCAGGAAAATGGAACATTTTCGATCGCGGGAAGGAAGCGGCATAACAACCTGTTGTGAGAGCAAGCGGTTACGTTACGATTAAGGACAGATTTTGTTTAAGCTGGCCGTTTCAATTTTGTGTTCTTATTCAAATATAGTTGTTCATAAGTTATGGTGTACGGTATTTCGCTAAAGTTAGAAAATGCAATGAAAATATTTAATGAGACATAATAATCCAAGTAAAAAATATTTATTAGAAATATTTTTTTTATTTACTATTTATATAACATTTCAGAAAATGTGTGTGTGTGTGTGTGTGTGTGTGTCAATAGTAATAAATATTTACCATAAATATTCTGTGCTGTCTGGGTATATATCGTTCATGAATCATCCTATATTAGATAATATCGCTGTAATGGTACGTGCTTCTAGTATCTTAATGACGGATCTCGCATAAAAATTGCATTTTATATGAAAAATGCTTTCTAGTACGAGGTAGTTTCTTGATACAGTGTAAAAGATCATGATCGTTAATACGCACTAGGAACAAAATTGTTTCGATGTATACATAAGAGATTACTGATCATTAAATTTTTATATTAAAAAGAAATGTAAAATTGAATAGATTACATATTAAAAAGTAACAATAAATTTTGTTACATTAATAATTAACATTGTTAAACAACCGGTTTAATTGCAATTTTTTCAATTGTAACATTTATTTTACTCATCTAAGCGTTATTTTGCGCACCTAAGCATTTTCTTTCTTAATATAGTCAGCTTAATGAAAACTTTTGAAGCAACAGAGCGTAAGGCCAGCATTATCGATATTGACCTACTTACATTATTGTAATCAGGAAAATAAACTACTCGACTTGACAGAAATCCGATTAAAATTTCTAAAAACATATAGCTATTTAGAAACTTATAATAATATTATAAATCAAGTTCACAATATATCAAGTTCGAGATATGCAAGTTACGAATTTGTTGCTTGCAAAATAAGTAACAATTAAAAAACGAAAAATACCAGCGTTATAGCGGAACAAGGGTACCGTATATTTCGACAACAACAAATGAGCAACAAATTCCTACGTTATTTTTACGTTGATCGGCTTTATTCTATGTATATTATTTCGCTAAATTAATCTTCCTTTAGCGGAACATCATTAAAAAGAAAAAACTAATAGAGCAACAAATTTTTTTCTTTTGCAACTTGTTAGCAACAAATGAGCAACAAATAAAAATGTTAATTAAAATAGATTCTGCTCACTTTGTTCCGTTTAACTTATAAGACGTTCGCTAGTCAAGAGTAGTATTTGCGTTAATGATATCGATTATATTTGTACCGCTCTTAGTTTTATGTCAACAAACTGATATACATATCATTAATTCCGTACAAAAAAAGTTTTTATTATTAATATCCTCAATATTAAACACGTCGCCCTATATATCCCACCCGACCAGTTGCGGGCGCGCAACGAATAAATTGCGCTCAATTGCGATCATGCCGTGTCCGTTGCGCAATGACCGTGACATTAACTTCGTCATTGTGCTGCGCTTAATTGCGCCGTGATGCTCTGTTACTTATTCACGGTAACGTACACATGTGCACGCTGACTTCTGATTATCTAACTTAGACCGTTGAGATTTTAGTTACTCAGTTGTATATTTACATTTGCGAAAGTTTATTCTTCTTTTGTGAACTTTCGCAAATTATTATTCTGAAAATTGTTATCAATATTAAGAGGAAAAGTATTGTATATTTTTCCAAATATGAACACACACACACACACCGAGTATTTAATTTTAACTGATACACTAAAATATCTATAGAATGTTACCATATGTAAGTACGTGAGTAAAAATTTCAACCTTCTCCTGACTTTGACAAAGTCTCACCCAAAGTTAAACCAATGTGTCATGTTATGTCCCCCTTAGTCACATAACTTTTGTCTAAAATTTTTTTTAATATCGCGTGTGTGTATTATTATATTTTCGAGATATTTTTTTTAATGCATTAATTAAAATAAAACACTTGGGGTTTATATACACATGTATATATATATATTTTTTATTTTTAGACTAAAGTTATACGTTTGCTTTTTGAGTTAATAAAAAAGATACTAGAAATTTAGATGTAAGTAAAATCTTTTACGATTTGGCCAATTTCCAACCCAAAGAAAGCTGTTTCAACCAACAGTTTCTTTGGAAAACGATTGACAAAATTTTATCAATAACATAGTGAAGTGATCGGTATAAAAGCACAGATTTTTGAAAAAAGTAGGTGATATACGAAACTACATATATTATCTGTTACCTCAACTACGTGCGAAAGGAGCTTCAGTACATATGGTGCAATATATATTTGTAGAAAGAACAGATTGACAAATAACAGGGCGGTAAAAATTGTTTATGTATGATTTGATCTCTAACTGTCAATGCAAAAATTTATGACAAATTATAAAGTTGAAACTTTATCATTACATATTATATACTGTTGAGAAATTTGATGGTTTATTTCCTGGATTACTGGCTTAATGTTCGTCAGCAATGAGATGGCTGTGTGATGTAATCGACCATTTTGAAATAACGTCTAGACGGATAGGAAACGAGGACCAGCTCAAATTTCCGATGGTGGGATCGATCGCAATCGACCTCCGTAACTTCTTTCCTTAGTTTTTATGAGATTATTCGATCAATCCAAGATAACTTCACTAAAGGCCAAGATTCGAAACATGATTTAGTTTCTCTATCTCTCGCGTTTCTTTTCTAAGAAATGCGACGGCAAGCACCATGAATTACAGTGCAACCAAAAAACTAGCTTTACAAATTGTAATATTTTTACAGAATTAAAATATCCAATAGAAGTTCATTTACTTTGGTACAGATGTCATCTGAGGTTGAAGTTCGCTTAATATAAAACACTTAATATAAAAAGTTTTATAGTTCATAAACATTCTTACTTTATGCTTGCATATTAATTTGTGACAGCCTTATATTTATTATTGCTAGTTGAGACACTTATTAAGTGATTTTTTTTGTTGAGGAAGATTCATTCAAATCGTAGTATGGAGTATCTTACTCCATGAAAAATTGTCGAGTTTTCTATTATAATCAATGAAATAATTTATATGAAATGATTTTTTGCAAATATTAATCACGTTCAACAGAATATTTATTTTGCTATTATTGAAGGTTTTTTTAAAATTATACTTTTAGATCTTTTATAGTTCTATATATTAGCGAAGAAAACTTTCCCAAACATTTGCAAAATAAGCATTCTGCTAAACGCATCGACGATCCAACAGCACAAGATGCCTTGTCGGCTCGTCTACTTACAAAAGTTTTTGTAGTTCGCAAAATTTACGCCAATCTTTGAAAACGAGGTATCACGAGCTGCGAACCGCGAATGATAACGAACCACCTTGATCTCACCGTAGAGATTTTCCAAGCTATGGCAAATCATGCCAAACCGAGGGATCCCACTTTTAATCTCGAATGTCTTTAGTATTTTCTTCGAAGTTCAAATTTTTTAATTCATGTTACAAATCATTAACATGGACATTTATTATGTCTTTTAATTCACAAATAATGACTTAAATTTGTCATGATACATCAAAAATAGCTCCATAATTACAGGCTGCATTTTTTGTCAGATCAAATGTAATTGATATGATTCGGCGGAACGAATAAAAGGAACAATTTTTGGTTAACCCTAGTATAACCCTTTTCTAGGTTTATACAATCGATTAGGAGTTGAAGACCTTCGAGAAGGAGACGTCGCTGTTTGCTCTTTAGGCCGATGCAACGTATAGATTATATGTGTAGTCGAGTAAGGTTACGCGACGATCGAATTTAGCCGCGATTATTCTCGTAATGAAAAAAAGCAGCATAAGAAGACAGAAAGGAGATGGATAAAACGAGAAAAAAGCATAAAAGAGAATAAAAAATAAAATGAATGAAAACGATGAACAAGAAAGGATGAGAAATATCAAGCTGTTATATTATATATTTACTTGATCAATAATTTTTAAGTAACTACACATATAAAAAACGTTACTTTGACATAAGGTAAAATAAAAAAAATATATAATAATAAGAACGCATGCAGATCATTAAATGCTTCATTTAGAAGTTATAGTAAAAAATATAAAATTTGTAAGAATTTATCATTTAAATTTGCATTTCAAAATTCCGTTCGCTCATGTTAATATAAGTTTGGCATCGACGTAATATTGAATTTATTATTATATCACTGTAGAAATTTCGTACAGATTTTGTTTAATTTCTTCAGTTGCATCGATAATATTATATAGGCCTGCGAGGTTTGGTCTACTGAGATGTAGGAGTGGTTTTTGACGTGATTTTTTGTGCTAAATTCGAAATCTCAAAATCCTTACATGCTAAACAATTTTTGTGACTAAAAATTGTCTAGCGCGCGAG